AAGTCATAATCCAAATAGAATATTCAATATTTTGTTGTCCACCTAGCGGTACATCCGGACTTCTGTTCGTGAAGATTACGAACTGTAAACAATAAAATGGAAAGCAAGGGAAGCGGAAGGGCCTGGCGTGGGTTTAATTACACAACTACTTTTACTTAGACGGTTGAACGTTTCGAGTGTGAAGCATACGGTCAATTGCGGCTGTGCATAAAAAATATTAATTATATCGTATTGCGATTTTTTTAATGTATTTCCAATCAAAGTGCGCTACAATCCACGGTTTAAAAACAAACTCCGTTCTGCGATTGAACCCCTTTGAAGAGGAATAATCCACGAAATGGCTCGGTTCCAAGTCGTTTTGAAGAAACACTCGTGTCATCCCCCTGTTCGTTTTTCCCTGTTTAAATTATTCCGGCTGGACAGACGAGAAGGGGAAAATGGATTCTCACTTCATCCTCGGTGGTTTTTATCCCGTGGAGGACGCTTCCGGAAGGTCTAATTCCAGCTCGCTCAACCTCAGACCGTGTTCCGGTCTAGAATAAATTGACAAAAATAAAATTATGGCTTTCTAACAAATGATAATGCAAGATAAAAATGTGCTTTATCGATATTATTATATTACGATTATAAACAATATATCTAGATTAATTGGCCCTAATAATTTCGCAGAAAAATTTCTCTATATATTAACACTCGCAGTTAATCTCTCTATGAGGGAAATGATAAATTTTTTGTTTTATATAAAAGTTTATAATACTTTAGATCAAATAATATGACATTTAACTATTTTTTATGACAATAAATTGACTCATGCAACACAGACAAACGCACAGACTTTTTTATATTTAGTTTACTGTTTATTTTGTTTCCTTGACTCTCTCCCTCTTCACATATTCTCTTTCTCTCTCTGCTTAACATTGGTTGTGAACATCATTAAAAATTTATTTATTTATTTTTGTTACTTTGTTTTATTCTTTAGGATCATTCTGTTGACTCTTGGTTGTATTTTATATTATTGTTTGACAGTTATTTAATAATAAATCGATCTAAATTCAATAGCTGATATGTATGTGTACATTAATGCTTAATTGTAGTTGGGTACGTCGTTTAAGATTGATTTATTTCATTTTATGTTATTTAATTTTTATTTTATTTTCTATATACTTATTATACCTTTTTCAATTTTAGATTATTGTTCTATCGCTTAAAGAGCTGTTCTTATGTATGTATTATTTGTTGTTATTGTCCTTAAGGGAACTTGTTCCCAGGGAATAATAAAGTTCTCTCTCTCTCTCTCTCTCTCTCTCTCTCTCTCTCTCTCTCTCTCTCTCTCTNTCTCTCTCCCTCTCCCTCTCCCTCTCCCTCTCCCTCTCCCTCTCTCTCCTTCTCTCTCTCTATCCTGTTGTTACATTTATGGCTTTATTTAAAAGAATGAAATCTGATGTTGCACTCCTCTACCCAACACTTTGGGACTCATGAGGTTTAAGTTTTGGTGTCAGTGGTCATTTTTCAGATTTGTACTATGACCACATCAATATTTTCTCTTATTCTAGATATTTCATCTGCTCTGAATTGATGATTACCTAACTTTTTACAAGATTCAAAAGGATGAGGCAAAAATGCCATTTCATTATCCATTTACTTGGTTTATTTTCAAATATTGATTTGTAGATAATAAATCAACAAATTTTTCTTGTCATAAATGGATTAAATACAAGAATTTTTTTTCGAAATTTTTCACACCTGAAATGTGCACTTTTTGGCATTTTGTAATTTAAATTATTTATTTTAAAATAAACTTCATAAATATACTCAAATAGTTTTGTTACATGAAAAGAAAACAAGATTTTATAATAAAATTCATCATTTTAATAACACTGTACAAGACTACAACTTCAGAATGACAGAATGCCTTATTCCTCCTTAGTTGTCAAAGAATCGACCATCCTCGATAGGTTCATTATCTCATTGTCAATATTTGTAATAGAAAAACTATCTTCAAGCATATTTTTATTGACAATTTCATCCTTCTGATTCCTATTTTCTATTTCGCTGTAGCATTCTAAATATTTGGATATTGTGTCATCCGGGATTTTCCTTTGTTTCTGAGATGGTGGCATGTAGTATGGAAACGCTTGTTTTTTACTGCTTGCGCTTGGAATTTGTTTATCCACTGCACCACTACCAGAAGGGGTTTTCACTTTTTTCCTGGACATTTGTCTCGATGAAGGTATCTCAACATCAAGAACATCCTCATCTGTATCCGCTTCACGTTCATTAAGCAATGTCATCCAGCTCTTGCTCAGCATCGGCACCTTGACACTGTGTGTTTTGCTTCCATGCATAACTTTGCTCTTTTTGTAGTTGCTATTGGTATCTGTCGTATTTAACAAGCTCTGTAAGTTGGTATCGACAGACGGGCATGAGTCGAGTCCTACATTTGTCAGGATTGTCGATGTAGAGAGGAGGTTCGGTTCTGTGTATTGTCGGTACATCGGAGGCCGCCCGTTGTTGCCCTGGTTCGGCGAAGGTACAGTAAATTTGCCTATTTTGGACGTTTTTTCTTTCTTGATTCCTTTTAAAATTGTAAAAAGAGGCCCATGCACTTTACAATTCGGGTCAATGTCAGCTAAGTTGGACAACGGGCAGTGTGGGATATGTGCAATGCCAGGTTCCAACATCTGACCGTTTCTGGCGTTTTCCAGAAGTTCCTGTTCTTTCTTTAGCTTCATTGTGAGAGTTTTCATGTTTTCTGCCAAGTATCGCATTTTGTCTTCTAACTGTTTTTTGTCCTCCATTTTTATCTTGAATTAGTATATATGAAATTTTTATGGTAAAATTAGAATTTTGGAAGTAAATAAAGAAAAAAAAAATTAGTAGTTTCAAACTAGATTAATCAGCTGAGAAAATAAACATTAATTTATATTTTTTAAATATCTTGTAATTAATAGCTCAATAATTGTTGAGAATAACCCTCCTCGTTCAAGAGAGAGGTCGAGTTGTTTTAGACGTTTTCTCATATCTGTCAGTTTTTTTTATTTTTTTATCAAATGATTTTTTTATGAGCTATACTTAGCTAATTTAAATTCTTCTCATTTAATAATTTTAAATTTTTATTTAGATACAAATTGTTGCAACCACTAGGTTTTAAGCCAGGGGATAGTTTCAACGATTTTTACAGCGTCACAGACTTTTATTTGTCCTGGATTGAAAAATTACAGCTTTGTTTTTAGAATTTTTCAACTCCGCAAAACATGAAAAACGATAAAAATGTATTTTTTTTATTTTGTAAACCTAATTTTATCTATACTGTATGATGATCGTTCGTACCAAATTGAGCATAGCATCTGTTCAAAGCAGTTGAAAATAGTTGTAAATATGTATAAACACATGTATAAAAAAGTGTAAAAAAAAGTGAAATAATTCCTACCATTCAGGAGGGTTCACTTCCAACTAACTACCTGTTGGGTGTTGCAGACAAAGGGACAAACCACTTTAAAATAGTTTCTTTATATTATTCACAATTAAAAGTCTGGGCTGGGCTAGGATTCAAACCCAGAACCGCTAGCGTGGCAAATACAAATCAGACACCGTAACCACTCGGCTACTGCCCCCTAAATAGACACAATTTTTTCATAGAGTCAATTCTGATTTTGTGAAACTCCATAAGATGATGGGTAGGGAGTAAATTGTCTTTTCCACAATAGGTCCTATTGTGTAACTTTACTTGATAATAAAAACTTTTGTGCTGGTTCATCCAAAGTTCTTGCCCGTCAAAAGCATAACTGAACAATGGCCCCCGCTGAGTCAGAAATGAAGAAGGGACCGGCTCACTCGTCTGAACAGAGGCTATTCCCAGTTGACACATGGACACCAACTTTTGGTGCAAAACAGTGCAGGTGTCCCACTTCTAGAAAAAGGATGCTCAGTATGTCACTTGTGTGTGATACTTGGTCGAGTTATTGACCTTGGCCCCTTATAGGGAGCAAATAGGCATGGTACCTGATTTAAACCAGTCCTTGGGCACGAGAGTAGGATGTTGGGTACCCTGTTCCGATTTTGTAGGGAAACTGGGGTTTCACCACATTTAATCTATAAAATCGTATGTATTATTCATTGTGTGAACGGATATTTTTTATAAGTGAGAGACCCAGTGGCAGAATATCGAATACTCCATTGGCCCTCACAGAGCATTGGAGGCTGAAGTGACCCCATTGATGGTAGCCTCCAAAAAAATAAAATAAAGTAATAATAATAAAATATTTAAAAAAATAAAACCTTTGTATGTCAAAGCAGTTGTTACTTTTATTTCTTCATGGAAAGGACTGATATTGTTATTAACTGTCTCTGGACATGGACAATTAATAGCCTCTCATACATAGCACATACAGTTTATTTTAAAATTATCAAAATTGTAGCATGAGGAAATATTGCGGTGATCTGCAAGGTAATGAACCTGCACCTTTATCGTCTCAGATCATCCTGGGCTGCCTATCCTCGTTGACTCTGACAAGAATCAGCCCGATGTTTTGTCAACCACAACCTATAAAAAGTATGCAGGTCAAGATGATCATAGATTATTAAGCTACAGACAAATTGTCAGGAATGCGAAAATCTACTTTTTTTTAAACCTTAGTTGGTTTTTATTGTTAAAAAAAAAAGTACAAGAACAGATTTTAAAAACAGGTTTTGTTTGTCATACTTTGGATATTTTATTTGATTTTTACTTGATTGTAGCTTGTTATTGATACAGATTGTTTACAACATAAAAAGACTCATTCTTAACATTTTAATTAATACATTTTGTGTTACTATTTACTGCTATCTTGCCTTTATGATATCCTTGATTATATGTAATAAATGGTTATCACATAAAACATAATATAAGAACAATGTCCCAGGAAATTGAAGTAGAGTTGAATTTGATATACAAAATATTTTTAAAAAAGTATAGTTAATCTAATTGTCTACCTTAATTTTTAAAAAAGAAAAATGCACACTTTGCAAATAGAACATATGCAAATTTATATACATGTTATAATAAATTATTTACATAATTAACACAGTTGAAATGACAATGTTTTTGCTTGTGATAAGGTTGAAAACGAAATCACCAGGTAACACAAATTCTTCATAAATGCGGGTATTAAAATTATGTATCACTTTTCCAAAGTTTTATCGTTTTGTCCTGCTCTAGGGCTGCCGAAGCTATGATATTCTCAGTCGGATGGCATGTTGTGCACAACACCACATCTAAACAACCAAAAACATAAATCTATAGTATTTAGTGACCGTTAATTAATGATCATTTGGAATATTTTGTTCGGTTGTTGGGTCTTAAAAGGTTAAAATTAATTAATTCATTTAATTAAGAATTTTACTTACCAGTGTGTCCAGTAAGTTTCTGTACAATTTCTTTAGTTTGGAGATTCCATATGTATACTAAATTGTCTTCGGACCCTGAGACGATCCACTAAAAAAGATAATAACACAAAAACGTTATTTACAAAAAAAAAGTGCTTAACCTTTCTATATCGTCTTTTACCTTTCCACCTGTCACAGAGAAATTTGCGAATATACAGTATTTCTCATTTTTGTGCCCGGTGTAAGTTTTTAAACATTTGCCCTTGCTGTAGTCCCAGAGCTTGAGCGTATTGTCAAGCGTGGCCGCCAATATGTACTTGCCGTTAGGCGAGAACTTGACAAATGATACAGGAGGGTTATCATCATCGATCAAAGTCTTAAGACATTGCCCGGATGCTGTGTCCCATATTCGGCTAAAAAATAAAAATTTTAAATATAATTATCGGGTTGTCCGGAAAATAATGCAGGATTTTAAGTTTTCATTAAAAAAAATCTATATAAAATATTCTGTTTACGTTTACAGGATTACTCATTTGTATGAATGTCNTTGATTAAAGAACATTGCTTTAAAGTAACTAGTTTCTTTTTTTTTGTTTAATACCAAAATCCTGCATTATTTTCCGGACAACCCAATAATATGTAGTTCAAATATTATACTACAGCAGCTAATTGCATAAGGAGGTTGCAATGTTGAATGGCGAACGCTATATCAATAGTGTGTCCGTTGAAATAGAGAAAGAAATATGTTTTTCATGCGGGAAACCAGTGGAATTAAGCGGATAAACTGGTGAAACTGTGTGAAAGTTAGGCAGATCAGTTGTGCCGGATGGAATAAAAAAAGTGTGTTATTATACTACAGCTCACAAAAAATTTAAATGTCTCATAGAAGACTATGATATATTCTCAAAATTGCGATCAAAAACGAAAATTAAAATAAAGCTAGATAATGAAAAGTATATATCATCAATTCAAGATAAGATTGTGTGTAACACGAAATTATTCTGGAAACATATCCATAGTACTAAAACTTCATCTAGTGTTCCTCAAACCATGTTTTTTAACAATGATACATATTCTGATGGTCAATCCATATGTAATGCTTTTGCTGTGTTTTTCAAGTGTTCATGAAAAGTCTAGTCAACCTGTCCCCTGTATTAGCTGTGATAGTAACACCCATTCTAAATCTGTGATAATTAGCTGTGATATAACTCGTAAAAAATTAAATAGTTTAATAATAAATTGTAATGCAGGGCCTGATGGATTACCTCGTATATTCTTAAGAAATTGTTCAGAAACTCTAGTCAACCCTTTAACTCTATTATTTAATAAATCTATTAATGAAAATATTGTACCTGATGTTTGGAAACACAGCTATGTGATACCTTTACATAAATCGGAAGATAAATGTTAATATTGAAAACTACAGACCTTTTTGTAAATTGTCGGTTATACCAAAGATGTTTGAAGATATTATCTGTGAAATGTTAATGCCAATTCTGAAGCAAGTTACAGTTGATGACCAGCATGGATTTATTAATGGTAGGTCAACTAGTACAAATTTTTTATGCTTTCAACAGGATGCTTTATCTTCCTTTGATTCTAAGGCCCAAATGGATACTGTATACACAGATTTTTTCAAAGCCTTTGATAAGGTGGATCATGGCATTTTGATCAGAAAGTTATTCTACACAGATTTGGAAATCAACACAATATTACCATCCTTCTTGTTGTGTTCCTCAGGGAGGACACTTATCCCCTCTTTTATTTACAATTTTTCTAAACGATCTTCCTCTGTACATTAAACGTAGCAAAATTAAGTTGTTTGCTGACAATGTCAAGTTATATAAATCCACGACCTCGGTCTTTGACTGTCACTTGCTCCAGAGTGACCTAGACTGTTTGGCTTTATGGTGCCACCACAATAAAATGTACCTGAAAGTACAGAGATGTAAGATTGAAGGTATTACGCTAGAAAGAGTGGAAGAAATAAGAGATTTAAGTATTACATTTGATAGAAAACTGTCTTTTGATGTACACATTGGTAAATTGAGAGCTGATAGGATTAAACTATTGGGTTTTATCATAAGATTATCAGCTGACTTCAATTTTAAAAATGTATTCATTAAGCTTTTATATTACACTTTTATTTGTACAAAATTAGAATATTGCAATGTGGTCTGGAATCCGCACTATATTTTGAAGGAGACCAAACTAGAACAAGTGCAGAAGGAATTTCTGAAATTTACTGCTTTCAAACTCGGAATAAGAAGAGACACCCATGAATATGGTCATGTAATGTCCCAAATAGGTCTAATCAGTCTAAGTAACAGATGGGAACTACTTGACATGGGATTTCTTTACAAGCTACTAAATGGGACAATAAATTGTGATGAACTGTTAGCTATGATAAAATTCAATGTGCCTAGTTTCAATTCGAGAAATTATAATGTATTCTATTACCAAATCCATCCTACAAACTACCTGTTAATGAGTCATATTAACCGGCTCATGATAAAAGGCAACAAGTTCAATGTGGATTGGTTCCATGACAGTTTTTATGAAGTCAAAAAAACTATATTGCATAAGTTATCATTGTATATGTTGTAATGGGCATTGACCCCTGCATAAATAAATAAATAAATTGTCTTACCATAAGCCGTCGTAGCTGCTGGACACTATGAGAGACCCATCACGGTTGAAATGCACAGCACTAACTGGGTCAGAATGAGCGGGGAGCGTTTTCAAACATTTACCTGTCCTTACGTCCCAAATCCTCACACTTTCATCAAACTGAAAATTTCAAATTTTATAGCAAATCAAAGACCAATACAAAAGTTTATAATCAAAACTGAAAACGAACTTACGGATCCAGACACTATGAGGTTAGACTGAGGATTGAAATTGCAACAAAAAACATAATTGCTATGTCCTTTCAATGTTTTTAAACATTTACCCTACAAAAAAAGAGAGAGAGGGAATGAGAGAGAGATTAAAAACTTTTAATTGTTTATCTACATATACAAGGACATTTTTATTGTGATGGTAAATAATGCGGAAAAATTGAATTAAATAAATCATCAATAATTACAGAGCTAAGTTCCCAAATCTTCAATGTTTTGTCATCAGATGCACTGACTAGAAGGCGGCTGTCACTCGACCAAGTGACATCTGATATGCCCAGCTTGTGCCCGGCAATTGTCTTTTCAAATTTGCCGTCATATGCGCCCCAGATTTTTATAAGTTTGTCAGCAGCTGAAATGATATTAATTACAAAACATTTTCTTAGCTGTGTGAAGAGTTTTATTTTCTTTTTACTTACAAGAGCTGGCCAGCCATTCGCCATTGGGGCTAAACTTGACTGAGGAAACGGCTTTCGTGTGGCCAGCAAGTGTGAATTTAAGAGTATAATTTGGCTTCTGGGAACAGAACAATGCAAATTATAATATTAAATTATAAGTATTAAATTTTTTATATATAAACTATGTTCTATTCTTCTTTTTAAGAAACATGATCATAACCGAATCAACACAGCATTTCTCATAAAGCACAATAAAATATGGACAAAATAAAAATGTGCAGACTTGTAGACCAAGTACAAGGTATAAAGCTTTAGTTTAGTTTCATTGTCACTAGTCAGGACTGATAACTCTGGACTGCCTTTCTGCTATTAAGTCACGTGCATTTCAATATTTCCCAAAATTCAATGGTTGATTTGTGCAGATTCCTGTGTCTCTTGATCTGTTTACTACAGCAAGAAATTTGAACAAAACTTTTTTTTCTCAAATGTTTAAATTATTAAGAGTTTCTTGTAGAATTATGTTTTTTTGCACTTCAGAATAAGCAACAATTATACACCTTCGTTCATCCTAGTCTGCCTATTCTCACTAGTTTTGTCTGCCAAACATGTTTTGGTAGTTTGCCATCTTTTGGTCTGTGTATTTCCTTTTTTTTTAATGGTAAATTCAATGAAAATTTCAGGTACTTGTAAACAAATTTATTATGAACCATTTTATTTCACTACCTATTGCCATCCTAGGTATAATTGTGTAATTCTGTCCTCCAAGAACTTCTCACATTATTTTCCTGAGTCTTCTTTGTATACTAAGTTATGTTCCATTGAGCAGTTGTGTCACATTCGAAGATGACCCACATAATGAACATAAAACATAAGAACTTTCAGGATGAACGACAAGTGGAAAGTAAAAGTATAAAAATAAATCTGTTGACGCCTCTAGACAAAGAAGGTAATTACGTATGGCCTAAGGTAATGAGAACAATTTAAGTATGAAAAACCGCTGCATTTTTCTATCATTTCAAATCTAGGGAGACCCCACTCCTGACAGCCATAACATAATATTGAGCAACATTGGCTTCCTAATAATAATGGCACATGACCACAGGCTAAAACCTTTATCAACTTGAAAAATAATGTCTCAGTGGAATGAGTACAGTATTATCTATCTATCTAATTTTTCTCCACTTCTAAAAGCACAAAAATAAAAACGGGACTTTTTGAAAGGCCCGGTTTTGTCTCAGCCATTCACTTCTTGATCTTAACGGAAATTTTCAATATTCAGGCTTCCTATATCGACACAACTAATTCTTCCTGTCATACTATGCATGTTTATTTTGTTTTAGCTTCATTAACTACCTTCAAACTAATCCAACCTTTCGAAACAGACAGACCAGATTAAGAGATCTATTTTATGATGAATAAATTTCCTATGTATTGGCACTAGGCCATAGACCAAATTCTCTATTGACTTGAGGAATAATGTGCTATTGTACTAATTTTTCTCTACTTCTAAAAGCAAAACATATGACTTTGACCACAGGCTAAAACCTTTTTTGACTTGAAGAATAATGTCTCAGTGAAATGAATAAAATATTATCAATACTAATTTTTCTCTACTTCTAAAAGCAAAACATAAGACTTTGACCACAGGCTAAAACCTTTTTTGACTTGAAGAATATTGTCCCAGTGAAATGAATAAAATATTATCAATACTGATTTTTCTCCGCTTCTGAGTGCATAAAAACAAAAGCAGGGCTTTTGGAAAGTCCTGGTAGTGCTCAGCCATCCACTTCTTGACGTTAACGGAAATTTTCAATATTTAGGCTTCCTATGAATTCCTATATTCAGATATTCAGGCTTACTACACAACCAATCGGTTCTTCCTGTCATAATGTGTAAATGTATATTTTAGCTTCTTTAACTAACTTTAAACTAGTCCCACCTTACCAAAAAATCTGATCAAATTAAGGGATGCATTTTCTATTTTGAAGAAGAAACTTCAAAATTTCAATTAATTGTTGTTTTTTATCTAAGGTCTTGGTTGAGATGAAAAAGCTAGTGTCACGAGCAGGATTCGAACGCACGACCTTCAGCTACATACACCGCTGCTCTAACCACTTGAGCCATCGACTTCGATCCGCTCAGACACCAACTGCTCATCTCAACCTACAACTTTTTGAATTTTCCCTCATTTTTCAATTTTTCAAATGGTTCAAATCCCACTCATGGCACTAGCGTTTTCATCTCAGCCGATCTTAGATAAAAATTAATTGAAACAATTATTACGGTCAGTTGTGATCGCTAAACATATATGGATAAACTTCATAATTTAATTTCATTTCAATCAATACCTTACATAGAAAGATTGATTAATTGTAAGAAGTTATTTGGTCAATCAGACCACGAAATATAATAAACTTCTTAACATTGACACATGGCAACAGACCAAAATCCATATCGACTTGAGAAAACCTATTATCTACACTGTTTTCCCACTTTTAAAACAAAAACAGGGCATTTCTAAGGCAGACCTGATATTGCCTTAGAACACACACTTCTTGACGTCAATGAAAATCTTCAATATTAAGACTTCCTATATCCACACAACCAGTGTTCTACCCTTCCTACTGTGAATATGAGAGATTTTAGTATGAACGACAAGACGAAAGTAGAATTATAAACATAAATCTGTTGTCGCCTCTAGACAAAGAAGGTAATTAGGTGTGGACTAAGGTAATGAGTCTCATGTATGAAAAACCGCAGCAATTTTTCTATCATTTGAAATCTATGGAAACCCAATTTCTGACAGCAGAACATAATATTGAGCAACATTGGCTTCCTCTAATAATGGCACATGACCACAGGCTAAAACCTTTATCGACTTGAAAAATATTGTCTCAGTGGAATGAATACAATAATTATTCAGAAATCGTGAAATGCGGTCCGGTGTGATGTAGGTTTCAGAAAAACATTTTCTTTATCGTAAGTGTTTATATTTATGTTATATGTTAATATTTATTTTATTTATATAAACGTAAAACAGCAATATCTCACTGGCAGTCTCTACACTTACATAGAAAACAAACACTTTGAGTGAGTAGAAATACTTTGATCGAATATAAAAAATATTTTTTTGCATTGTTCCTACATGTGTTTTTGTTAAATTTAAACAATGTTTGTAAATCCCAGGCCCTGAAGATGATCTCAATAAAGATCGAAACGTTGAGATGATAAAGAAAATGAACTGAAACCTACATCACACCAGACCACATCTCACATCTGAATAATTATCGACTAACAGTCATTAATCACCACACAAATGAATGCAATATTATCTATACTAATTGTTCTCCACTTCTGAATGCACAAAAACAAAAACAGGGCTTTTTGTTAGATCTGATATTGCCTTAGAACACTCACTTCTTGACCTCAAAGTTAACACTTAATATTAAGACTTCCTATATCCACACAACCAGTGTGTTCTGCCCTTCCTACTGTGTATATGTGCTTTTTTTTTAGCTTCATTAACTGGCGTTAAATTAATCCAGTCTGACTAGGTCAAGGAATGTATTTTATGGTGGATCTACTTCCTGTTGACCATTGGCACATGGCCACGGACCAAAATTTGTATCGGCTTGAGGAATATTGTGCTACTATACTAATTTTTCCCACTTCTTAAAACAAAACAAAAAATACACAGTAATTTTTTTTGGAGATCCTGGTAGCAACTGAAAACAACCAGGTGGTGTAAATAAGTAGTTTAATTTTTAAAAAATTAATAAAGCTAATTGTAAACTAAACTTAGCTTAATACTGCAAAGGAAAGTTTATAAAACTTTTGTTTTTATAAAGCGTGAAACGTGGATGTGTATCGTGTGGTTATTACTGTTGGAGGAAATGTATTATAATTAAATATACTTCCTTAATTAAAAAGTCATAAAATCATAAAAGACAGAAGAGTAAGATAAAATAAAGTGTTAAAATGAAAACCGGGCGGCTCGAGTGCCTGCAGGCCGGGATGGTCGTTTTACCATGGATGAGCTTGACTGTTTACTCGTTGTCCCAGTGTTCATGGAGCAAATCTGGTGATTGCCGGCTTGGAGGTTCTGCGACGGCCCCAGCGGCACCATCTCACGCGAGCCACTTCGATAAAAGTAGAAACTCGACACCAAAGTCCAAACTAAACAAACAAACGTTTCACCATAGAAATCGGGAAGGTGACTAAAGGATTTCAAATAGGCGAGGAGACATAGGTACGCCCGCTACGTTCATCCGACAGGGCCGTACCGTCTCGCCTTGTGGCCGCGTTGAGGTCGAACCGCGGAAACCCCTTCAGTTCCTGCCACAACGCGCCATGTTGCGTCGTGAGGATTCGCGGCGTCCTTTCGTCTAGAGTAGGGATTCAAGCGCCGCACAATTCAAACTTTCGTTGTTTAACTTCAGCTCATAGATAAAAGCGACCTGAATCAATTTTCAATTAACACGTTTCACTAAAAATTGATCAATTTTTGATTTGCAAACTATTGAATATTCGACAATGATATTTTCATCAACGACCTTTTTTCTAATCTAAAATACTCAACTCCTCTTCTATTCATGAGGGCGTGTGTATATCTGTATGATAAAACAATCCTCACCAAGTCTGGCAAACTCACTACTCCCAATTGGAGAGCACCAGACTCTTTTTTTTTTTTTTTTTTAAAAAAGGTTTTTAGGTTTTTCACACGACACTAACACTAATGCCAGCACCCGGAGGAGACATGCCTTGAGAAACTAGCCAATGCTGGCACTCAGTGTGAATGATTAACGGGCAGGGACTCAGGGAGGTCGCGAGGCCGATTAAGGCGGGTATTTACTAAGGGGATACTCGATATTCCGTCCTAAAATACTCCAACGTTCGCGCTAATAAATACATTCGCTTAAAATAAGGTATTAAATATTTCAACTAACGTATGAAAGGGGTCCCTATGTTCGACATTTATCTGTTTCAGGTATCGAAACAACTTCTATTATAATCATAAAGTTTTTAAAGCCCCGGCTACAGGCCAATTACAGTTATTAAGATATATATTGTATTACTATTATTATTTCAATCTAGAGCTCCTTAAAACCCAATATTTTCATTCTTGTTTATTTCGTTCTATCCCAGCAAAGATTATTTTATGATTTCCTCATACATTTTGTTATTTTATTTTACAGCAATCCAGAGAGGAAAAGTGACACGACGTTTATCTTGATTCAACATAAAATAATGACTAACACTCAGGAAAAAATTGTGATATAAAATAAATATATATTGAAGAAAATATTAATTAATATTAAAGGATGATGATGTGTAAAACTGTTTTCTGTCCGTTTCTGGTATTTACAATTCCCAATCCTCAACCTATTTTTAACCTAGGATTGTTCTCTGTTTTCACAAATAAAAAAAATCGGTCAATTTGTGAGGAATGACAATTTTCATAATACACATACGAACTTTAAATCAACCTTGGCGCAACGCCTTGCCTTATCATATTTAAATGGCCCACCGTAACTGCAACATGGTAGCGTTCCATCCCCCCACCAGTATGTATGATCGTAACGGTATTTAGTCTCAAGAACCGCGTGCATTTGTTAGACGTCACGTCACGCAACGTTGTTGCATGACCAGGCGCCAACTTTCTCCCTCGCTTGTCCACTTTTCAAAGGCATGTTGCGCGGTGGTGTTGCGCATCCTTCAACCTTGGCCGGACTGTACTGCGTAACTGCGTAACATGGAGAACATGGAGTGGAGTGAACAGCTCACGTTGCAATTGATCGAAGTTTATCGCACTAAAGAAGAACTGTGGAATACAAAACATCCGAACTATTACAACAAAATTAAGAAAAATGACGCTTGGAATGATCTTGCGGGACATTTTCAAACTACGGCGAATGAGTGCAAAAGAAAAATTAATAATCTATTGTCGGGGATGAGAAGGGAAAAGGTGAAAATGAAAAAAACTCAGGGTAAGTGAATATAATTAAATTCTTTAGTACCCTCTTTTATTTTTAAATATTTTTTTTCATTACAGGGCGCTCTGATGTGTATGAAAGCAGGTGGTACGCATTTAAAAATTTACTTTTCCTCTGGGACAAAAATAACATAGAAGCACAAAGCACAGTAAGTAAAACTTTTTGCTGCATTTTTTCTTACCGCAAAATTTTAGCTACATTTTGCGCAGCTACATTCGTCTCTAATTGCTTAGGCGTTTGAGCATGACCATCTGGGTACCTCAAAGAAACCATTAGTTAAAGACCCTGGTACCCCCCCCCCCTTATGCTCCTGGAGTATTGCCTTCAATTCTCGTTCTTTTTTTTAATAATAAATAAATAAATTAATTAATTAATTAATAATAATTAGAATAAATTGTTCTGTTTAGTCGAATTTTGAAAGTGCTGGCGGCTACTATGAGGCAGACGGAAACAAAGAGCAAGACGACGACTGGTCTGGGAAATGTCAATTTCTATGGAAGGAAGACACGCAAGACTTAAATACCACGGTAATTTTCTATAAATATTTATTACATTTATTGGATGTTCAGTATGATAGGCAGCTACAGATCTAAGTCGATGTCTTCTTATCATGGAGACTTCAGCTTACTAATCTGCTGAAAAACAGATTGTTGCGACTTATGATGCGGTATAATGCTTCCGTGCCACAAATAATCCTCAACACACTTTTGTTCCAGAGTTTTACAACTCCTGCGAACAAAATAATTAAAAAGGAACCGAACCCTTTGGAATGCGTACAACAGGAGGGTGAAGGTGCGAGAAGGCGTACGGAAGTTGTGTACGAATCCTCAGAAAGTGAAGCCTTCGGAAAGCTGGTTGCTGCAAAACACGAAAAATTGACTCCCACTCAGAGGATGTATGCCGAAAGCATAATAATCAACACTTTAAACAAAGCTTTACTTCAAAAATTAACCGAGAATACAGCCCTTAGCGACGCCACTTAGCCTTTTTAAGAAAACACTTAACTTATTTCAACACCGAAAAATTACTCAAATGTGTGGGGAATGTTATGTAAAATAAATACGTATATTATATTCAATAAAATAATGTTCAGGTTTAAATAATCCCTGTGTAAAACTACTTTATGTACTTTTATTGTATGTATATAGTTTTAAGTCCAGTAAATTCATGAAGTCAGGAATACAAATAATGTAGTCTGCCTGAATGAAATGAGGCGGGAAAAAGTCTCTATATTGCCTCCAAAGTATTAATTAGATGTTTCGTGTATGGATTCGAAATGACACTTTCATAAACAAAAATAGTTCGCACAAGGGCCTTATCGAGTAAAAGTAAGCTGTAAGAACTGCACAGGTCAAAAGGTTCTGACTCCTACAGAACGAGTTAATCCTGGGGCGAGTTCCTCACTGAAGATGGAGCAATGCCGGAACACGTTTGAGTAGTTCTACAAACCCGCGAGTGAAGACAATAAGTGACTCAATGTCGATTCAACATGGAGAAAATAATAGCAAATAAAAAGAAAATTGCAATAAAGGACATAGAACATAAAAGTAAAGGTAAAAATTGAAATAAGATTATACCTTTTTTCATTTTTTTTTTACAATGCTACTTCACAATGTAATTTAAATAATTGAAGTAGGTATTAAAGTTGGGTTTTGTGTTACATTTTTTGTATATACGTGGAGGTAGATTTTATCAGCGGGCGTGGAGCGTCTTTGACGGCAGGTTAATGAAACTCGGCGAGCCCCACGCACTTCGTAAGTCTTTAGACCTGAGTTTTGAAATGGGGGGAGGTTAAAGGACGCGCTCGCCAGGTGTAAATTAATTATTTTATCGAAAGGTATTAATAAATAATTAAAAAATAAATAAATAATTTGTATTGGAATATAATTGAGTTTGAGGGCCGTTCTCCAGTTGGGTTGGGTGAGTTTGAGGTGGCCGTGGGGTCACGTGACCTAGGATTTGTCCAAGCTTACGGGAGAAAAGCTGACGACGAGGTTTTCCGTTCCTCGACAAACCCCGTCCGGCGGCCGATAGACGTAAAACGAGTCCGGCGTCCGAATCGTTGACGCCTCGACGTGAAAAATCAGCTCGGAAAAGTCGGAAAATCGGCCGGCCGAGGTTCGGCGGAAAATCGATGCAATTTCCAAGCCGGGGTCACGTGACGGTCGCGGGCCAATCGGAACGCCGGCCCGGATTCAAAGCGCCTCCCCACCTCACGACCATTTCTCGTGAGTAATCCTCGGCGTCCGGAAAAAGGACTCTGGACTTGGGGAATTTCGACGAAACCTAGACAAAGGAGAAATACGATGGGGACGGACACGGATCGGATAACGACGAACGGAGATTCGAACCCATGGTAGATTTTTTCACCAACTATTTTGCCTAAAAACAAATAAAACACGAGAAAAGATGTATTTTTTTGGTATCGTTCTCTATATCGAAGAAACGGTTGGGAAAGGGAGTAAAATGTAAATCTCCCCCTCGGCGTGAGAGTTTGAGAGAGAATCGGGGTTGAATTTTTGTCGAGGCCGACGGGGCTGAAATCCGTGTAAATCTCGGTCGGGAAAGTGGGTTTTCCCGGGTGATCGTAATTTTCGGTTTGGGGGTTAAGTGTCCTTTGAGTGGGGACCTCGGCCGCCATGTTGCCCGCAAACTAAGCCGCCAAAATAACACGAGTCGCCTGGGGGATTTATTCGAGTCGGGAAACGCGGTCGAGGGGGAAAAGCGGTCGGGAAAACGCGGGCCGAGCAGGGGAAAAGCGAGCGGCCCGGGGGAAAAGTGCGCCTCGGGGCCGAGTGTGTCGGGAACCGCGGCGGTTACTCCCACTTTCGACGGGCACAACCACCGAAGCTTGAGGCCAGCTTCGCTCTACGACCCTCGCACCGACGGAAAACCATTTCTCCGGTCGTATTTCGATTCCGAGAGTCAAGTTCGCTTCGCCGGCGGGATCGTTTCGACGCCAGGGCCCGGACTGCGAGCCCGCCAGGGCCCGACTTTATTTATATAATAATACACGTATGAAACCCGTTTGCAAGGTAAGCTTCGTTTTGTACCCACACTTTTCACGTTCCCGTTACGATTGAAATCCCGTCGGAAAACGCGCATTTCCAACTTTTCCGACCAGAACCTCTTCGTTAACAATAATTAAGATAGTTTATACGGATTTTCCTCCTCTTTTAACGGAGTGCTAAACAAATCCAGTCCCCCTAACCTAAAACCGGACTAAAATCGTCACCGAATGCGTTTTCTTTCCCTTTTCTTACTCCGAAACTGGCCAGATCGCCGATTTTTTACCCTCGTGGCCGCTCCGTGCCATCGTTATAAACATAAACAAAAAAGTCTCGTTCTCTCTCAAACGGCATTTTCGACCGCTTTTCTACTTTCTCCGAATCTCCCTTTTATTACAGCCTAGGGGAATAAAAACCGTTTCAATCAATCGATTTTTTTTTTATTGTAATTTTTCAAAGGCGCCTCGTAACGCTTTTGCCCCTTGGGATGCGTTATTTCACAGTTTTATGGCGGAAAGCATCGGGGCCGGCCGGGGTTTCGTGAAAGATTGTAATATTTCATCGGGGAAGCTCAGAAACGCGCCTTCACCCCTCCATTGTCACGATCCGAAGCTTCAAAACTAACAAACGTACAATCCAGTCGTCGAATAAAAAATAAACTTTTTAATATTTCATTGCAAATAATTAATCGAACTGCATAATTTTTTTGTAAATCTTACCGAACGGCATGTTTCGGAATTCTCTCCCTACAAATATCCACACATACTCACACACATTGCATGAAAGAAGAATACTAATTTTATTTATAAACAAACTCTCCTCCAATTGTGTTTTTGTTTTGTGTATATATGTGTATTGTAAGAATTGGGTGCTCGATTGCTGTTCCTTTATGTTCAAATTTCTAAGGCCCCATAGATGCTCGGTTTATCTGTCGGTTTACCTCAATCCAGATCAGAAGAATAAACGGAGCAAGTGTAGACGCAGTCATTTTCTTCGGAAGCTCTGATGTCCTATCTGGTGCGATAAGTATGTGGCACGGGTGAAAAAAGAAGTGGTTTGCTATTTTGTAACTGCTTCAACTCATAACAAGTAGAACAATAAAAAGCAGCGCCTGAAGGGGAAGAGTACGAATAGAATTTTACTGTGATGTAAACCCGCTTGAAGTGAAGGTGTCACGTTAGAATCACTATTCACAGAACTGAACAATTATCTGAACATACTATCAGTTCACTGGAGGCTCAAATACTCGGAAGTTTTTCCAGAGATAACTTGTGCAGACGCGTCAGTTAATTGTTCAGGCATCACTCGGAAAACTAACTGATAAACTGAGAATGTATGAGGCCTCAGACTAAAATCCTGGCTATTTGTAACCAGATTTGTTTTTTAATTATTATTTTATTTTTATTTTTTAATAAAAGTTATTGAAATACTGTAACCGATAGCGCTATATCATTGATTTGAGTTGTAAAGCTGCACGTTCGGCAATGATGATCATGGCAGATTCAAGCTTTCAAAGTCCACAAAAAGTTGAGATAAAAAATATAAAGCGATTTAACAATTTTTATCATATATTCTTTGGGCAAATTTCACTAGCGTTTAGGTTACGACAATTTTTTTATTTTCTTTATATTCAAAATAAACATTTCCACAATATTCAGCATGAATTATTCGGAGATAGTGAGATGCGGTCTGGTGTGAGGTAGGTTTTAGAAAAACATTTTCTTTATTGTGCTTATGTTTCGAGCTTTATTGAGACCATCTTCAGGGCCTGGGATTTATAAACATTGTTTAAATTTTACAACAATGTTTATACATCCCAGGCCCTGAAGATGATCGCAATAAAGATCGAAGCGTTGCCACGATAAAGAAAACGTTTTTCTAAAACCTACGTCACACCAGACCGCATCTCACTATCTCCGAATAATTCATTGACTAACGGTCACTAAATACCACACATTCAGCAAAAATCTTCGAGCTTGCAAGATGCTCTCAGAAATACTTTATTAGTGCTAACACTAAAATATTTGTGAGATCTCTGAAGGGCGATCAATAAAAAGTTTGACCGTTTCTGATCGATTTGGTTTTCCTACCTTTGCTGTTTGGCATGTCAGATTTGTCCCAATTTGTCTTCTTTCATCGTCAATGGAGGGCCTGAGTTGTTACCTGGTTAATTGGGGTGAAAAGTTACTGCATCACAAAATTTTGATCAATTGTGCCAATTTTTGGGGATCCTTAACCACTTTTCCCTGTGATGGTAATTTCCTCTTAGAACTGGAATTTATTGATGTTAACACTAAAATATTTGTGCGATTTCTTGAGGTCTTCGAGGCAATGAATCAAAATTTGGTTGTTTCAGATCAATTTGGTTGGCCTACCTTTGCTGTTTCGTATGTCAGACTTGTTTCAGTCTTCTGCCATCATCATTGTGGGCCTGAGTTGTTCCCTGGGTAAATTGTAGTGAATATGGTGAAAGGAAACATAAATTTTTGTTTGATTGTGACAGTTTTTAGGTCTCCTAAACCAGTTTTTCTTTTAATATTAAACTGCCTCTTGTTTTTATTGAGGTCCTCTTAGAACTTCCATAGCATTTCCTTGATGATATAAATTTATTTTTGAGGTCAAATTTGGCCAGGGATAGATTGTATTGTAATTCATTTTACCTCAACATCATCTGGAGTGATTTGTTAGTATTAGAATTTACAAAGACAGTCGTGATGATAGTATACTTTGAGCAGTTTTGTACTGTTATTTTTCTAGCTTAATTTTTGTACATGTCACGAGTTTGACATACAAACATTAAAATTAAAAGTAATCTTGCAAGTTTTAAATTATTTGTTGTTTGTTCTTTAAATATAAAATTGTAACAATTTTTGAATATCAATTTGTTCTTATGATAGTATGATAGTTTTTTGTATAAGTCCTAGTATGTTTTTCTTGTAAAATCCTCTGAGATATTTAGTATTTTCTTGCTTCTTGATAAATTCAATGTTCAATTTTTGAGTGACAGGTAGTATTGGTGTACACATTTAAAAAATGATACAAATTAAAATTATTGCAATATGTAGCATATACTTTAGTGGCGATGATGCACTGTACGGAGATGGTGTGGGCTTTTTATCTTTTGGCTTAGTTTATGTACACGTTGAACCCATGACAGTCAGATAAATTTACAAACTTGACATTAAGCACTTTGGCTGTACTTTTTTTTATGTGTAAATTGTTGTTTGACTTTTGGATCTGTGATTTTTTCTCGTATTGGCTGTTCTTTGTACGTAATTAGAAGGTGATGGTGTTACTTTTTTCTGTTTATAGATTCGTTTTCTTTTGTACATTTCGAACTCAAACATCAAGATCCATCTAATTGTGAAATTGTTATCCAAACATCTCCAAGTTGATAGCCGTTTATGGATTGTCGATTGGCAAGACAGACCGAATTTTCAAACTCTCTAAATTAAAAAAATTAAAAATAATGGAATAAACATGTTGTAGATATTTGTTATATCCTTTGAATTAAATGTTTTGGTGTTGTAGTAACAATTTTTCATGTAGTGCCATCAATGAAAAAAATTTACCAAATTTTTGTTTTCATTAATTGCCTTAAAACGGCATCATTTTTCTTGATGCTAATACTTAAGTATTGGTACAAATTTATTTTATACTTGATTTGTGCTTGTGACGTATGTAAAGCGCTTCTACTTGATTTGTGATGGCAAGATTGGTGAAGGGTTCCGACTCAGATGCGTTTATATACGTTTTGTGTATAATAATTATGTGATGGCATTGTATATTTTTTGATGATTCGGTCTGTTTATATTTTGCACATGTAGAACCTGAAGCATCACAAGAATTCTAATCCAGGTTTTTCCCCTCAGCCTTTTAAATGTAGTTGTTAAAGCATACATTTTTGCTCACATCTGTGTCAAACTTGTTCAATTAGCTAGTTTTAAACGTACCACATAGTTAGTAATATTTAAGATATATAGAAAGAGGAAGCTATCTAAGATTTGAACAGGTGTTACTACTTCATAATTATCTTTTCCGAGGAGAATTTGAAAATATAATGTTTAAGATAAGATCCTAAAGTGGTCGATTGAAGCTTAATGAGCTTAATATTTTCTGTAATCCAGGTTATTAATATATTAATGTATGCAATATTAATAAAAGATTCTGAATTCTGTCTTTTGTTTCAAAATAATGCTCGGGTGGTTTTGGTTAAGGTTTTAATGAAAGTTGCACTTACCACTATTCGCCTTTTTAAATAAGATATATATTTTTCCAACGAACTGATTTTAGACATCAAGTTTAGTATTTACAAAAATCATTTTGAAAGTTTGTACTTCTGAACATTAAATTTAAAAAAATGTTAATTTGAAATAGATTAAAAACATTCTTAATTTGCATTCTTAATCATAATAGTGTTGGGTTGTCCATCAAGAGGTGCAGGTATACTCTTTAAATAAATTTATAGGTGAGGGTTGAAAAACTTTTTATATTATCCAATTATAACTGCATTATTATTCATGCTGTAATTTCTAGAAAATGAAAGCTTAACAGAACTAACATTATAGTAGTTACAGCTGTGCATCTACACTCCCAAGTGTTTGATGTTTCTCAAACTTGTTACGCTTTGCACCATCTTCAGTGAGGAACTTGTAACAGTTGGGTTACACTTGTGGGTGACCCAGTGTCGGTTCAACATGTGTACCAATCCGTCATCAGTTTTAAAATTACAGCTCATAATTTATTAGGTTCCAAGTTTTGACACTCAACACTTTTATCATGTTTGCTAGTAGTCCACCAGATCAAACAAAATTATTGCCTTAACATTTTTTTTTACCTTTCTATGTTCAGAGCTAAAACAATCCAATTTTGTTACAAACACTGCCAAAACGTTAGTTTAATCTATTATTAGAGTAATAACAATTATAAAAACCAGTGTTCTGGTAGCCGTTAAATTTTCTCATATAAATAAATTGTGAAACGTTGATTTTCTCCTGATCATTATGATTTGTTTGATGTATTTGGTATTTTCTTAGCCATTATAACCTTCATTTAAGACATTGACATGGGAAAGTGCACAGACCAACCATTGTCAAACTGCTGAGAATGCATAACATCAAATAACAGCCAGAATAAGCAGGCCATAGTGATAAGAGACAGGTTCCCAGTTTCTTAACTTTTAGTCTTTACATTATTAGTCTTTCAAATTAAGTTTTTGCCAAATTTCTGATTTGCAACCAATGATTTCAACTTCGTAATAATGTATTTACAAGCAAATCTACTTAACTCATTCATGAGGCAAAAGATAATTTACTCGTTTCTCCTTTTGTTTTCATGAGGATTTTGAGAAATGTATTATGCAAGGATTCAATTGCTATGAGTAATTTTGTTGGTTTAAAAACAAATATTTTTTTTTTGCAAATTAAATTTTCTAATCTATAAATCATGACTCACAATAAAGCACACTTCTATCTTTGTGATAGTTTTGGAAGGAGAATGGTTTTGGCTGTCGATCATAAAGTCGCCGTTTATGTTCCATATTCTCGTTTTATTATTTTCGTAAAAAAATTTAGTTAGAAAAGTTTTGCTTCCAAACAGCAAAATTGTAAAGTTGACTTCAATTATTTTATAATGTAGTGTTTTGAAGTAGTCAATTATTTTCTTACATACTTGTATCAAAGTTAACTTACGCATGCTTATTTTTCTTATAAGTTTGTTGTAATTGTGCAAAATTTTGTATAATGTTTGTTATTTTAACGTATACCGTCCTCTATTTTAATAAAGTAAAAGCCAAATTAATTCAAAAGTAAAACTAGCATGTTATTATTTTTATAACAAAATCGTTAATGCATCGCTAGTAAATTATAAGGTTATTACCTACTACAATTAAGGTTTTTAGTTAAGATAAAATAGTCAATGGCACGAGCGGGAGTCGAACCCATGAAAAATGGCAAAAAGGAGGAAAAAATCAAAAGGTGGGGTTGAGATGGGAAGTTAGTGTCCGAGTGGATCGTGGTCACGATAGCTCAAGTGGTAGAGCAGCGGCGTATCTAGCCGAAGATCGTGGGTTCGAATCCCGCTCGTGCCATAGACTTTTTTATCTCAACTAAAAACCTTATTAATTGTAATATATTAATTGGTCAAGCGGACCACGAAATTAGTGAATTTAGTTATTACCTACATTGTTTAAAATGGAAAAACTTAAGAGCTTTATTTTTCTTTACTTTATTACGGACATCCATAGGTTACAATTGGATAAGTTTGTCATACTATGGTTTGATTGGATTTTATTACTATTATGGTATAAAATCAAGCTCAAAATTATTTAACAATAAATACTTTTAAAGAAAAAAGGTGAGGTTGAGATGGGAAGTTGGTGTCCGAGCAGATCGAAGTCACGATAGCCCAAGTGGTAGAGCAGCGGCGCATTTAGCCGAAAGTCGTGGGTTCGAATCCTGCTTGTGAAATTGACTTTTTTATCTCTATCAATACCTTACTTAAAGATTAATTAATTAAAAAGAATTTAATTGGTCAATTGGACCACAAAACCTAATTGATTTAACAAATACTAACTTGAATTTTTTTTTTTTAATTCTACAATTTTTTGACATTGATCTTGGTAGTTAGTGTTGAAAATTTTAAGCTCGTCTATTTTCAAACCTTTTGGGTTGAGGGGTAGCATAGTTTTAGTTTTAGGCTTGCTTTTTTCTGTATCTACTGAAATTTGGCCTCGGATCACCGTTGGCAAGTTTTTTTCGGCTAATTCAGTATTGATACCTAAATCATCAATTTGATGTTTTTGCTTGTCTGGTCGGATCGTTACAAACTAAACAGTGAATTGTGATTATACCTCTCTCCTTTCATACTAAAATGATACACATTTAGCTTGAAATTGGTTGCTTGTAATTCTTTTTAGTGTATAACTTTTTTTGCTTATTCTTTATAGTGTATAATTTTTTTTGTGTATTATAATTTACAATTCTGGGGGTCTAAAAAAATGTAAATGTATATATGTTTTGGTAGTTGTTTGTCTATTCCCTGAATTTATTGATACCAAAGTATTAGCATGTTACTAAACATATTTATATTTTGTTTAAAAATCAGTTTTCTCCTTTTTTTTAAACCTTTTAATTTATTATTTATAAAATCCATTTTTTCTTTAAAATATATATTTAACTTATATTTTTTAGATGTCATAAAGTAGTTTAAGAATGACTGGTGGTGAGAGTTTCCCTCTGATCTCTGGTTGCTTAAATCTTTCATTTTATTACCACTTAATAAAATTTGTTTTTTGTTTTTTAATCGTATGATTCCGTTGTTGACTTGGTTTCGTTTAAATCGTATGCTTCAGATATTATTCTTGGAGTCCAATGATGATTCGGCCTAACTGTCTTACACAGACGCCAAGGCATAAGGCGTATTTACCACACTAATGAAAACCTCAGAGACAATTGAGTCCTGGACAGGTAATTATTATTAAAAAAAAAAATTGCTGCCCGAAATCAGCAGTCCCGTTCTCAGTTATTATTAGGAATTAGTTTTAAGTACATGAAGAAAACATCTGCAACCTTTTAACAAATCCTCTTTTTTTTCTAGACCACCCTAATCCCAAACCAATCAAGGCTCCTAAACTAAACCTCCTCCACCCATCACGATCCCAATGTTCCAAATCTCTGAAGAAATCTATTAAATACCACCTCATGTTACTTCAAAGTTACAGGTACTTTGTAAATAAAATGTATATAGATTATAGTCTTAATTCGTATTTTAAAATTTTTATTGAGTTTGTTTTTCTATTTTAAACTTTTTATCAAGATTAATTTTTCATTTTCAGGAGTGTGGCAAAAATGCAGCAAGTGGAAACAGCACAACAAAATAACACAGTGAGTATGACATATTTGGTGGACGATGCATGAGAGGTGAAAATGTTTCATTTTTCCTTTTGAAACCAGGGAGGTATGGGTAAGAGTGGTAGCGAAATCGGAGGAACCAGCAGTGCGGGAAACTTGTCTGTCGCCACAGTCAGTGCGACTACAAGCTCGACGACCTTGGAACCACCACCAAGGGAAGAGCCGCACATCGAGCCGGTTAATGGGGTTGTACAACCACCAGTCATCCCTCCTCCACATCGGCCTGGCAGGGTTACCAACCAGCTTCAGTTCATACTCAAGTTAGTCAGACTCATGTGGAAGCACCAATATGCGTGGCCACTGCTCCAGCCTGTCGATGCCAATACTCTCAACCTTCCTGTATGTACTTATGATCCGTTTAATTTTTTTTTTTCCCATTGTCTAATCTGGTTTTGTTTTTATTTTAAAAGGATTATCACAAAGTTATTAAGCATCCAATGGATTTAGGAACAATTAAGAAACGTTTAGAAAACAATTATTACTGGTGTGGCCAGGAATGCATTCAGGATTTTAACACGATGTTTAATAACTGCTATGTTTATAATAAACCAGGAGAAGATGTAGTTTTCATGGCTCAAACACTAGAAAAGCTCTATCTATCCAAGGTAATTGTGCTGTTTTATGATTTTGATTTTTTGTCTGAATTGTTTTGTGTACATCAAAATTCAAATGTAGGAAGAAACGATAGTTGTTTTAACAAATTGTACAGATAAAAATTATTTTTTTTAATCATTCTTAAGCTTTTCAGTGTCATGGCAAACTTAATGTCTCAAAAAAACATTACATGTATAATACATTTATTTTTATATGAAGTTTATACTCATTCTGAGGGAAGATGTTCATGTATTTTTAAAAAAATTAATATCAGTAGTAACAGATATACTATTAAACTACATGTTTTGCTCAAATTATGAGAAGTAAAATTTGTGATAATTTGAGAAAAAGTCTAAACAGAGGTGGGTTCCATAAAATAAGTCAAATTTATAAGAGAGGAAGGTTAGGTCGAGGCATGAGCAACATGTATTATTTACGAAATATGTTTTCATCTAGGTTATACAGGTTTATATAGATTTTCCTTTCAATTGTTCTATAATTTTAGTTTGTACCTAAATGTTTAATCAATTTCAAATTTGGGCTCTTGTTATTCTGCAGGTTATAAACCTGTAGTTTTAATCATCCCCAATTCTGGTTGGCTTTCTCTGCCATAAAATGGCATTTTGCCATCATTTGGTTTATTTTCTTTCTAAATTTAGATATTTTTCGCATTAAATACATAACGTCAAACAATAAAAAATAAATTAATAAAACCACTGGAATTAGTGTAGATACTAGGTATATGTGTATAAGTTTAATTTGTTAACAATAGTAAAGATGTTGGTAAACTGACAAAAATCATTCCCCTCAAACTTGTAGTTTAAGTAAAAGGAGTATCCACAAATGGCATTAAACAAATATTAGTGATGAATAAGAGTATAAGATTTATTTAAAGTATTCATAGCTTTTATGGAAGCTTTTTATTGGAGTGAAAATTTTTCCTGTTTTGTGGTTACATGTACATTGATTTCTTAATGAATTATAACATCAAATATCAACTAACATCAATAGGGATTAGTAAATTAATTGAACTATTGTTCTATGCCAGACAAGTTACAAGCTTATTAAACAATTTTTGTGTGCAAAAGTATGTAAAATGGGAGTCTTGAGTTTGAAAAAAAAATGTATAGATGGAAAATATCAATTTTATTTATTTCACTCCAATTACAGTTGTTTCACATTTTTTATTACACTTCAATGAATTCAACATCTTTAATTTTAGAAGGCAGAATGACTGGCAATTGTTTTTCTGTCTTTTCAGAAACACAATTAAAGCTAAAGCTTTTTGCGACTTTCCCCCCCTTAGCACTACAAGAAAAAAACGAAGTTTTACAAATTACAAGGCAGAATTTAAGTCGGACGGTGCCAATTTTTACTAGACCTCTACTAGTTTAAGAAGGCTTAAACTGGGGACGTTTATTTTTTAAATAAAGCAAGTGGAGAGAAGACAATTTGTATGCACCTTCTGGGCTTTAAGAAAATTAAAATATGGATTGTTTGAAACTCGATCCAGTTCTTATTCTGCCTTTTGTAAGCATATTTTTTTTAATAGCTATTTTACTGTCAGTTTAAGTTGTGAAATGAGGGCTCACAAAATTGGAAATCATGTGTTTTCTTCCCTGAACTATTGTATGGAAAATTTGAAAAATAAAAATAAATAAATCTATCATTTATAAAATAAAAAATAAGTTTTGCTTCTTCCAAATATTGATTCATTTAAAAATAAAGGTACATCGGTCTTGCTTACTGTTTTTAAAAGATTTGACTGCTAGGTCATTGTCTTTTCTTAACTTAGGTCTAATTTCAAATGATTCATATTATTTGGAGTTAAGCATTTATAATATATTTTTTATTTGGATCATCAAAGGTCTTAAATAATAAAATATGTAGTATCATTGCCAGACAGTGTTAATAAACAGCTGTAGAAAGTTAATTTTCTCTAATTGTTTAGTTCAAAAGAGAAAAAAAAATTGTATGTTGAAAGTGCTACCATATGGTTATTAACAGCAATAAAAATATATATTTGTGATATTAATTAGAATTGGGGTCAACTTCCCTCAAAATGACATTAAACTTATTATAGAATGTAAATCTAAGTTGGTACAGTATTATTGTACTGTACATGGATTTGTTGCCTGAAATAATAGTTTTGTGCACAACTATTCAAAATTTTCATAGTGATAATTTATTTGTACTTATCCATATTGTTAACTTAAAACCTAGAGATCGTAAGAACATAAAGATAGTAATGTTTGCACCATAAAGAAAATGTTCTAACCTACATCACATCAAACCACATTTCACGATCTTTAAATAATCATCACTGTCACTAAATATTACCCATATTCAAGCTCAATATTAATAATGAATAGAAAGCATGAAAAAATATATTTGAAAATAATAAGATGGATTATAAAAATTTATTCTTGTATCCAGCTTGAGGCAATGCCAAAGGAAGAGATAGAGCTGGAACCACCGACTCCAAGAGGTGGAGCCAGGGGTGCCAGGAAAGCCAGAGGTGGTACGAATGCTCCACGTCGCACTGGCGGAAGGGGAAGGCCATCGACTGCAAGCACTGGTGGTGGACCTGTGGGCAGCTTGCCCACCACCACCACGACGACCATTTCTGCTCCAGTTACGCCGACATCCACCCAACACATCCCTCCTCCTATTCCAGGTTCGACAGCGACACCCACTGTCCCAACGCCTCATCAGAACTCGCTGCCCTCTCAGGTAAATAGCATTTAACAAAAACAAAAAAATCTAAATTCAAAAGTTTGTTTTATTTCTGAAAAATGGGCTACTTTCCAAATTTTTGTTGTTGGGCAAAGGTGAATCTATAAATGTAAACTAAGGGAAATTTATAAGTTTGTACAATTTTGTTATGTCAGTGTTAAGTTTTATAACTAATGTGGTGGTTTTAATGGTTTGATCAGTTAGCAGTTCTTTAAAAGTAAAGATATTTTTAATTAATAAATAATATCATGTTTAATGTCTTAATATTTTGTTAAGGTAAAACCACACAAATTTATCATTTAAGAAAAAAAGACATTTCAAAAAATTTTATCGGGAGAATAGAAGTCATATACAGTGGTTGCCACTTTCATGGTTATCCGTCGCCAGCTAGTACGTTGGAAATTTGCAGGACAGAACCAAATAGGCCTTTCCTGTGTGCTATTTGCCAGATAATTCATTATTGCCTTCTGTTTGGTTGCTGGACAATTCGTTGTTATAGCGAGTGTGACTAGCTGATTCTTCTTTATGCCTCTTCACAATGGCAAACTATAGTGGTCACAGAAAGATGGCTGTTGATCAACACACTAGTGCCAGTGGACTTTTGTGTTAGCCTGGGGTAAGAATTTACTGCACACTTCATTTTTTGTGCAGGCTGGCTCCCTTTTAAATGAGAGGAAAAACCGCTCCCAAAGCCAATCTTTGCCACTATCATCTCACCATTGACCACTGCATGTCTACCCCCTCAACACAACGGTGATGGCTTGTGGTGATTATTTATGGACCACCAAAGGAGCCTCAGCTCACACACCACACCCTCTGCCAAAGAGAGCAGTACATTTTTAGATTTTAATAAAATTCCCCTCCACTTTTTCTCAAGTTTTACCTAACATGTTTCTCAGTTATCCGTTGAATTTTATCCAAGATCAATTGCAACAGATTAAACAGCAACCATTATATTTCAAAACCCTTGAATACATAAAAATCTTTTAATTTAAACTTGATTATTAATTAATTCCCTTTAAATTGGGTGAAATGTTTTATTAAATGAGAACCATAAAAAAAATTCTGAATTTGTGTGACCTCAATATACATGATATGTAGTTTTGTACAATCCCATGCAAATTTTAATTTTTGTCAATTAAAATGGATCTTGGTGGCCAAGTGGTTAGGAATGTCTTACTCATATTTGCCATACTACCGGCCCTGGGTTCGAATGCCACTGTAGCCCATGGATTTTTAATTGAGAAAAGTATTGTAAAGTGGTCTGACCCTTTGTCCACGACACAATTAGATATAAAACCCTCCTGTTTGATGAGAATTACTTCACTTGTTTATTTTAAGTTTTGCTGTTTGATTCATTAAATAAAAAATAATGGAACACCTGCACCTGGTATGACCTCTTTGCATTTGTTTTAACTCTAACTTATTTTAAAATGAATTTCAAAATAAACAAATCACTGAGTGCTGAAAAGTCAATTAGAAATGGGGTTAAAACAGCTGACAAGGTTTTATTGGTTGTATTGTAAAAAACTTTTATCGAACCCGAATATTATTCAGTTGATTCATTAATTGTAATATTTCTACTGTTTCCTTAAAACTTAATTAATCAAGAATATTCTACAAATTTGTTTAGAAAAATAACACATATATACACAAAAAATGTCCAATAACAATTCAAAGGCGCGTCGGTGACTGCAACAGTTATGCGTTGACACTGAGCTCGTCACTATAAGGCTATGGCTATAGTGGATACAAGTTCTGACAAACAGGCTTTACCAGAACTCTCCCAAACAAAATCATCAGAACAAAGTGGTTACAGTGTATGCGAATTATGACGAAAATGAAGTCACTCAACCATTATCTTTCCTTAAAGATAGATGCAGCTGATTTATATTTTCTCAAGAGGTCCTGTATTGAAAGAGTTGATGCAGAATATGTAAACTAGTCTTTTGCTGCACGGGATAATAAGGAAGAGTCAGAAGCATTGTTTTCTGACCTTACAAGCCAACCTGCAAAGTTTTAAGAGTATTTTCCTGTCACGAGAAATTTTTAGGTACATACACAATGGAATTGAAGCATTCCAATTTCTGTAAATTCTCTGTTATGACAAGCTTTACTTTTCATATACCACATACTACTATCAAATACAAAACATTAGTTTTTCAATATCCATTGGGAAAAAACTTTTGGGGTAACAAAACTGATATTGTCTGAGCAACAGAACGCCTACATAATAATAAAAAGTTGTAATATGTATATATAATATATGTATCAGTAAACTAAAATCTATTTGTAAATTTTGGTGCATGCTTTTGTTTGTGTGTGTTATTTTTGATGACATTAATCCATTTCTTAAAAAAATATTGAGGGTACAAGCAAGTTTTAAAGGATTTATAAGAGAAGGCATTACTAGTATTAAATTGCATCAGACCATAACCTAACCACCTTTGTGTTAAAACCATCATCAATAAGCTTTAGTTATCGATGTCTCATTTTGTTGAAGTGTAAACAACGTAGTTTTTTTGATGTTGTGTTATGCTGACTTTTTGTGTGCCAATGAAACACAATTAGCTTTACTTTTCTGCGTACATGTTAAGTAAAAAGTACCTGAAGGTCATAGATTGCTGTGTGAGGGTTATGGGGAACATGCTTTTCAATTAAAAATTGTAAGTACTCGTTTAGGCAGTGTGTTTTTGACATGGAGGATAAGGAACTTGAAGGAAGACAAGAAACTTTAAGATGCAGAATTGGAGGCGTTATTGAACATAGACTTGTGTCAAATGCAACAAGAACTTAGAGGATCTTTAGGAATGCCTCAACAAGCAATTGCGTTATGCCTCAAAGCCATGGGAATTGTCCAAAAGTGAGAAAATTGGACTGCATACAAATTAAAGCCAAGAGAGACACAGACAGATTTTTCTCTTGTAAACATGAACACACTGCTCCAAAGGCAATCCCCCTCCCCGTCAAATCATAACTGATGAAAAGTGGATTCATTATGACAATCAACAAGAAATCATGGGGTAAGATTGACCATGTATCGTCAACATTCAACAGCAAAGTGGGTCAAAACTCGCTCTGTATTTAGTGGGATCAGTTATGAGCTGCTAAAACTGAAAGAAACCTTCACGGGGGATTGCTACCAATTACAATTAATGCGTTTGAGCCTAGTATTGATGGAGAAATGGTTGGAATTTGAGCAGAGACTCGATAAAGTAATTTTGCAGCACATGTCAAAAACTACTTGCAACACTCAAGTGGGACATCCAACCCACCCGTATTCTCCAGACGTCGCTCCTTCCGACTAACATTTGTTTCAATCAATGATTCATGGCATGTCTGAGCAGCATTTCTGTTCTTACAAGGAAATGAGTAGATCCTTTCATTGCCTCTAAAGATGGGTCATTCTTTCAACGCAGAATTCTTATGCTGCCGAAATTATTGGAAAAAGTAGGGCTAGTGATGAACAATATTTTGAATAATTAATTTGTTACCATTTTTGCACAATAAAGCCACAATTTAAAAAAAAAAAACTTACTTTTCCCCTAGATTGACAATATATTAAAATAATCTCATCAGAATAATTGTACAGTACTATAGTAATTAATAATATACATTAAATGGGCACCAGTGGCTACAACGGTTAAGACACTGACATGGTGTCTCAGTACTAGACGGGTTCGATTCTACGCGGCCTAAATTTGGACCCGATGTGCTTAAAGACTTAATGATATGTATTTATGCTGTGTTCTAAATATGTGAGATAGGTTTTCTTGGAAACATTTTTTTTTAAATATATATTTTGTTAAGCTGCATTTTCATTGCATGAAAATCGCTAAATGACAGAATCACTCACAAAACGGCTCGGGTTAACCATTTCCATGAAGCAAAACATTTCCAACATATACGTAAAATAATGAGCCATCAGGTTGCACAAGGGAAGCGTGCTGTTCATATCTGCAAGAAAACGGAGAAAACACCACGTCTCTATGCATCCTATATCTTGATCTTATTATGATAACTTATCTTTAGCATCCCACAAACATTTATAGCTCTGATACAGTTAGATATGTTAAATGTGCTCCTAATTCATTCTGAAGCTAAAGACAAATGTGCGTTTACAAGGAGAGAAACGGACAATGGAAACATTTGCGCACTAAAAAACCAACAGTTGGCTCACCCCTAAACATCCTCATGCCAAAAGTTTTGGAGTTCCAGCTAGGTGTCCACAACGCAAGACAAGTTTAGAGAAACAGTTGCACAAGTGATTTTGTCACAATAGAAACCCAGTTGAAATTTGCTAAGAATTGCTTTGACAAATAGTTGGAACTTCAGGCATCCGGACATCCTTTTCAATACACTGCAATTTATCTAAAATAATTGGAATATACGTTTACAACTGATATTTTGTTGGCATAGTCATGGTTGCATAGAATTTTGGATTTTTGTAAGGTTGATTGACTGAAACTAATTTTTGGAAGTGTTACCTGATTTGCTATAAAACCTACCTGCTGATATAGAGGAGGAAATCTCACTGAAAAAATGAGCGTGAGGATAACTGAACGAACAGTTAAACACAGATAAATGTAATGATGATGTGAATTGAGACGGACTGGAAACACAAAAGTTTATTAATGCAATGTTATTGTGGTATTGTACCTTATTGGTCTACAAGTTAATGGCCATTTTGTTCTGGTTATAAGTTCCTTCTTACTAAAAGTCCAAACAAAATTTTAAAAGTTTAATACTAAAATATCAAATTTATTTCCCTGAGCATTCAGGTTTGTTCATTCTCACTGGATGTTTTAATCAAGTGAATTTAGGTAGGAACAATGAAAGTAGAGAATCTCATATTACTTCAAAAAGGCAGACCAGTCTGGTTAGGGATAATGAAAAAGTGAACAACAACTCAGGCCAATGTACAAAGCTTCACAAACTTAAAATAAATATTAATGTGTTTTAAGAGTGGTTAAAGTTTAAAACTAAAGAATTTCGGAATTATAGTTCTCAGTTTATTGGAATCCATTGCATTATTTAACTTTGGAAAGTATCCCATTGGATGAAAAGGAAAGTTTGTATTAATATCTATTATGAATGTTTGACGACAGGTTGCCCAACAACCTGTACCAACACCTCCGGGCTTTGGAACCCCTACTGACCCACTCCTGACACCGGGGCTCGCCCCTGGTGTTGGGCCCAAAGGTGGGAAAGGAGCAGTTGTCCCCCCTAGCACTCCCAAAGTCAAAAAAGGGGTCAAAAGAAAGGCTGATACAGCAAACGACAGCCCTGCCGGATTCGATCCTCCATATATCCCCGGCGACTCCAAAGCCGCTAAACTTGGCACTAGGAGGGAGTCTGCGCGACAAATAAAAAAGGTGAATAACTTTTCTGGGTGTGGCCTTTTTACTATTCTATGCATACACACAAAAAAATTCTTCGCTTGCATCTTTTGCTATTCACAATCATTTTTTGGAGACCAAATTGTTATATTAAGCCAAAAAAAATTTTACTTTCTCAGTTTGTTAATACATAATATGTTAAAAAAAAAACTAAAATTGTGAACTACAAAAACTAATTAAAATTAACAAAAAAAGTTTATATCTCATTTTTTAATATTTTGGTTAAGATAATGACTGTAAACTTTGAAAATATAGTTGGCTTCTTTTTTGTTATAATCTCTTTCATCTTTATCAGGATTAATTTTGGGATGTCTCATGGTTTTGTTTATAAAGAGTGATTGTATTAAAAATTATACTTAAAATGCTACTTAATGCTCCAAATAAATGTCACCATGCTTCAATAAACCTTTAATATTGAATAAATATTTATTGCAATGATGAAATCCACATGCGCGTCATCTGAAAGTCCAAGCAGATACTAATTAAGTGTTTTACTTAATCTGATGTCTATTTGGTCTTAAGAGATGTAAAAATGTGCTTCTGAGTTCTTAAAAAAATTCTTTTTTCCTTTTCTTTAAATTTTGTTGTCATTGTTCGAAATGAATAACAAATTTCATTTTTATAGCCTCAAAGAAGAGTTGAAGAGGAGCTTGCATATGGTCAGATGCAGTTGATGCCATTTTCTGGTACCAATAATCAGGTTTGTTTTTTTATTTAGTATATATATTATGTTAACTTTCTCGGACAAGTGCTTAATTATTTTATTTTCCAGGCTGGCCATGAAAAGCCCAAAGAGAAACTTAGCGAAACGCTCAAGTCCTGTAATGAAATCCTTAAAGAGCTTTTTTCAAAAAAGCACTTCAATTATGCCTGGCCATTTTACAAACCTGTTGATGCGGAGTGGTTAGGATTACATGACTATCATGACATTATTAAAAAACCCATGGACTTAGGGACAGTCAAGGTGCTTTCTAATTCCAATTTCCCTTCCTGCATATCCAAAAATTGCTTTATTTATATTTTGTATATAAATTCCAGCAAAAAATGGATAACCGTGAATACAAAACTGCAGCTGAGTTTGCTGCTGATGTGAGACTAATATTTACTAACTGTTATAAATACAATCCTCCAGACCACGACGTGGTTGCAATGGGGAGGAAGCTACAAGACGTTTTTGAAATGAGGTTTGTTCTACTCAATATTTGTAATAAAATATAATTTTGTTAATGTTTTGATTCCTTGGTATAGTCAAATTTGACCCAATTTTTCTTGAATGTGTTATTTTTAGGTTTGCTAAAGTACCTGACGATACACCTGTTCCCGTAGTTCAAGAAAAAGAAGAGTCAACAGGGGAATCTGGTTCTTCTTCTGCATCTGGTTCTGAAACCGATGATTCAGAGGATGAAAGAGCAAGAAAACTAGTTATTCTCCAAGAGCAAGTAAGATGAAATTTCTAAAAATAATCTTGTAGAAATGAATTAATTTTTTTCTCCTTTCTCCAAATAATATTAGCTTAAAGTCATGCAAGAACAAATGAGGAAGTTAGTTGAAGAGAGTAGTAACAAGAAAAAGAAAAAAAAGAAAGAAGGCTCTGGTTCTGGAGGTAGTGCATCTTCCAATAAAAAACTACGAAAGTCACAAGACAGGACAGTAGGGAAAGTCAACGATGTGGCTGGAACTGTGCCAGCGATGGCCATGCCCGGGATTGGGCCCGAATTGAAACCTGTCGAATCCTTAAAGACTGCTGGTATGATCAACAGAAACGCTGTTGCTGCACCACCGCCTAAGCCGAACAAGAGTAAGCCACCAGGCAGGACGCCCGGTAAAACATCAACCAATGCCCAGGGGAAACGGCTGAAGCCTAATTCGAGGACAAACAACCCCAAAAAGAAGAACGCTTCATTACAGCCTGCTATTGACTCTGAAGACGAGGACTATGCTAAGCCCATGTCTTACGATGAAAAGAGGCAGCTTAGTTTGGATATAAATAAATTACCAGGTTTGATTTTTATTTATTTATTTTAATTTATCATGCAAGTTCTTTATTTTCTTAAATTGTTTAAAAATAATTTTTAATTCTAGGGGATAAACTTGGCAAAGTTGTACATATTATCCAGTCAAGAGAACCCTCGCTTAGAGATTCCAATCCTGATGAGATTGAAATTGATTTTGAAACTCTCAAACCATCTACCCTCCGAGAGTTAGAATCATATGTTGCATCATGCCTCAGGAAAAAGCCACGTAAGCCTTACTGTAAGTCGGTGGTTGGCTTGGTATAGTGATGGCATATCTAAACACACATTTACACACTTGTGTTAATTAATAACAAGACAATAATTATATATTACTATATTTTAGATAAGAAATGCTTTTAGTTTTATACTTACATTTTTTAAGTCAATAAATATAAATATGCTTTTCCTTGTTATTTTTTTTTCCATTTTCAAGTCTGAGAAGGAAAAAAACACTAGGCACACCTTATTAATCGGTATTTTAGAAGATACCACAGAGACAGTAAGAAAATGAAAAACAAATGTGTGGACTATGCCAGATCTAGGTGTTTCTATCCGCTTTTTTCTTTTCAAAACTCATTTTCTTAGTTTAAACAGAAAAACACTGGAGCAAAATGGATTGATTCTGACTAAGAAGTTAGGTGTATATACGATGTGTGTTCCTTATTAAAACTTAAAAAAAAATATATCTTCTAAAATAGTTATTCAGATATGAGATGCGGTCGGGTGTGATGTAGGTTTCAGAAAAACATTTTCTTTATCGTGCCAACGTTTCGATCTTTTATTGAGATCATCTTCAGGGCCTGGGATTTATATTTGAATATAAAATATATTTTGCATTGTATAAATTCACTTTTCCACATCCTAAATGTATTTGTTAAATGTAAACATTGTTTGTAAATCCCAGAAAATTGAATAACTATCGATTAACGGTCACCAATCTCTACACTCTTCTAAAATATTTCTACAATCAGTTTAACGTGTGTGATAAGTTCCTCACAAATTTCTTTAAAATGAAAATCAAGGAAAGCGGTTTTTTTCCCCTTTACTGACCGATTCTGTGATTTAGTTTTTGTTGATAAGTTCACAGTGTTCCTTTGAGCTATGGTCAGATCTTTTTCTATTTTTACTTGGGATTTTAGTCCCAAAAATTCTTAATTTGCCAAACTTTGCATGTCAAATTCAATTAATTTGATGTTTTATTCTTCAACAGTTTCTTCAATTAGTCTACCGATTGTCTAGCTGTGCGATATACATTACTTGGGGGGGAGGGGCTCTTAATTTCTGGCTACTACCGGCCACATCCCCCCCCCAGAACCATAATGTTGCATAACTTATTTCCATGAAAGATCAATATTTTCAATGGCTAACCATCGGGTGTCGCGGACAAGGGTTCCAATCATTTTAAAAAGCATTTTTCACTAGCGTGGTAAATACGAATCTTGATACACTAACAACTTGGCCATTGAGTGAGGTCTCCTTTTTATTAAAATCATAAAACAATCTATTATGAGGAAACCAACTGAAATAATCAAAAATAATATTCCATTTTTGCTCTACTGTTTGTTTTAAATTTAAAAAAAAAATTCTAATTAAATTACAATCTGGTTCCTTTCCTTGCTTGCTCTTTGAGCCAGATACAATGGTGTTAAGTGCATGCTTTGAACTTCTTACTGGCTAATATTCTATATTTTAATATAAATATGCATGTCTTTAAAAAAAAATATATATATATATATATATATATATGAAAAAATGCATGAATACATTTTTATTACACGTTTTTCGCTCATGCTTGCTGCTTTCTGTAGGTCATTGTTTATTGTTTCATTGGAAAAAAGCTTATCCAGTTCTATTCTTGTACCTTGGGTATTTTAATCAACGCAAAATTTCCATATCGAACAAACTAATACAACACCAACTCATTAAATTTTGATTTACAAGTGTAATTTATGTGTGTTGGTTCAATTTTAGATAAAAAAGTGTCTGGAAAGTCGAAAGATGAGGCGATGGCTGAAAAAAAACAGGAGCTTGAGAAAAGGCTGCAAGACGTGACTGGCCAACTAGGTTCAACAAAGAAGCAAGCAAAGAAAGGTATGTGAATATATTGTTTTTATCCTTTATATATTAAAACAAAAACAACAAATTGTGGAAATTATTCTAAACTGATATAACATAATTTTAATTGTAGGTGCTCCTGCAAGACTGTCAGCATCGTCCTCCACAAGCTCTGACACTGACTCCAGCACTTCGAGCCTCTCAAGTAGTTCCTCAGATTCGTCGGATAGTGAAGCAGGTAAACACAAAGCTTAATTTACATGTCAAGCATGGCCAAGTTTCATCGACGAAACTTGACCATGTTCTATTTTGAATTTTATATTACAAAGAAGTCTCAACGTTGTTAATCTGGATAAATTTTACTATTGGCTGACAATATTCACAGACGTGCACTTCTTTGTTGATAAAAATTGAAAATTAAAGTAAAAAAGAAAAAGTTCAATAAAATTGCAATGGATTTTTTTTTCTGTGAAAATTACAAAGAAATTGGCTTATTATCTTCAAGCTGTAGAAAGTGGTATAAAGTAAGTATTAGTAGCACTAGCTATAAGCAACAACTTCACTTTGACAAACAATATCCAAATTTATTTTATTTTATTATTATTTTTTTAAATAAAAATTAATAAATTCTGTTTACATTTGCGGGATTTGATTATCACCAATGTTCCTATTGCTGGCTTTTTGTGTGAATGTTTCTCCTGCCTGTTGTCAATCCTTTGTGAAACTTTAAATTTGTTCATATTTGTTAAAATTAATTTTTAAAGGAATAATTAATGTTATTAAGTAAAGACAACTGGTGATTTTTTATGCAACAACTGAGATAATAAATATCAAACCAATACAATCACGCCATATTTATATTGTAATAGTTTATTTTGACAAAAGAAATGAATGTTTGTTGACGAAACATTGGTAAAGTGGGTCTGGGTCAATCTACACTCACAAGTTTTTGATTTGTTTTGGTTTTGTGCCATTTTTAATTCAGGAACATGCTCGAAATTAGTTTCTCATTGAAAATTGGTGCAAAGTAGAAACGAGTTTTGAGTACATAAAAACATGAGTGTAGATGGTGGACCCAAAAGTTCAGCATGTGTTCATTGGTTCATGTCAATCATTCAGACCAACATCCACCATCAACTTTGACCAACATTGTTATAGGGAGGGGGTAAAAATTATAAATTATTAGTTTTTTTTATATTAAAATTTGTAATTTAAAAAAATAAAATCATAATAGTCTAGTCCTTCGTTTTAAATGTATGATGCTGTTGCTTGATTCTTGCTGTTGATAGGTTAGGACTTTTATTTATTTTATACAGTATGTCCTCGTTAACATCGTCTTTGTTCACATTACATTGTTTTTACGTTGCTTGTTTACAGCACATTTTTTGTTTTATTGAGCAGTTGTCGCTCTTATAGACTTGTATCGATGGTTGACTGACTGTTTCTTGATTTCATGGTTCTCAAAAACCCCATATCCTCATTTTCTGTTCTTTTTGATAATTACTTTAGTACAAAAAATTCCGTCAGAGTAGTTGGTTATGTTTTTCTTCTGTCGTTTCCAGGTCCCTTACTACGATTAATCGAGGACTTACTGTTCTTAACAGTTATCTTTTTTTTAATTTTACTACCAAATTGTTGTGTTATGGTACTTCCATTATCTAGTTTAATTTTGAATTTTCTTTATTAATTATATATTGGATTTTACTTCCAAAATTCACTATTTTGTTGTTTATTTTTATCATTATTTTATTCTTATTGTTGGTCGTGGCGAGTCTTTCTAAAAGTTTGTTCTTGTTTAATTTTACGTTAGCACTTATGTGTAACATCTGGATTCTATTTTTTTCTTCAAATTCACTTTAATTCATTAGGCCCAATACACACATGCGGTTATTTGCCATCCATGTCCTCAGTTGTGGTCTGAAGTAGAACATCAGATTGGTTCATGCACATATGCAGTCGTTTTTCATATTATTTCCCTTTAGCAAAATGGCATTACTTTTAATGACATATTTGTATTTTTCCTGTTTCTAATTTAAATTCTGAAATTCTCGTTGCCGTCGAGTCTCATTTTCTATCGTAGACGTTCACCTTGTTTGATAGTCATATGTGAAAATTGATGTACTTTAGTCACTACGACTCCACAGCGGGTCTGAAGCAAAAAAACCACATGTGCAACAGGTCATACAGTTTTTATTCGTACATTTGCTTTTCTTATTCTTACTGTTGTTAGGGGTAGTTTTACCTTTTGACATTTGTTCTTTTAAACCGTTATGTTTTTAAAGAAAATGTCAATTTTCACACTAATCTATTCTTACTAACATCATTTATTTTAGTTTGTTTGCTATACTTATTGTTAAAAAAAGTTTTAACTATTATTTTAGTACAATAAAAAGTTAAAACTTTTTTAAATAAGTATAGCAAACAAATATATATATATATGGACACACGTGCACACACTCACACACACTGCAGTTATATTGTACTCTAAAAAAAAATTATACATAAAATGGTTACAACTTTTTTCTAATTATAAATATAGCAAACAAATAACTGCAGTAATTTATGTATAATTATTATTTGGTTTGTGGTACCACAAACAGATAAACTTTATTTTCTTAAATACTTAATATATATTTACATATATATAATGATATAAATCATTAATATAATAAATGATTGAACTAGTGAGGCGCAGTCAGGTTAGATGTATTTCAGGAAAAACACATTTTTCATTTTATTACCGTTTTGACCTTTATTCGGGTCATCTGCAAGACCTGGATAAATTACATACTATATGATGTTTGGAATTTTTTAAAATTATACAATAAAAACGTATAATTATGTTAATATAAAGTTTAATCCAAGTAATTCATATTGACATAAAGTGTAGTGCTATTCTTGTAGTGTCATGTTTGTTTAGTGAATGCGTGATGAAAATGTGAGATGTGAATTTTTATCCTGCTTTTTTTATTTTTTTATATATATTTTTTTTTAAAGATTGTGACAGGGTGGGGGTGGCGGTATGGCTTGTTAATTTTCTTTGAAATTAGGCGGCTTTTTTGACTCAAAGGAAGTCTGGTATGGGAATTGTCAGGATTTGTAATTCCGGTTTTATTCAAAGGGTACAGTTACTGATATTATAGTTTGACATGTTGAATTGCCTTCTGCAATAAAACATTTTCGTTTGATTGTTTCCCCTTCCTATTTTGCTTTTTATTAGTCACACTTTTGATTTTTAAATTTATTTTTCTCTTTCAAAATGGCTTATTTATTTAAATCGGCCGTACCCCTGCCCTTACTTTGTATTTTCTTTTTATTATTTTTTTTAAACACATTTTGTAGTCTTGGTTGTTTTCTCAGTGCATATTTCAAAACTAGAAAGTTCACAATTGTTTGCTTTAAATGCACAATCGCCATAGCAAAGTTGCAAAGTTAGTTGCTAAACTTGAAAATTTACAGATTTAAAAAAATCCATTGTCATTAAAATTTATTATTTTTATTTGTCATTCACTCATAAAATTATTGTTTTGTAGGTGTGAATAATCACAAGGCGGCATAGTTGTAGTATAAACCTCTGTCACATTTCACTGACATGTGAAGGGGTAAAATCAAATGATTTGGTTGTGTACATTTATATATAATATAATTATATATATATATTTATAAAAAGAAAAATTAAACAAAAAAAATGTATTAAAATAAATTTAAGTGTCTATAGCCATGAGTGCAGAATGTGTGATTGGGGTCAGCCAGCATAATTGTTTCTTGTTTCATTTCTATCATTTTCTATGGGTAAAAGGTAGGGGCATTTCTAACCCTCCGGGTACCAGTTTTTAAGGAAAAAAAGAAAGTAAAAGCCGTTTTGTCACGTGTGTACACAATCACATACACACAATTGATAACATTAAGGAGTTGCAGACAATGTGACTGGGGGCTCTTTACGGCTCCGTGTTACTAAGTCCTTAAGCTGCTGTCTGCTGCCTCCAATCACATTGTTTGTACTCTGGCTGAAAGGAGCTTGGTTGCATGGTGAAATAAATGACGTAATGAATTTAAATTTAAAAAACAGCAATGATCTTTTAATTGGATTTTATTTTGTAAATATTTATGAATTGACAAAGGAAGCTTTCATCGTTGTAGCCAAGCTTCCACTCTGTTGTTTATAGTCAATATATTTTTTTATTTATACTGTAGGATTTAAAATGCACTTTAGTATATTGAGACATGGTAATTTTGTTTATATAAGGAATTTACATTCTAAGAATCAAAAATCAGTAAGTTATTTATTTCCATTTTATATAGTTAATATATTTAAACAAAACCAATTTTTTTTTTTTTTTTTAATAAGGAATCTTTTTAGTTGAAATTGAATGAAATAATTTAATAGTTTGGGTTAATGGGTGCAAGAGGCATTTCAGTCTGTATTAATTTTAATTTTATACTCAATGCCTTTGCTCTTGCCTAAATCCTAAGGGGATTTGCTAATAATGGAAGTTATAATTTTTTTTTTTCAAAATAGAATTGGAAAAAGCTGTTCATTAGGACTATACTGCATTCAATTAGAATCACACCTAGTTGATGTGCAACTTAGATCCTTTAATTGTCCAATTGGCTTAATTCGTATTTTATTCAAATGCTGTTTAAATTTTAAGCTGATTGTACAATGAAATCCAAATTTGCCAAAATCTATTTGCCCGAATAAATTTTATTTGACCTTTAAATTATTCAGGGTGTGTAAATATTGTCATTGCAAAAAAATGAAAACAAAAAGCAATTATTTAAAGGTTCTTTCAGGGGTCTTTCTTTAATTAAATAAAAATGCTCCCACGTTGTCGCTAATTTTAGAACAATTTTTTAATGCAATAAAAAAAAACTGTATAGTATTACTATCTATATGTAATTAAGTTATTTAAAAACCAAACCAATGTGATTTTTTTTCAATATTGTATAGATTTTAAATTAAATTTGACTAAATTCGTGAAATAAATTGAGTAGAAATTTTTATATTAAAAAAAGCACTTTACAATGATTTACATTTAAAAAATAATAGCATACAAAATGTGATAAATCATATGTATTAAATAACGCTAACAAAGAATGAAATTGAAAAAATCTGAACATCCTTTAATATATATATATTTTTTTTATACTTTGTTTTCTAGCAAAAATTTATCAAATAAGGTATTTTTGTTGGTAATCTCATCCCTTTAAATATAAGACGTTTTGTTCAGAATTATTTTACATTTTTTTGTTATATATATATTATTTTTAATGTCATTCATTTTATATAGTATTTATAACAATATAGTTCTTACAAAACTATATAATAACAATTTAACTAGCAGCAAACTTACAGCCCACTGTGTTGAAAAGAATTTTTCATCAAATCTATTTATTTCCATATTTTCAATGTTTTTAACATTAAGGACAAGTTGAGAAGTTTTTTTTGTATATAATACATGTAAATTTTTGGACAAATGAATGCAATTGTGTGTTGTGTGTGAGTGTACACAGTTTCAGCGATGCTTGAAACAGGCGTACTTTCGTTTAAAAAAAAAATACATACCATTGATTTTTATTTTTGTTTCTGTGGTTAAATGTACAATTTTATAATGTTTAGGTCGAAATAAGGAGAAGTTGCTGTATACAAATATTAAAATAAAATTTACCATAAGTTTAACTTGTATATTTACAAAACTTGAGTGTTATTTCTACCTCAGACTCCTTAAAACCCCCAAGTGATACCAAAAACACATTCTGCACGAAACCGTCAAAATTAAAAGGATTCTATAAAGAAAGATTTTAAAGGTGGAGGATTTGATTTTGTTTTGTTTTCCATTTATCTATGATTTATAATGTTTGTGAAAAATAATCTCTTCTAGGAAGGGCTGGTCGACCACCACGAAAGAAAAATAAGAAAAACCATCAACTTCCTACCACGGTAAGACTTTTTATTTATTTAATATTATATTTTTTTTAAATCAAGGTTTGCGATTAAACTGTGATTGCTGTGCAAACTGCAAAACCAGGTATAAAATTCTTTCATTAGAATAAACAAGTTTCTGCTTTATTACAAGGCCTGTCTTCGAATTAACAATCCTACGCTTGTCTACTTTCTAACTTACAACCTTTTCCATGTTGCTTTGGCAAAACACTTCATTAATTATCAGGGTGAAAAAGAATCAAATATTGTCGGCCATCTTAAGGGGGTTCAACCAATTTTTTCTTAAATAAGTCATTTAGAAAAAATTATTAAACTTGTTAATAATTGTTAAAGATCGTTTTTGCATCATTTGTTGTAAAGATTTGAAATTTTGAGCACTTGAAGTGCTTAAAAATCGTTTTTGACAATTTTGACCAAAAAAATTTTCTATCTTCCTGTTTTATTAATTTCTGCATTGTTTGGTGAAAAAAATGCAGTCTTATGCTCCAGAAGTGCTAAAAAAGAATTTTTGACCAAAAATTTAAATCTTTAATTTTAATCTTATTAAAATTAAAAAGTCTACAAATCAGAATGGCATCTACACATGGATAAATCCAAAAATAATGGGAATCCGCCTGCTATCCGGCAGAAATGTCCCAAGCTGCACATTCGGCAATGATGATCACAGCAGATTCAAGCTTTCAAAAGTCCACAGAAAGTTGAGATAAAAAATATAAAACAATTTATATTCTTTCGCTAAATTTCACTAGCATTTAGGCAATTTTTTCTTTTCTTTATATTCAAAAAGAAACATTTCCACAATATTCAGCATGAATTATTCAGAGATCATGAGATGCGCGGTCTTGTGTGATGTAGGTTTAGAAAAACATTTTCATTATTGTGCCAACGTTTCGATCTTTATTTAGATAATCTTCAGGGCCTGGGATTTACAAACATTGTTTAGATTATAAAAGTACATGTAATTGTATAATCCAAACATTGTTTGTAAATCCCACGTCCTGAAGATCATCTAAATAAAGATCAAAACATTGGCACAATAAAGAAAATGTTTTTTTAAACCTACATCACACAAGACTGCATCTCACGATCTCCAAATAATAATTAATTAATGGTCACTAAATACTACACATTGAACACTGTTTGACCTTCATGTTTCTTCTTGGTTTCTGTTCATATTTTGAATTTTTTGTTTTTTTAAATCTATCAAGGATTAAAAACTTGGTTTTATCTATTGCTTTTTTGTAAATAACATTCAAGCCCTGAGAGAAAAAAAATTGAATGACAATAATTAGGGGCAGATTTTTACAAAATGTTCATGTAAAAAATTAATAAAATAAAATTACTCAAAAAACGCCTCATCATTTTCTTCGTATTGGAATACTGTTAAAAAAAAGGGAATAAATTAAGCCGTTTTTTGAGAAAGAAGAAGAATTTAGGCGATGTAATGCATTTTCAGACAGTTTATTAAGCTGAATAGCTTTTAAAATAATATTTACATTAAAACTTATATCAAAATGTTCAAAAGAAAGATATGATGAAATGAGACCAATCGCATTGTGATCAGACCATTAGTTCACGAGATATTAACGGAAGAGTGGAAGGATTAGGAAAAATAATTCGATAATTGGTTCATCTCCTTAACTTCTAGAATTATCCCATGTCCCATGGTTGAGGTAGACAATTTTCAATCCTGTGATTCAGTAAGAAAACTATTCTAGTTCAGTTGCTACGATCAGTTATTTTTTCAATTGTAAACAAATTTGTAAAATGTAAAAGAAGTGGTTTAACTGGCAATACCCTGTTCTGCTCTGCATATAGCAAAATAGACACATTTAACACAGCATGGCAATGACTAGTTTCTGGTCGTTTCTGATTATTTTGGTCTGTCAGATGTCTTTCAATTTTTGCCATTGACAGTGGTGGGTCTGAGCCCTGTTTCCACTAAAGGTGGTGAAATGTCTGACAGACCATAATGAAAGGGAAATGCAAGCAGGTTAAATTTTTAAATAATAAATAAAATTTTGTTACTGCATGACCATAAAGTAGCTCTAGGTGATTGACGTAAATCTCAATTGCTACAAGGTAAGTAAAAATCAAATTACAGTTGGTCCAAGAAATTCTACACTTTACATACATGCTCCATACATTGTTATGAAATTAAATCTGCATATTTCAAAAGTAAATATGCAAATAACTAGAAGTGTTGAAAAAAAGTGTAAGTAATACAGTTCATTGGAATTTATTACAATTTTTTGTTTATTTTATTGGTCTCAGAATACAAGTTGACATCACCGAATTGTATGAGCTTTTAGTAGCATTTTCATCAACATTCCCAACACCTTTTATTTATTGTTAATTTGTGCACAATAGTAGCAAAACAAATTTGTTTAAAATATAAAGTAACTGAATCTTTTTACTATGACCACTCCCCCCTAAAAACTAATTCTCCACGAATTATTTAGTAATCAACAAGGAACCTTGATCCTCTGATCATCATCTATCTGCCTATTCTCACTATTTTTGTGCCTCATATTCATTATTTTATCTCATTTAAACTTAAAACTAGAATAGGCTGATTAAACAATCAAGCTACAGATTAGTGGCTTAAAGTATAAAACAGAAACATCATTGAAAATAATGGGATTTTAAAGCTTTTTTCTTGGTGTTAGTAATTGAATTGATTCATATTTATTATTAAAATAAAATAGTAATTTAATATTGATAAAATAAAACAAGATGAATTTTGTTTTCAGAGCACACCTGCTACAACAGTAGCACCTACTGTTACCATGACCAATGTGACCACTCCTGTGGGACAGATCAACAACAACAAACCGCCAGCACCGGCCCAGATCGGGATTTCTGAAAACAAGCCTATCACCACCGGGGTCACCCCTCAGCCTGAACCAGGCTTGATGAAACCTGTAGTCGCTTCACACGCCTTGCCTCCTCAACCTGCAAGGCCTTCTGCAACAGCAACTGCAGCTCCTATTGCTCCAAAAAGGCCTAGTATAACATCAACTATGCCACCGGCACTCGATAAGTTCGGCCAGTACCCTGCAGTTATGCCAAAAATGGGAACCACCACTTCCATTCCGACACTAGACACAAATACAAGCACGACAGGTTGTTATAATTTTAATATATTTTGTTTTGTTTTTCCTGTAAAGAATAACATTTTAAATTGTACGTTTACAGCAGTTCCTAGTGGCTTTCCTATCAAACAAGAAATCCCTTCGGTTGTGACACCTCCAGTTTCACTTCCATCGACAGTCTCAATTTTAATGCCTGACCTACAAGATATCAAAACAGAGCCTGAACCTATTGTTACTTCTCTACCTTCAGTTTTTGATCCACTTCCAGATTCACCGATTAAAGAGGAAAAACCACCAGTACCAATTCTACCGCATCATAATGATGGTACGTAGATTTTAGTGATTCAGTCTAATTTGACTTCGTAAAGAAATACCAATTGTAATTTTTATGAAGGATTAGGCCTAGGTAACTCTATCCCGGTGAGCATTCCTCCTCCGACAATTATTCCGACAGGACTTCCAGTCCAACCTCATTTGGACATGAACAAAAACTCTCAGCCACCTCCGACACTCCCGCAGACACCAAACCTTCAACATGCTTTTAAACCTAAGGTTTGTATTTAAATATCTAGATGATATATTGTCATTTAATATTATCAGACAATTTTAACGATAATTTTTTTGTTGCAGACGATAGAACAAAATGTTAAGAACGCAAGTTCTTGGTCTTCTCTTGCCCAGTCACCGACTCCCGCCATTACCCCAACTCTACCGACTGCTCCATCATTTAAAACAGCCATGGCGGACAGTTTCCAAGCTTTCAAAAAACAAGCAAAGGAGAAGGCCAAGAAGGTAAACTAAATAACGAAAATTTCATTCATTGTTGGTTAGTGCACAATTACTAAATTAGTTCGTGCATTCGCTGTGGTTATTAAAAAAAGCCTTCGCTTATCTTAAAATTAACCTTTTGCAAATCTCGTTTAGCAAAGAGCCTTAATTGAGCAACAGGAGCTGAGAAGACACCAGAAAGAGCAAGCCGAAAAAGAAAGGCTCAGAGTCGAGATTGAAAAGAGGAGGGAGCGTGAAGAGGAGGAAGCATTGGAAAAGGCCAGGTACAACTACTTCCTTGTCATTTTTAAAAGTTATTTATACATATTAAATTAACTTGTATAATTTCCCCTTGCAGGAAAGCTGCGTTTGAAGCTTCCCGAGTTGATGAAGTGAAAACCATAAATCAACAAGACAGTTCTAATCCAGGGACGCCTGCTGAAAAAGCTGCAGCTGATAGAGAAAGACTGAGGCTTAGGGAACAAGAAAGAAGAAGAAGAGAAGCTGTAAGTTCAATGATTTTTGAAAATAATTTGTAATCAGAAATCAGGGCAAAGAGTTCTCGTTTAAAATTGTTACGGTGCCATCTCCTCCGATCATCTTGACAAGCTGTTTTGCCATATCTAATGGTTATTCTGTACAATTTCTCATATGGCTTATAAAGATTGACAAAATACAAATGGCTTACAAAGACTGTAATAATAAGCAGAACCTGGGATGTTCGCCGCAAACAACATTTTAAAAATTTATTTGGTTTTATTTTTAACTTACATCTTTTCTAATTATTTTCTATATATATTTTTTTTATTCTGTTACAGTTGGCAAACCAAATCGACATGAACAGGCAGAGCGACTTATTAGCAGAGTTTGAGGAATCTTTGTAAATTATTAATTAAGCAATATGGATTTATTTTATATGTTTAAAAAGGCTGGTGCAATGTAAATATGATATAATTAATTATTCACAAATTATATAATTATAGCAGTTGAAATGAAAACAAAATATAAAAAAAGTCTCAGTTGGGGAAGAAGTTCTCTCTTTCTCTCTATTTCTCTCTATCTTTCTCTCTCTTGTGGTGGATGGAAAAAAACAACCAATCAGCCTGCGGGTTTTGGGGTTGCCCGCAAAGGCCTATAATATCTGCTCAATCTTTTTTGCATTTGTGTTCTATGTGAATAAATGTTGTTTATCTTTTTAAATATCTAAGTTGAAGTTAACTTAGTTTTTATCATAGTCTAATTTTTATTGTTAGTGCGTTCGGCAAGGCATATACCGTCTTAGGTGTTTGATTTTTATCATTTTATGATTTTTAGAAAGACCTGACAAATCAATGATGCTCGATAGGAAAGAGTTAAGCTTTCTTTTTTTACTATGTAAAAAATGATTATATAACACAAGCTTTTGAAACAAGGAATATAAAAGGTCTTTTTTAATAGTTGCCTTTTATTTTTCTTTAAGAATAAAAAAATGTCCACATGTATAGTATAATTATTAAATTTATTTTCATATATTTATAACTAAAAAAGGAAATGTTTATAACAATTGAATAAAAAGTTTATGTATCAGTTTTACATTTTTTCCTTTTTTTTTTTGTTCTTTGATTTTAAATAAAATTGTGTTATAGTTTTGATTTTTTTAAATTATATCTTGATAGTAGAGCAAATTTTGAATAATACTACATAAGTATAAAAGGAATTGGATTTATGGAGGTTAAAAAAAAAGTGCGTAATTTTATGTAATAAATTACTAAAACGCATACATCAAAGCATATGCCATAAAATAAACCTTTTTTGTTGGTTTTTGTTTGTACTATTTTTATTTTATTTACTATTATACAAAATAATAAGTAGTTAGACAACTATTACATGGATAGTTGATTTTGTCCTTAAACAGTTTTAAATAAAAGAAAAACTCTTAAAGATGTTTTTTTTTTTGTAGAAAAATTGTTTTTGGATAATATTAATTTTATTTTACTGTCTCTTAGACAGGGTTATTGTATATAATTACGAAAGAACTATTCAGGAAAATCTGCGTTTTGAAATATATTACCATATATTAAAAAAAAACTTGTGTTTTGTATGTGTGTTTGTACACCTTTTAGTCCAGTATTGTTTATAGACGTTAGTTTTCTTCCATGTGGTTTTTTTAAATTAATTTTATTCCACTTTTTTTTTTTTTAATTTACAACTAAAAGAAAATAACTTTTCTTTTTAATAAACCTTATCTTGGAATTTCAAATTATTACCTTGACTATATGCGTATAAATCAGTTCCTTTTTTTTTACCAAACAAATCCAAATTTGAGTGTAGGACAAACTTAAACAAGGTGTACCAAGTGGTTATGGCAAAAAGTGAAAATGTAATTTAAATGAAATTTTAGACAGTTAAATGTATTTTCCAATATGAAATTGAATTTTGTTCAAGATTTCAAAACTTTCCTTTTGAAGTAAAACAAAGATTTATAAACCATGACCTTTTTCCTTTTTTAATTTAATTTTTTTTTGTACATATTACCAGGGTTAATCCATGTAATAGCTGTATACTAATTGCAGGATCAAATAATTTATTTACTGTAAATAAATATATTTTAAGAAAGAGTAAAAATATATGAAAAATGGAAATGTACAGAACCCAAGAGTGTACTTAATTGTGGAAATCATTCCATTGTAGAGAATTTTTACTTTTCATGTCAAATACCAGAGGACAATTTGGGTTTTCAATAATGGTGTTGTGGGGTTTATACAATATAAAAAAATTAACTTTTATACTTCAATTAAGAGAAAGAAAAAGGTTTTAATTTGTAGGTGTTATTATATTTAAGGAAAATAGTCAAAATAAAATTTCTGTAAATATTTAAATGTAGAAAAAACTGTAAATTTCCTAATATTATTGAAGTTAATTTGTGGCGATAGCTATTTATATTTAGACTAGCGGTTTATTTGTTGTTTCAGTGTTAATGGTATTGAAGTAAAAGAATGAATTGAGAATTAGTTCTTAAAGAATTCTTAATACATGTGAACTAAGTCACATTTTGTTGAGAAATGGCTTCCTTATTTCAAGAAGAGAGAAATACTGGAAAAAAGTGGAGAAATTGTGCATGCACTCATTTGAGATCACACGAGTTCAAGAAATAAACATGTAACAAAAAAAATTAGAATAATACCTTAGAAAAGTGTTTTATGGACCTAATGACAATTGTAAAAAGTGGTGTTTGCCTTTTTCTTTTTGTTCTTTTTTTTCAATTTATTATTTTTTGTTTAAAAAGTGTTTAATATTTAGACACCAGTACTTTGTCCATATTATATATACTTAATTTTTTATTTAATAAAAACAAATGTGCTATAAAAAGAATGATGAAAACCAATATATTATTGAAAAATATTGTCTGTATAAAATTTCTTTTTACTTATAACTTGCATGAAACATTTATTGGAACATACAAATTGTTTTCCAAAATATTTATTGCAAAAGTAAATAAAAAAAGGCTATATGTATATAGTACCCCGTGTCTTCCATTTACCTTATTTATCCATCAAAAACATTAACATCTACCATTAAAAAAAAATTACATATGTTTTTCATGTGTTTGTCCATTTTTTTTTTTTTTTTTGTGTTTTGTGTTTAAACCCCGTCAGTATTAACTCTTTGGCAAAATGGCGGTGGATGATTCAATGCGGAAGCTGGTTATTCCTCCCCACTTTGCTCCTTATCTTGAGAGGCACAATATTTACGAAGTCTTTTATGTGAGTTATATAAAAAAAATTGTTTTGTAAATTTTCAAACAAGCCCACTTTTTGTGTAGGATCTTTCGCTCAGCCTGGCAATGGACAGACCGCAGGATCACGTCTTGTACCTCAGGAATAAAATAACCGTTCTGACAAATATAAAACAAGTCATTAAAATAATAATAATTGCACCTGATCATGTTGGTACGTTTATTTGCCTAAGATTAGGCCAAGAAAATGGAGTACAGAATGTAAAATTGTTGCATGATCCTGAAAAAGTAATTGATTGAGCCTCTGTACTTTACTTAAATCGCACAACAAATCATTCCTGATAGCTGCTGATTTGTTTGCAACAACACTGCTAACTGTGACAATTAAACAAGGAAATTAATTAAAACCCAGCCTCACCACTGAATAATCAGTTTTCATAAAAAATGTGAGATGATTTAGTTGGTTTGTCTAAGCGGACCAAACAATTGCTTTTTTAATGAATATTTAGGTTTAAAAAAAAATTCTGTGGCAGTTGAATTTGTTTTGAGATGACCGTTTGGGCTGTAAAGCCCATATTCAGCATTCCAAGCATAGAATTTTGAGATATAACAAGCACAGTACGGTTCATGTCAAAGTTACACAGAACAGTGTGGACAAATGTTGAATCTCATATACACGGAAAATGTCATGTGCCTTGTTAAAATTGAGTTGGAGCTAATTGCCCTGTAGAAGGTGGAAGAAAGGAAAGGCCGAAAAAACTTAAGTGCCTGCATTTAGATAAACTACAATTATGAATTTCTTCTTGAAGTCTGGGTGGTGAAGAACCTTCAGTTTGGTCATTTTCAATCATTTGGTCGTTCGTTTTAGTTGTCTTGTTTCAGAATAATCAGATACATTGAGTGAAAAAAACGCTAGAATTGATCAGAAAAGATCAAATACAAAGATTATTTAATGATTTACATTCTTTGGGTAAACTATGATTGTAAATTTCTTTTTGAAGTCTGGTTCGTGAAAAAACTGCAATTTGGTCATATTCAATCATTCTGGTCGTTTGTTTTAGTTGTCTTGTTTCAGAATGGTCAGATCATAGAGTCGACAAAAAGTCATACTAGAATTGATTGTAAAAGATCAAAGTAATAATATACTATTTAATGAATTACATTCCTTAGATAAAAGGGAACTTGCCAGGCAGATTGGCCATTCATTGGAAATAGATGTTATAAGTTTATGTGATATAATTATGGAAGATCCAAAAGTAAGTAATTTTTATGATTTGTTAATAATATTTTCCTTCCTGTCCTATATTAATAATAATAATATCTTTCTGTCCTTAATTAAAAGGCTGAACGAGATCCTAAAAGGCTGGCACTTCGTTTCAAAGAATTGTTAATTAGGAAAAAAATGACTAATAAAGGATGGGTACTATATGGTCAGGATTTTTTAAAATAATGTTTAATTTATCAGATAACTAGTGTTTAAAGATTTTCCCAGGGATAAGTTCGAGGCTAGAGCCATTCAAAAAAGTGGAATGAACGCAACTCATATATTTCAACTTGTCCCTTCACCCACTTTGTGTAAATATTTTCTTACTAATCAGGTCGTTTAATTAAATATATTAAAAAGTAAAACTAATACATTAAGATACGCCGAGAGATCTTTGGAACGAAAAGGTCATCGATTGGGATGAACGGGAATTGATGAAGATGCTAATTGATTACAAGAATCGAGTTGTCGGCTTAAGAAACATTTATACAAACCAGATACGAGTAATAATACTTTTTAATTGTGTTAAGTGGAACATAAAAACAAAATTTATTGATAGGAAATACCAATCAGAGGCCGACGACTTCCAGATGTCGCTAAGGCTTGTGTGATGATGACAAAGCAGGTGAAAATCCGTAGCGCCGCACCTTGCCTGCCACGAGTTGTCCTCATTGGTCCAAGAGGCTCTTATAGGAGGACCATTGCAAAAATGCTTTCAGAAAGGTTCAACATGGTCCATGGTGACTGACTTTTTGTAGAATTTTTTGAAAATTGCTTTTCAGAGTGTGACACTTTTTATTTGTAGTTGATATGAATGAGTTACTAGAACAGGGCAAGTTGAAGAAAAATGATGTAGGAAAGCAGATTAAACAGTTGTATGAATCTAATTGTAGAATATATGGAAAACTCATTATTGCAGTGCTCGAGGTAGTATACTAATAATACAAATCCTCTTTCAAGTAAATAGGACCATATTTTAATCATACTTCTGACTACTTTAAAACAAAAGTATAAAGTAAAGCTTTGTAAGATGTTATCTACTTAAAAAAATCATACATTGTTGTGCAGTCTACAAGGTGAATAATCTGAAGCTTGATTGTTTCTAATAATCCAGGTCTATTTCTTGTTTGTCTGACCATTAGAACATATAAAAGAACAAGAGGACGCACACAGAATAATGAAATACTAAAAAAGCATCTAACAGACAAAGCCATATAGAATAGGCACACCAGGATGATCAGAGGCAATCATGTTAGAACAATATACCTGTAAAAGATTAAATAAATTCAATTTCTAGTATAAAAAGCAAATTGAACTTGCCTCCTGCATAATGTTTTAGCTTAAAAAATGAAAAATCCTGAAAAAATATGACAGTCAGACTTTTATGTAAAGTTTTGAAGCTGCTGTCATTTCAATAACACAAGCATTTCATTATACATTAATAGTCGAACAAACAACTTACAATGATGTTATTTTTTTCAGGATCGACTTTTAGATTATGACTGTCTGAATAAAGGCTGGGTTTTGACTGGTTTCCCGAGAGATAGACTTGATTTTGAAATTCTCGATTCATTTGATACACCTCCAAACAGGTTTATTATAAAACAATCAAAAAACGGCCCTAAATGTAAAAGCTGACTTATTTTACAGAGTAATATTTTTGACTAAAGATAGCTTCGCATGCATTGAAAGGCTTAAAAAGCGAAGAGTGCACCTCTACAATGGCGATGTGAAGACTGTGGAGGAAATTGAGAAAATGGGCGATGATTTGCTGGCAAGTCATTTCATCATACATCCAAGTGATGAGGAAAAACGATTAATTTTTGATAATGAAATATACCAACGAGGGATACAAGTAAACAATTAAATAATACAGTTAATAGCTGACATCGCAATATATACATTTATTTTAGGGAATGTTAGACTATTGCAAAAACAATTGCTCGATTGTTGACGGCGAAGGGACAGTAGAAGAAATTTACGATCGTGTCGAAAGAGTAATTATCTTCCCTGCACCTGTTGAGAAACCGCGTTGTAGGAGGGATAAGGAAAAAGTGTTGAAGGATCTACAAGGGGCCAAAGAAAGCAAGAAAACTATGGAAGCACCTGTAAAAGAGGAGAAGGATGTAGCCAAGTTTGTATCCTGCGAGTCTGTCTATCCAGCCGCTATCAATGAAACGTGGAAAAAGAGTTTTGATGTCATCCCAGACAACCAAGATATAGATGAATCGTCCATTCAAGAAGAAGAGCCTACATTCAGCATGTACGAAGAAGAAGTGGTAGGCGAGGAGGAGGAAGAAGTCACAGATGAAGAACTTTCTTTAACTTTCAGAAAATCAAATTAAAGTTACATAATAAAGTTTAGGGATCGCAAAATGTCTCAACATTTTTTTTACAATTAATACAATAGCATTTGTAGGAATTGTAGCCTGACTACCTCTTATAAGCCCTGCTTTCTTATAATTTTTCTGTCCTTAGCCCCAATGGGCCATGATGACCCTTGGCTTCCCCGACAGTAGACCGCCATTCTGTTTTACTACTGACTACTGTTCTGCGCCCTCTGATTCATAATTTTCTGAGGTCCTCCTCAATGTCATCGACAACCTCAGCCTATGCCTTCCACCTGGATTTGCCTGCATCACTTTTTTTAAATTTTTTTTAACGTGTCTCTTCCATCCTGGTTACATGTCCAGTCATCGCAGCCTTCCATACTTTATTACAGCCACTAAATCAGATTCTTTATAAAGCTACATTAGTTCTGCATTTATTATTTTTCTCCATTCATTTCACTTTAACTGTCCAAAGATTTTTCTTACTTAGGTGTTTTTTATGGATCCTCCTTTTTAGTAAACACTCATGTTTCCGAGGCGTAAGGCCTCAGTACTGTACTGGGTACAGTAATCCTAATCTTCAATTCTTTGTATATACTTGTTGCTGCAATTATTGAAATGATGCTTGGGAAAATTTTGTAAAGGTCACTTGACAATTGTTATAGTCCTGTAATTACCCTATCACCTCTTTTTTGTGGATAGGTATTATTGATCCAACCTTCCAGTACCTTGGAATTTCTCCTTAGGTTCATACCCTCCAGGATTAAATCATATATATTTTTTGCAAAATCCGATCCACCAATTTTTATTAATTCTTCAGTCACTCTAGGCGCTTTATTTTTATTTATTTTTTTTCAGTTCTGATATGTCATCAACCTCTCCATCCGAAGGTACCATAGCTTCAACATAAAACTCATTATTTTGCTCATCTGATTCTATTTCATGTTGATCTACTTTCTTTAGAATATCCTTAAAATATTCCACCCATTTTTCTAAAATTGCAGCGTAAGTATTCCAACTTTTTCTTCTACATAATATCTAGGCTGGAAGATTTTCTTAATTTCTATAATCGACTTAAAGAATTGTCGTGTATCATGTCCCTTCAAAATCCTCCAATAGCTGTTCATATTTCCTCTCACACTCACTCCCACTCTCTTTCTCTCTCAATGGCATCTTTCGGAGTTGGTCTGCATTTCCCTCTGTCATTTGTATAAGTTCTAATGGTTAACCAATTGCATACAGGCAAAAATAGACAGACCAAATCATAGATGATCATGCTGCAGATTTATCTACTGACAGCTCAATGCAAAACTTCCCAATTTAGTATATTATAGCTTTCAACTTTATTCATATTATAAACATTATATAAAAAATAAATTCCAATTATTTTGCATGCTTGTAATCTGAAAATTATAACAAATAATAAAACATTTTTAGAGTATAGAGGATAAAAGGTGTTTGTTTTGTTGAACAAAAAGTAAGTAGGCAGAACAGTGAAATACATTTAACACATGGAACAACCAACTCTGGTTATACAAGAACAACTGAGCAATTTTAAACAAGTTAAAACATTTATTTATAAACAAAATGCCCTACAGTTAATAATCATGTTCTAAACATAACTGTGACTAAGCACAATAGGATTATGTGGTTGAACACTTTCGTTATGCACCCGATGTTGCAATATGGAATACCACACACTGAGCAGGATATCATTTCGAGTTGTTCACGTTCCAGCATCTCCTTCTTAATCAAGCACAGGTCATCTTGGAGCTTCTCTGTCTCACAACTCCTGTGCACTTTTTCTTTTCCGTGGGCTGAAATGTTTATATTGTTTTAATATTTCACCATATTCATATTCGAACAAACTCACTATGATCGACAACAAGCTTGACGCAGAGGGTCTCTTTGTACATCTCTGGTGGAATTTCACAGATTTCGTTTTTGGCGCACAATGAGTCGGTGTCCGTGACACAGGAGTAACAAGTCAAGTTCTTCAATTCTGAAGAAAAAGAAATCGATCGAATTTCAAACTAATTGTTATCAATGCTTTGACAAGTAATTGTAAAAACAGACCGACATCATGGACGAGAATCAGGAGAAGAGCAAAAGTCACGCCTTTTAGGTGTCCCATCAATGTCACTTTTCCATTTCAAACAACTGCTTAATGGTTTTAACATGACCATCACTTCTTGAATATCCTTTAAACGAAACTACTATTTGCCTGGATAAACATATGGGATGGAAATCGTTTCTTCAAAATATCCATTTTTTACAAGTCTAGAAATAAAATTCTATCAGCTATCTTTTTTTTATGTTTTGTCTTCGGGGGAAAAAATGTATTTTTCCCATTGTTCTGCTGTACTAAGTGCAACGATGCAAGGGAGTTGAATAGACGATGTGTATAATACGAAATACTTTAATTCACACTGGCCATCAAATAATTAAATTTATTAGATAAATTAAAAAACTAACAAAACCAATTTTTTTTTTTTGCTTTCCATCAAGTTATAAGACAATGGTGGATCCTAAAGGAAAATCTAAAAAAAAAAAGAAAAACAGTTTATAAGAAAACCATTTAAAATCGGCAAGACTAACAGCTGTTTCACGATGAATAAAGAAATTGGACAAATTCAAAAATTGACTTTAGATTTTTTAAAGTCTTCCTTATAAAAAAAAAGGTTGAATGCTGTGTTTTGAAACCGTCATATAAAGTTGTAGCTAATTGTTTACAGGATTACTGTTCCAATAATCGAACTTCAATTTTATAAATTGATGCACTTTCAAAACATGATATTGACATAAAATGCAGAAACGCATCTGACAGGAACATTTCAGAAAAGGAACAATCTAGCTGCAGGATAATTCCAAATTTCACCATCTTCAGTGGCTGCTCTGTCCGTTTTATCGAGTGTTTGTTCTTTTTATATGTTTTGACGGTCGTTAAAATTCTGAAAAGCGTTTAACCAAACCCACGGATTAAGAGGCAATTTGGTTTCAAAACTTTCGAATTTACCAACTTCATTGGCTTGTCTGTGCGATTTCTCGAGTGTATGTCCTTGCTACTCGAAATGCCGAAACGCGTCTAACAGTCAAATCCACGGATTAGTGGCAAAAGATGATGAGGCAATTTGGCTTCAAAACTTTCGAATAATACTTTAGTGGCTTGTCTGTGCGATTTCTCAAGTGTATATCATTTTTTATATATACGTTCTGATGGTTGACAACACAGAAACGCGTCTAACAGACATGCCCACGGATTAGAGGCAAAAGATGATGTTAAGAGGCTTTGTGGTATCAAAACCTCCGAATTTTTCAACGTCAGTGGCTTGTCTGTGCGTTTTCTCTAGTGTATGTCCTTTTCTATACGTTCTGAGAGTTGGCTTAACACAGAAACGCGTCTAACAGACATGCCCACGGATTAGAGGCAAAAGATGATTAGAGGCAATGTGGTTTCAAAACTTTCGAATTTTTCAACGTCAGTGGCTTGTCTGAGAGTTTTCTCGAGTGTATGTCCTTTTCTATGCGTTCTGATAGTTGGCTTAACACAGAAACGCGTCTGACAGACAAACCCACTTATTAGAGGCAATGTGGCTTCCAAACTATCGAATTTCGCCAACTTCATTGACTTGTCTGTGTGTTTTCTTGTATATATGTCCTTTTTCTTAAAAACCTATAAATGGTCCGCGACTGTTGAAACGTGACTGATAGTCAAAACACGGAAAAGAAACAAAGTATTAAGAGACAATTTAGCTTCCGAACTTTCAAATTTCGCCATCTTCAGTGGCTAGTCTGTGCGTTTTCTCCTTTGTATGTCCTTTTTATACGTGCCAACAACGGGTTAAAAGAGAAATGTGTCTGACAGACAAAAACACGGATAAAATTTCAGAAGGTGATAAGAGACAATCTAGCTTCAAAATTTTCAAACTTCGCCATCTTCACTGGTTGATCTGTGCTTTTTCTCCCATGCGTGTCCTTTTTGTAGGTTCTAACGATCGATGAAATACAGAAACACAACCTGACAGTCAACACACCGGAAAAGAGGCAGAAAATAATAAGAGACACCTTAGCTTCAAAACTTTCAAATTTCGCCATCTTCAGTGGCTGGTCTATGTGTTTTCTCGTGTTTATGTCTGATGAAAGGTTCTAACGGTTAGCAAAACGCCGAACAGGTCTGACAGAAAAAGCCACATGGAACAGGCATAATATTATGAAAAATTTTAACACTAAATTTCGCCAACTTGAGTGTGTCTAGTAGGCAAATTTGTGAAAAATAGGTGAACTATCAGAGGAATGACCTATTCATAGTCATACATAGTATAACTATGACATATACATGTTTAATGAGTGCATGTATGTCTGTGAGGTTGTAAATGTTCTGAAATAATTTCTTCTACCTTAATAAGAATAGTAATTAATTGTGAATCGTCTTGTTGTATTATGATGTGCGAGGCAATTGACCTGTCTGGATATACATAGGTAGTCCTGGTCTGCTTAAGTTGTTATGTCTGTCAGATGCTTGTGTGCATTTCTTCATCTGGGCTTTTACAGGTTTATCTGTCCTATTGGTCGATTAACCACTTGAGATAGTGATACCCATCTGACCACGATAATTGCCGATGGTCATTGGCAAGTTCGTTCAACTCAGATACCTGAATGCCGTTGACTTTACCTGAGCGTCATCGAACCTCGTGACGTCAAAAATCAGGTAAAGTGACAGGCACAGGTAATATCGATTCCGATGGGAACTAAGCTGTTGGCTGCCAAGTTTCCATCTGACAGCTGATACCTTTGTTGTCTATCGGCCGGACGCGATTTTCCGAGTTTCAGTTGACCATCTACCTGTCAAAGTGGGAAAAAGCGTCTCTCACACACGTTAAAATGTGATGTCCGTGTCAATATCCTCAATATTTTTTTTTATTTTTGTACTTCTGCCTGTCTTTTCGGAGAAGAAAGTCTGAAAGATCTAAGATATAAAATATTGGATAACAATCCGCCTGTTATTTTATATAAATATAGTAAATTTAAAAAGGAAAAAAAACATGTTCGGTACACTTGTATTTTTTGCATTAGTAGCCCTGTCATTCGCTTCAGGCGTCTTTATAACTCTATTAATCCAATGGTACTTTTTTAACGTTTATATTAATAAAAAACCCTTCGTCGGCCCTGCCACTTCGCCCAGCATTTCGCCCTTCGAATTGCCAAAGGTAAAGATGACAGAGAAAAATCAGTATTTCATCAGCACCAGATTTCCATACTTGGCAATCTAATATGAACATTATGCACCTTTCTGCACAACTACTGTATGTTAATTAACTGTACTATAGTAAAGAATAGAAGAAAAAGTTTGATTGACATCAACCAGTGGTTGTTATGTTTAATTTATAATAACTTTTTTATAATCTAGGGGCTGTTTCATTGAATAAAAGAAGAAACGAAATTTTTGTATCATTTCACGCCTTGCAAGATTTTTAAGTGGTCTCTCATCTCCAAGAACCTATAAAATAATCACACACAAGAAAATGACCAGACGGACCGCTTAAAATGCCTAACTGCATCTGACAGATAAACACAGTAAGAACAGGCAGACTAGGATGAGACAAACTACTGATTCATTGCTACACAAATTTCAACACAATATTTTGCAATTGATCAGTTTTCTATTCTCGCCGAGGAAATATGTTATTAATGTGTTTACATTCGCTCAGATAACACACACGTGGTTTGTCAACAATTATTTAAATGATTCATTTATAATTAAAAAAAAAATATAATTTAGGGAATGTTTCATTGAATTAAAGAAGAAACAAAGCTTAGTTTTCATTCACACGCCTTGCAAAATTTTCCTGATGTGATAAATTTCATCAGTTTGAGAAGCATGCCATAAATTATGTCGCTTGATCATCTACAATCATTAGGATTGAATCAGCCTATTTTTGCCTCATATTTTGTCAGTTGCATATCAGCATTTTTAAGTGGTCTCTCGATCACCAATAGTACCTATAAGAACATAACAAGAAAATGACCAGGCGGACCACTTAACTGCATCTGACAGATAAACACAGTAAGAACAGGCGGATTAGGATGAGACAAACTACTGATTCATTGCTACACAAATTTCAACTCAATATTTCTCAATTGATTAGTTTTCTAATTTGGCTGAGGAAATATGTTATTAATGTGTTTACATCTGCTCAGACAACACACACAACACATGTGGTTTGTCAACAATTATTTAAATGATTCATTTATAATATTTTTTTAAAAAAATAATTTAGGGAATGTTTCATTGAATAAACGAAGAAACTTGAACCCATGACGTTTGGCTAAATACGCTGCAGGAGCTATCATGATTCTTGTACCCCTAATACACCAACTCATCATCTCAATATACAACTTTTTCAAATCCCCCTCTTTTTGCCTTATATTCAAATTACATGTAACCATTCATCATTTTCATCTCTGCAAACTTGAAGTGACCACAGAGAGATGTTAGTGAAAAACAGATCCTTCAGTAATTATTATTTTAATATGTTTTAGTTGGTCTTAGCTGACTAGAGCAATTATTCAATGAGATGGCTTAGCTGAAGGTTGGGGTGGGCTCATGACATCTTTTCATCTCAATCTCACTTTGCCTAATTTATTTATTTATAAATGATTATTTATTTATTTGGTTGAGGAATATGTTTTAAAATGCAGAGATGAACACACTTCATAAATCTAAATTGGAATTGTGAAGTTTATTAAGACCCAAAGAATAGGAACTGACCATTAATAACACTTATTGTCTTAAAATGTTAAGCCTGGCTGAAATGTTTCATTATAATTAATAATATAATATGAATAATATGACTTATTAGAAATCCCCGATTGCTTTTTTTTATCTTTCACACACTCATGAAACAATATTATGTCCACTATAATTACTATCAGCCTTCATTATTATAATGTTTTATTGAAAATCAGGGTTAAGAACAATTTGGAAAAGAAAAACAACAGTTCCTTTGAAAATCTTTCGACCCCTTTATAAGGGAAACTGTTACTAATAATTTACAAGGTTAACGAAATAATATCTATTTATCATATTAAAAGTTATGGTTTCAAGTATAGTGAAATGAAGAATTACATTTATGACTTCTGAATTTAACAGATTGTTAAGAAACATTTTAAAGTTTTATCCACATTTTTATTGGGATAAAATTAATCTTAATATTTGATAATGCAATAATTTGATTTTTCATATGAAACTATACCTTTTTTAATTCAATTCTTTTGTAACAAAATATTAAAATTTGTTAAAAAATGGTGTGAAATGTTATGATAAAAATACAGATAAAACGCAATCGAATGCACCACTATCAAGTTAGATAATGCAATTAATCTGCCACATGCAATAGCTTCCATATTTGTTGCAATAACTCGAGTTAAAAAAATAATCTGCAGAAAAAACAAACATTTATGGTTCTTGTAAAACATAATTTTTACGTTGAGATAAAAAAGTCAGTGTCACGAGCTGGATTCGAACCCACGACCTTCGGCTTGATAAGCCCTATACTTTGGGGTTGAGATGGGAAGTTAGTGCCCGGGGGATCAAAGTCACGATAGCTCAAGTAGTAGAGTAGCGGCGATCAAGCCGAAGGTCATGGGTTCGAATCCCGCTCGTGACACTGACTTTTTTATCTCAACTTAAAAACCTTAATTATTGAATGTTATTAATTGGTCAAGCAGACCACGAAAAATAGTGAATATAATTTTTACATTTGTATTTTTTCTCAATATTATCAAAGTATGCAGGGGGTGGTTGAAATTGACACTCTGAAGAAGTAATATAAACATAAAACACAAGCATTTTTTTATTTAAGCTAATTTTATTATTGTCTCTATTGATAGATGAATAATGTGTAAATTGTTTCGTGAGAACATGTTTACAAGCATGAATGTGTGTGCAATACAAGAGCATTGATGGCAGAATATCATAGTACCCCATTGACTCACAATTAGATTGGTTAGTGCATAGGAATGTCGAATGCTGTATCACCTACTTGCTAATGGTATGTAAGTAAGAAAGAATGTAGTTAATTATAAGTAGGTGCGTTTAGGTTAAAACTGCATGCATAGAGGGCTGAAATGGCCTTGCGACCGATAGCTCTTGGAGGTATGGATAAGACAAAGGTCTGACCCTATACCACCAGAACACCGGAGTGGATGTTGATGAGTCATAGGTTTGATTCTGTTCAGAATTAAGTTTATATAAATTAACCAATCAATAATTGCAATGATTTAGACTTTTTTTAAATTTATAACAGAATTTTTTAAATGTAACTCTAGCTCTGCTTAAAAACTTTACTAGCACCATGTTTACAAAACTCAAGGCAACACGGTTTTAATTAATTTTCAGTTAAATATAATTCTTTTCTTTCTTACTTTGTTGTAGGAACCCAGAATGAAAAAAAGTTAAATTTAATAATTAATTAATTAATAATATGTAAGAGATCTGAACTAAAATTACTATATAAAAAAATAGTAAATGTTAAATATACTTAGCACACCCACTTTCAAAAATGGGTTTTGATCATTCAAAATATTTCAAATTCTTAAAAATCCTTGCAGAGATTTAATTTAACAAATTGTTTATATGTGCATTATTAGGATTTAAACTTTGTTGTTACAGATATTACATAATAAGGGCAATCTTGGCAAAGAAGCCGCAGGTGCTGTTAACAGCCTGCTACAGTTCTTATTTCAGGAGTGTAGGAACACGAAGAGAGTTCGAAAATGGTTCAGGAGACGGCTGAGCCTTGAACTCGAGGTCCTATTGACTCGAACGACAACCGGGAAACTATTTGAAAACATTGTCGTGAGTTTTTGATTCTGTTGAACAAAAAAAAAAAGTTTTTCTACATCCAATTGTTGCAGCTACGTGATCTCGATCTTGGCTGTCATCTTCCTGCTATTCGGAGCATCGAGGTGAAAAATCTTTCAATTGACTCCGGAACAAAGCTAATTGAAGAGGTGGAGCTTTGCCTGGATTTGGAATATCTGGGAGGATTTCAGTTGTCGATCGATGCCAGCATGAGACTTTCCAAACTCGCCCATGTTTCAGTTAAAGGTGAAACCAGACAATCATTATTTAAATTTTATCAAATTCATTGATATCTTAAATGTCTATTGATTTAATGATTTTATTTTATTGTATTATTATTTTTTTAATGGCCTTTTTTCTCATATTAGCCAGAGTATGCATGTAGTATATCATATTTTAAGGAAAAATTGTAGGGGTGACTGTGGGAATTGAACACACCAACCGCAACGTCTACGAGCTGAGAGTCTGACACACTAGACCTTGCAGTCGTGTTTGATTCTGTCACCCCTGGAATTTTTTACTTATTTCCCTCCCCCTCCACAACTTTAAGCAAAGTAATTAAGGTTTTTAGTTGAGATAAAAAAGTCAATGGCACGAGCGGGATTCGAACCCATGATCTTCGGCTAGATACGCCGCTGCTCTACCACTTGAGCTATCATGACCTCGATCCACTCGGACACCAACTTCCTATCTCAACCCCACCATTTAAGTTTTCCCTCCTTTTTGCCATTTTTCAAGACAGACTTAGATATAGACTTAGATACAATACCCTTGAATTCTTTATTTCATTAAAGAAAGAAAAATCTTCCAGGAAAACCATTAGAGATTAGACACCAATAGACAAAATTTTAAGTGATAATCCCTATGACTTTAAATAGGGAAAATGACCTTACACTCAAATAAGAAATTTTTCAAGCAGGCCAAATTTTTTCCTTGTGATTACTATGTTGGTTTTTTTAATGTCAATAATTTTTTATTACTGCAATGAAGTAAATGAGCTGAGTGGACTTGCCCAACTGAAATTCACGAGGCACCCTTACACCCATTGGAGTTTCTCGTTTTATAACGACCCCATCCTCCAACTAGCTGTTGAATCTCAGTTTCAGGGACGTTCCCTGCCACAAATAAATTCCATAATTGCCAGCCAGGTATTTATCTTGTGCTCTCCTTTGTAGCTTTTATATTGAAAAACTTTCTTTTCAGATCAGAAAAGCTTTAAAAAGAGTCCACACACTGCCAAATTTCAATATCCGTTACAAACCATTTTTTGTGAAAACGGAATTAGAACTGCTGGAAGAGAACGATGTGTTAGAACCACCACTTGGTACAATGGAGTTGACTATCTTGGAAATAACTAGATTAACCGAAGTTGAAGGGCCGATTTATTGCAATGTGGCAATAGGTATTGTCAACTTAAATTATAAGTCATTATTAATTTTACATTTTTTTTATTGTTTAAAAAGATAATATAGCTTGGATAGAAATGACACAGACAGGTACAGCCAGCTATCTGACAGTTGACGCTTCTGTAACTAAACAGTCAGGACAGTTAGGAGTTAATTTTAAGCAGGAATTTGTTTCTGACAAATATCAGGTTTGTTCTGGCAAAAATGCGTTTTTTGTTGCGTTTGAAATTAAAAAATGATTTTTATTTTAGGTCTGCATCATTGTAGAAAGTATAAGCAATCCACTAATTACAGACTTGAAGTCTGGTGATGTCTTAATGCTCGTCGATGGAAAGAGTGTTCAGACATTATCTGCACTCAATAAAATAATAAAGCAAGCACCAAGTAAATTATTATTTAGAGTTGAAAGGAAGATAAGGAATTTAGTTAGCCCAGATCTAAAAATCAATGAAGTATGACTGCTTATAATTTAATACAATTGATTACCAGTTAGAAAATTAAGTTATATATCCCTTTTACTTTTTTTTTAATTTTTAAGGGATTAGATTGCTCGTACGGCTTACGTAATCGAGTAGGATCTGGTGACAAAACAGATAGCGATAGCAGCAACCCACCGTCTTCTTCAGGTACATCCGATCAATCAGCCAACTTATTTAAATAATACTTGATCTAAATAATGTCTATTGGACTGTATACAGTTTGATTTGTTATGTTTTACAAAAATGATCAGTTAATGAAAAATATTCTTCTTGAAACAATCGTTCATACGTAATTTAATTATAATCGATCATTTTAGTCTGCCTATCCTCACTATATTGGTCTGGCAGATGTGTTTCAAACATGAAACACTGATGATGGCAAAATGCCAAATCGCATGACAGAAAAAAAAAAAAAAACAGTTCTGTGAGGAGAAAAGGAGAATACTTTATTTTTCTGCTCACAAAGTGATTTCAAACATTTAAGCCTCTTTTATGTATTTTGCAAATATTCATTTTCCCAACATAAATTTATTTCAATGACTTTATCATCTTTAATAATTTGATCTGCTTATTCTAACTAGTTTTATCTGACAGATGTGTTTTGACATGTTTGTTTCTTTAGCGGTTGGCTTGTACTTTTTGTCCCGTTTATGTCTTTTTTAAAACAAAGTTTGGTTAATCGCTTAATTGTGACTGACAGACACAGTATGAAAAGGCATATCAGGGCAGTCAGAATGATCAAACCTTGTACTTGTTGACTTTATAGATTCACCGGCTAAAAGGTCATCCTGTGGAAGCCCTGAACACAACAAAAGCCTTCCTCATTTGTCAGTATGCTCGGAACCAGACGTGGAGTTTAATCATTTACAATTCTTCACTACTAAAGACGCTGCATTTTCAAAGGTAAAGATCAAAAGTAAACATCAATTCAAACAATATTACTTTTCTAAACATGTTTCAGGTGATCACATTCAATGAGACATTCAAATTCAATGTTTCACCTGAACATCGTTACTTGAACGTCAGTGTGTGGACGAGGGGAGTGGATAAAAATACTTTACTCGGTCATATCAGTCTTCCTGTAGCAAATTGTTGTCCTTCTACAGTGGGTCATTATATTTCAACATATTCTTTCCTACCTCCAAACCCAAATCTCGGATATAAGTAAGACCAAGCAGACTTTAAACTTGGAAATAAAATAATCAAAATGAATTTTGCAGTTCCCCACTTTCGACTCATCCAGGATTTGAACCTTGTCTTTGTTATGGTGATGTACTTCTTTCATTTTCATTTGCAAGCAGTGTGAACCAATCACTGCCTATCATATCAAACGTGAACAAAACGCCGCCACCCGTTACGATTACGACACCTATTAATGAAGAGACGGCACAGGTGATTCAGCACAATTTTAAAAGAACTCACTTTGAGAAAGTGACCCCATGTGGATTTTGCTTTAAAAAGGTTTTTGTCATTTCCTAAATATATTTTGAAGGGGGAGTTTGTTTTTTAAAAAATATTTTCGTTTTAAAGATATGGCTCAAAGATGCCCTCCAGTGTCAAGAGTGTCTGATGAGTTGCCACAAAAAATGCGCGGTTAAAGCGCAAGCTGGCCCAAGTTGTGCAAGAAGCATCGTCAGGAGAACATCAATTCAACCTGAAATAATAATGACCTCGCCTGAAGAAAATATTACCCAGGTAATTTTCATTTACAATTACTAAAACCATACTGAGTGAGCATCACTAGGAAAACCATTATATTAATTATCATATTGGTTGAGATTATTAATTAATTGTTAGTCTCTGGAAGAATTATTCAATGTTAATTGTAATTAATTATTCTTTTATATAAGGTCTCGGTTTAAATGAAAAAGTTAGTGTCTTGCTCATGACGCTAACTTTTTCATTTCAACCGAGATCTTATATAAAAAGAATAATTAATGGAAAGAACTAATTTGGTCAATCAGACCACTAAACATAATGGAGTTGATTGTAATATAAAAATTTAAAGCTTGTATATATAATTTGCAGATACATTTTACTGCTGTCTAATTCTCTAAATAATCAAGTAAAATATTAATTATTATTGTTGTAAAAGGTCTATATGTTTTATTAAAAGCATATTGTGTTAGATATTAGATCATTTAAGTTTTCCTTTTTGTTAAAAGTAGGGCCAGAGAAGAGGTTGTATCCCTGAATCTGGCTGACCGGAATGTGTCGACTTTTTACTAGAAGGTGTAATACTTGATAGTTTTCCAGGGTGGTAGAACTTTAAGCACTCTGATAGCAAATGTAGCAACACGAGGTTTGAAGAGGGCTGGCTCCGCAACTAGCCTGGCACCCCCGGGGATGGAGGGCTCCATGGCTGGATCGATTTCCCTTCCACCCTCGCCCAACCACTCTCCCTCCCCCTCTAGGAAGGTACACCTCCCCCAGACACAATCTCAATTTTCTTTCTCAGCTGATCTTTCTCTGAAAACGTCATTAGCCTTGTCTTAAGATAGAGCAAAAGACCTTATGCACATTAGCGGAAAAAAAACTGGAGCTTTTTCTATTTGCTTTTGTTACTAATTTCTTGAGTGAGAGTGTCTAATTGTGCTTTTGTTTGCATATTCTTCTATCGACCAATTGAGATTTATTGACTAATAAGCAAAGACCTATTGATTTTTTAGTTAAAATTTAGAAAATAAAACATAATTTTAAATAGACATAATTTTGCTTTGGAAAAAAAATTGATAATGCATGAAAGGGCTTAATTTTAGAGAAAAAATGCCTTTCACCTATTAAGCAAATAAACAACCACAAAAACCAACCAAAGTTGTAGCTGATTGTACCCGATAATTCTGATCAGCGTACTCTTGCTGGGCTTTGTCTGTTTGTGTTTCACTGCAAAATTGATGAATACACGTGGATCTGTACAAACCAGCAACTGAAGATAATGCTGAAATGCATCTGACAGACAAAACCAGTTAAAATAAGCAGACTTGATCGGGGACGATTAACCTACAGGTACATCACTTCACAGACCTCACCACAACGCTTCACAAATAAAAATTGATTTAAAATCGGTTTAGAATTGTATATGATACTTTAATATTACCAAATATAATAAATAATACTTTAATTACCAAATATTATCCACTAGTTTGGGCGTTTCAATCATTTTAGTCTACTTACTTTCGTTTGGTCTGTCATGCCAAAAGGCATCTTCTGTTACTGAAACCTCTGACAGTCCAGAACAGTGATGATAGGCATACCAAAATTATCAGAATCGACCAAACTACAGGATTATGCAAGAGAATTGTATGTCATTTATTGGTGTGCATTGTTCAATGTTCAAACTTGGGTTGATCTGGAGAGAGCTTATACCAGGTAACCAGAAAAGTTCATGCGGTTTTTCATTTGTTATTGTTTTCATACCATTAATCAACATTTCCATAGGAGGATTAAACGCCTACATCATGTAATACCAAGACGATAATTCATTAGTTTGTTAAGAAAAAGTAAATTTTACTTGAACAGTAAATTATAAAATATTTTCTTTCTCATGGCTTTAAAACTTATAATTCATGAGGGCTTATTTTATGAATTTAAGCTCGGTACTAGGCTGGCCAAGGCAGTTGGTAAAATTTGCACATTTGGTGATGAAACAATAAATGAATCCACTGCCCAAAAATTATCTAAAAAGTTTGCTTCTGAGAAAGAAGGGATTGAAAATGAACAAGGTTGGTAGACATTTTGTCTTGAATGATGGTGAATTGAGGGATCACACTTGATTCGAGTCAAATATTTCAAGAGCTTGCCAAAGTGTTTAACATAAGTGATGAAATCATTTGCTCTAGCTTACATTGACTTGGGAAGATGTGGAAGCTGAGCAAATGGGTTCCTCATAAATTGTCCAAAGGTAACATGCTTCATGGTAAAAAGTAGAGAGTTTTTGACTGGATTGTCACATGCGATGAAAAATGGATGGTTACACGATGGAGGTCGTTCGTTGGCTGCCACCATATGACGCTGTTCCATTGATGCAAAAACCAAACATTCACTAACAAAAGTTGTTTGGTGGAGTTGGCAGGCATTGTGCATTAGGAACTCATGCCTCTTGGCCAGACCATCACCACAGAAATCTACACAAACGAAGTTCAAAGAGTATGGCTCAGCAACAGCCTGCTCTCTTGAACAGAAATTATGTAAATTTTTACCAAAACAATGCGAGACCTCTATAGACAGGCACAATCAGGAGTTCAATAAACAGAAAATGTGCTGAATTTATTTTGTAAGTCCTGGGACTCAAACTTTTATAAGAAAAGCATAATTGGGCAAGTAACTCGTTGAAAGAAGGTTATAGATGCCGATGATGACTATTTCCTGGAATAAATTATTTCTGAACTACTTTTAATTGTGACAATTATTAAACCCGCACCAACTTTTTTGGTTAGCTGTGTCAACAGTTAAGCATAAAATGGCAAATATTTTAAAACCGTATTAAGGCCATCTTTAAATAGAAAGTTTTATTGTAGTTTTTTTTTAATTTTAAACATTGTTTCATAAATTGATCATAAATTATTCAAAACTTATATATCATCTGGGTTTTTGCTATTTTAAAACACTGTGCACTCGCACATTCAAAAATATAAATGTGATCACATGGCAGCTAATTTTGACAAGTTTTCAGGCTTAGCTGGGACTTGACATAACAGCTTCACATTGCACAGACCTAAAATACTTAGATTCAAAGTAATAAAACAAAATTCTCGAAAGCTTCTGTTGCACTTGTTTAGAAAAGAAGTGCATGGTAATTAATTTGATAGTTATAACTCTTGTTGTTTTGTGTAGCCTGCGCCTCTTTTAGATTTTTTTTTTTGTGCTTTGATGTTGATTTAATCCTCATGTTCATGCTCCTTTGTTTCCTTTAAAAATTGTTGGTGTAATAAAGTGTTGTCATTTGTTTATAAGAGTCTGAAGGTAAACTGAACCTTTACAAGTTAAACTGAATTTAAATTTTTGAAAAATCACAATTTTACCGACAATTTGTGTTATTTTTACTATAAGTTTGTAGTTTTAGAAAATAGCATTAAAAATTGAGACTTTTTCTGCCTTTCTTGACACAATAATTTAATTTCATGAAAGAACACATTAATTTTACTCAATTCACCTTAATGGTATACAGAAATACCTATTGCATGTTTTCTACAGTTCTTTTTTTCTTAAAAATACCATGTAGAGGTTGCTAAATATTTAAAAATAGTGTCGAAAGGGGATTAAATGAACATCCTGTTAAAATTATAATCACTAAAACTTTATTTGTAATTTAAAAATACATTTTGCAGACTTCACTAGTGGAAGAAGGTTTGTTTTCAATATCAGCCGCGAATGGGGCCGAGATAGACCAGGCTTTAGAGTATTTACTTTCCCTGCCTAACGATGAGAATATAATGTCGATGGCGAAAGAATCTGGTAAAACGTTGTACTCGCATTTGCCACCAGATATGAGGAAGTCCCGAATCGACGATATGGTATAAATCTATATAAATCAAAATATCTGTTTTGTTTGAGTGAACTCATGAAAAATTGTAAAATTTCAGATAAGTAAACTTAAAGAAGCTATTGATTCAGAAAGCCTCAAGCGGCAGGCTTTACAGCGAGAGGAAGTGTCGGCCGAAGACGCCGCCACAAAAGCGAAAGTGGCTTTCCTTGTTGGAAAAAGTGAAGAACGACTTCACGCCCTTGCCGTTCTCATGCTCCATTGCTGTGCCGGCCTCCAGGACCACCAGGATGCCTTGAATTAAAAACTGTGAAAACTAAAACATTCCTTCGAGTATTTAAGACAACTGTGGGTTGGTGAAATAAACTATCGTAAAAATAAACAAACCATATTAAATGGTAGTCACAAAATGGTGATATGTCTTCTTTCGGATCCAGGGGGAAAAGTGACTATTTGTGAAGGTGGGAGAAGACCAACAGATCATCAGCCACACACCTAAGACACCAAACCAATGATCTTTTTAGTCTTTTTTTACAATCAGTATTAATTTTTGTTTTTATTATTAAAAACTCATTTATAGAATGTTATGTAACTGTAAGGAAATGGCCTAAAAAAAAATATTTTACAGTGTCAGCATTTCTGAACTCATGTGATAATTGTGCAATTTGAAATTTTATTTATTTAAAAAAAAGAAAATTTAGTTAACTCATCTTTGTATTCAATTGTCTTCCGGGCAAGGTATTTAGTTTAAAGCGTATTTACTTATTTAAATGTATGCATGTATTTGGAACTAGTTTAGTTTGAATAAGAATCATTAAATTGATTCTTTTTGGAAATATCATGTATTAGCCTCATGAATTCAGATTAATTATTGTTTAATCGCTTATTATAGAGGCAGTTTTGTAATTGTTTTAGACAAATTTATTTTAATTAACGCTCTTACACATGAAATTAGATTAAAAATATTTTAGCTGAAGATTTATGTGATAGGGTAGAAAATTATATATGCTTATTTTATAAGTTATATGAGTGTTACTATAGATACATAGAATATATACTTGTTCATAAGACAAAAATTGAGAATTTTAAATTTACACATGTAATTTAATCATGCCATCCACATTTCGAATATTTCAAGAAGCTATTAGTTAATTAAAAATGATTTCATTTTTATTAATTTACATTTATGATTGCCATTCACTGTTTATTTAACAGATATCAACAAAATATATATTTAAGAAATACATTATTAAAATATATATTTATTATTTATATTTTATTAATTAAATATAAGTTGTGTTAGTTATTTATAAAACTGTTTAAAAAAATAATTTAAAATTTGTGTATTGACATGTATCACCATATCACACAATTTTTCAAGATAATATACGTATTTATAATTTCCTTTATTTTCAATTTTATAAAAACATAAAGAAGTCATTTATTTCAGTTGTAACAGATTGGTTAAAGGTGCCTTTATTTTATACGATGAATAATTTAAAAAAATGTAAATGCAGTTATCATTTGAAATTAACAAGGGGTATTTTTAATGTACACAGCTTCATTGTTCAGTTTTACAGACCTTGTTCAACTTAGATAATGATGACTAATAATTGAGATTGGATTCTCTTAAATAAATGAGTCAATTCAAGTTGTAACATTTGACGGTAATTAGAGATTCAATGAGTATGTATATGGCTGTTGCTCGGTATCTGTGAAAAAAAGGTTGGTTCAGGAAAAATAAAAGTCGATACACGTAGATTGGTCATTTTAGTCTGTCAGACATGTATCGACATTCGATCATCTTCATTGGTTGGTACGCCATCCTTTAGAATTTATAAAATGGTCATAAGAAACCTAGAAACACTGGAAAAAATGTATAAATATGACATTTGTATTACCTGGTGGAATATTGACAGCAACATCTTCCAAATTTAATCATTCTCCAACTTTTAATCTTGTCCAAATTCTATGATGTTAACAAGGATGGTTTAATTGTGCGATTTCTTCTTGAGGTGTGTAAGTGATGAATCTGTAGCTATGACGTTTGCTATCATTTCTGGTCTGCCTATCATTGCTGTTTTGGTCAATCAGACATCTAGATTTTTACTTGCTCGTCTTAGCTTAGTTTCTCAATCTATTTAATCTATTAATTCTTTAACAATAATTTAAGACTCATTAAATGGTCATCTAGACTTAATAGTTGTTGAGCAAAAGTATTGGTTTAAATAGACATTTGTCATTCATCTATCACTTTTTTTTTTATCAAACAGCAAATAAGATTTTTACTGCAATATTTTCAGCTAGCTTGCTAATTATTTATGGAATAATTAGAAATATATTTATTTATCGGTTGGACTTTTTTTGGGGGGGGAGANTACTTTCTTGTATCATTTCTTTTTAATTTACATCTTAAAACTGACATGATTCTGCAATACCTTGCAGTTTTTTCAATCTATTTTATCTATAACTATTAGCAATAATTAAAAAAACATTAAATGGTGATTTTTACTTGATCGTTGAGTTTTTTCAATCTATTTTATCTATTAGCAATAATTAAAGAACTGTTAGATGGTGATTTTGACTTGATCGTTGTTCAAGAAAAACGGCTGGCCAGGAAAAAATTTGGAAGGATGTATCAGACTTTCTTGTATCATTTCTTTTTAATTTACATCTTAAAACTGACATGATTCTGCAATACCTTGCAGTTTTTTCAATCTATTTTATCTATAACTATTAGCAATAATTAAAAAAAACATTAGATGGTGATTTTGACTTGATCGTTGTTCAAGAAAAATGGTCGATCAGGAAAAAATAGGAAAGATGTAGTACATAATCTCTCTCGTACCATTTCTTTTAAATTTACATCTTAAAACTTAAAAAGATCTTTAAAAGAATCAGCAATATCTTGTAGTTCTTCTAATTTATTTTATCTATAACTATTAACAATAATTAAAGATTCGTTAAATGGTGGTTCTAAGTTGTCAATGGTTCAAGAAAAAATGGTAGTCTTGGTGGAAAAATAGGAGAAATTTGGCATTTGCTTTTGCGCCTTCTTTTTTAAGTTTAAAATTGGTACACGCCAACCTAATTGCAATTCAGTTAATTAAAGAGACCGGCCTTGCCCATTTTGTAATCTTTTCGGCCTAAATTCAAAAGTTATTTTGTAATGAAACGTTAAACCGGAGCGCTAGTTGTTGGAGTGTTATTATTTACTTAGTTCAGTCAGTGTCAGTGAGTAGTGACAGTTGTGTCACTTCTGTCTCTTGGCTACGTCTCTGAGGCTGGTTTGACATTTGTGGTATGGTCCTTTGTGACCGTAGCGGAGCTCACTCCTGTTTATGTAACAGGGCGATAAACAGAACTAATCATCGTAGCGACGATAACGGCGGATATGGGCGATGCCTCGGAGGCGGACGATTGACGACCGAGTCACACCGTGCCTTTGAACGAGGATGGCCAACGGGAAGAACACCCTGCTCAAAGTCGTCATCCTCGGCGACGTGCGTGTCGGCAAGTCCTGCCTCATGAACAGGTTCGTCAAGAATCAATTCGACGATCACATTCATCCGACGATCGGTGTCGAGCTTCTCGACAAGGAGATCAGGTTGAACAACGACCTATACACATTTCAGGTATTGCCATATCAATTGTGATTTTTTTGTTTGTTTTTGGATATATTGGAAATTGTTTGAAATTGAAAGTTGAGACATACTGTCATGATCCTGCAAACCTTGCAAGTTATGCCATCTGACAGCACAACTCAAAAATTATATACAGTGTAGTTTATTTCATTTTAAATAATTTTTATAATATGAAAACTGTCTAACAAACCTAGCATCTAGTTGGTTTAATCGTGAGACTTCTTCGCCTGCGAGGTGATAAACCTGTTGCTAGGTCAACTTCAATAATTTTTTGTCTGGTTTTTATTGCTCTTTGGGCCTGTCAGATATGTAAATAAATAAGAGGTGGATCCAGATGGGGCCATAAAAGAACAATGTTTTAGTTTTTTCTTTCCAAGCTTTCAAAAGTAATTCTTTTATCATCTGGGCCTGATTTATTAACAAATATCAAATATTAAAAATTAACAATTAGTAATATATAAAATAATTGTGTGAATGTAAATAGAGAGAGAAAACAATCACTCAGAAACGAATCAAATTGTAATTACTATTAATATTTAATCATTTATAAAAACTACATCTACAACCTTCTTTTTTTAAACAAGAAAAAAAAGAAGAAAAATTACCTTAAATAAATGGAATTACTCTGCAATAGTAAAAAGTTATTTATTTCTTCAAGGATATTTTTTTCTTTTATTCTGTTTAAAAAAAGAAGGTTGTTGATGTAGTTTTTATAAATGATTAAATACTAATTGTAATAATACATTTATGTTTAGTGGTCTAATTGACCAAATTACTTATTTCAATTAATTATTCTTTTTATGTAAGGTCTTGGTTGAGATGAAAAAGTTAAAGTCACGAGGGGGATTCGAACCCACGACCTTCGTCTCAATACGCCGCTGCTCGAACCACTTGAGCTATCGTGACTTCGATCCACTCAGACACCCCCATCTCGACCTACAACTTTTTGAATTTTTCCTCTTTTTGCCATTTTTCAACGGGGAATTGGTGTGACAATTTTATTTTATTTTAGTTTTTTAAAGGGGCATCCGACAGCTTGGTCATTTCAGCCCTGAGCACATGCAAAATATAACAGACATTCAATATGCATTCACACCTATATATATTGCATTCATTATATACACATATATATATATTNTTTTTTTATTATTATTATTTTTTTTTTTGGCCTTATGATCTATGCATATTAGCCATGGTGACGAATTCTTATATGTGTGTTCAAATGGGGAGGGGGGGTTATCGTGAAAAAAGGGCCAGAGGCGACGGAGGGAATCGAACCCACGACTGCGGCGTGAGAGTCTCTCATGCTAACCACTTGGCTACCGCGGTCCCCCATTCATTATATTTGGTAGATTAGAGTATTCATTATTGCTACATTGACCTGCATGCAATAACGAACTAATCTAATTGGGGTCGATGGGGTACTTTTATAAATAGTTCGCCATCGGCACAAGTCATGTACACAGCTCGAGGGGCGATACTATTCCACCATCAGCCCCTCCCGATTCACTCTAATAGATACACTCACTCATATAAAATACAGAAACACAAAACACATATTTTGACTGCTATATACAATAAAAATTTCCCAATTCCCCTATAAAGCAGAACAGTTGACCCTGAAACTTGCTACCATGTCCGAGAACCATTTTTAAATCTAGCGGCATGCCTACACGCTCTCTGTATGGAGCCAAGGCATGACACGCCTCTATTATGTGAGACACATTGAGCAACTTTTTTCTGCATAAGGGGCACTGCGCGGGCTTTGGCCAATGACAATTTGTTTCATCATTTCTGAGTAATTTTTTTTTCTCTCTATTGACATTCACACGTTTATTTTATATGCATTACAAATTGTTAATTTTTAACATTTGATATTTGTTAATAAATCAGGCACTGATGATGAAAGCTTGGCAAGAAAGACAAAACTAAAATGTTATTTTTTGACCTCATCTGGATCCATATGTTTTTATTTAAATTGTAACGAGTTGATATTATTATTTAATATTATTAGATGTCATGTAGTTTATAAATTCAATCGTCTCTCCTAGATTACTACAAGATGCTTAGATTACAAGCAATGCAATCTGACAGGACATCAAACTTAAAAATTGCTCCATACAATAATAACTTAATAACTCAAAAATAATCCTATTTGTCATTGTCTGGTTGATTCCTACTTTCCAGTCTTGAACATTCCTTTATCATATAATGTACTTCCTTTATGTGCTAAGAATGGATGAGTAATGCATACCCTGCAAACAGGTCCCATAATCAATGTAAAATAGACATGTTTAAAATGTTGACTTACTTATTAATAGCTTTCTAGGATGAAAATAATGTAAAGAACACTTTGAGGGCTTAATTGTGAAATTTCTTCTTGAGTTCTGTGGAGTGATGAATGACCATATTAATTATTCTTTTCATCTAAGGTAATATTGAGCCGAAGGTCTCAGGTTCGAATCCCGCTCGTGACGCTAATTTTTCATCTCAACGAAAAACCTTAGACGAAAAGAATAATTAATTGGAATATGGGATAAAGTTGGCCGAGAAAGGTTCAAGAGCCTCAGGACATTTAAAAATATGATAATTTATATACAACTAATCAATATGATTCCATAAGAAGCTAAAGTTTAAAAATGAGTTTTAATATTAAGTAAAGTATTAAGTAAAGTTTTAATATTAAAAAAAAGTATTAGTTTAATCAACTTTGGATTTTTTTTAAAGATATGGGATACCGCTGGTCAAGAAAGGTTCAAAAGCCTCAGGACACCATTCTACAGAGGCTCTGACATCTGCATCCTCACTTTCGCCCTGGACGACAAGACAACCTTCGATAGTTTGTCACTTTGGAAGAAGGAGTTCCTACATTACGCCAACCTTCAAAATAATAAGATCTTCCCATTTGTTGTCATCGGTAACAAGGTGGGTGAAATGTTTGTTGTAATCTTACAATTAATTAAGGTTTTTAATTGAGATAAAAAAGTCAATGACACGAGCGGGATTCAAACCCACGATCTTCGACTTGATACGCCGCTGCTCTACCACTTGAGCTATCGTGATCTTGATCCACTCGGACACTAACTTCCCATCTCAACTACACCTTTTGAATTTCCCTCCTTGAATTTAATAAGTTTGTTGTAATAGTGACATTACAAAGGAGAGAAACAAAGATATACGCTGAACTTGCCTAAATGTTTAACACAAAAATTGTAGGTTTATTTATTAAAAAAAAAAAAAAAATGGTTGGCAGGGATAGATATTTCAATGTTTGTTTGTAAAATGTAATAAAAGGGCTTTTGTTATTTATTACAACTTTATATAGCCTTGATGGTGATGTAATCACTGATAGCCCAGTGATAATATTATTTGCCAAGAATCTATTAATCCTAAGCCTTTTAATCTATTATTTTTATTCAGTTTTACAATAGTTTATTGTAGACACTCAATTGAATTTTAAGATTAATTTATATATGTAAGATACGGTGACAATTTCGTAGTGAGATAACATTGAGCGATTGCAAAATAATCTATCATCTATTACTGTTAGTAAACAAAATATGCTGTTTTGATTCTAATTTGTTTTCCTTGTATTTATCATAAATACATAGACTGGGACATCCGACCATTCTGTGAGATAAAAGACAAAGATACCCTCAATAAGAGGACTTCGCACACTCAATTTGAAAGTGGTGGTTCTTTACTGATAATAAATTATAAATACAAACTAATGATAAACAGGCCATAGATTAATAATTAATTTAATAAATGCGTATGAGACAGTTCAATTTGACTTGCACAATAACAGTTGCTCTTTGTTCAATAGAGGTTAAATTTAACTAACATAATGTCAAAATGTATGCAATTTGTAATGTGTTAAAAATAATTCAACATAAAAAAACTCAATATAACATAAAATGTTATTGTTTTATATTTAATGTAATTGTCTTATTGTATAAGTTAATTACTGTATAATTGGTGGAATTTTTATACTGGATTTGTGAAGGGAATAGATCAGAGAAATTATTGCGTTTAATAAATAGGCAGCATTTAGATCACAAGTGTTGTTAAATTGGTATCATGGTGCGATGTGAATTTCAAAATAACACACTGTGATGTTTTTTAAGGTATGAACTCACAGAATTGCTGTTTAAATTTCTTTCTTCCATTAAATAAATCTACACAGAAAACAAACACTTTGAATGGGTACAAATACTTTGACTGAGTCTAAAATTTCTATCATTGTATAAATTCATTTTTTCACATCTTACTTGTATTTGTAAAATTTAAACAATGCTTATAAAGAAATCTGAAGATGATCTCAATAAAGATCGAAACGTGTGTGAAATACCGAATAATTTTAAGTAATTATTGATTTATAATCATGTATAAATTATAGTAATATAAATATTTGTTTATATAGAATAAAATTAATAAGTGTTAAATTGAAATGTAAGTGGTAATAATAACAGCTGTGCAACATTACACTTGATAGATATGAAAAATTAGAATGTAAAAGTGACATTGGCTAAAATGAAGTAAAGTAGATAATAGATGAAAATTAGAAAAGCACAAAACTGTTTGTGTTTTGTATTTGTAATTTATCAGATTAATGTGTTCATGAAGATAAGTAAGATTATTAATTAAATTAAATCTTCATTAATAATAAATTTCAATTAATTAAGGTTTTTAGTTAAGATAAAAAAGTTAGTGTCACGAGTGGGATTCGAACCATCAACCTTCGGCTAAATACATCGCTACTCTACCACTTGAGCTATCGTGACTTCGATCCACATGGCACTAACTTCCCATCTCAACTCCACCTTTTTGAATTTTCCCTCCTTTTTGCCATTTTTCATGCCTTTTTGCCTTTTTTGTTCCCTGATTTTTATCTCAACCAAAAACCTTAATTAATTGAAAGATATTAATTGGTCAAGCGGACCATGAAAACTAGTGAAATTAATAATAAATCTCTATAGTATACAACTATCCTCCCTTCAAACGCAAGAATCACACTGCAAAATACGCTCTCAATTTTCTTTTAGCAAATCTTATTTTCAAAGCTTTCATTCTTGTTTGCAAAAAAATTCATGCTTTTTTAGCTATATTGTTATGCTTTCAGCGGTATAATATAATTGAATCCCTGCAACGTTACTTGATTTGAAAAGTCTATTCCTTCCCTTCTTTCACGCATAATTATATGATCTAATGATTACTGATTTATATAATCTGCATGGGTATGTACAAAGCTCAATAAATCACAGGCAGGCCTTGAGAATCACCAGGTGTTGGCAATTTGGAACATCAAGATGGAATCATATTGATTACACGTCCTTCTTATCCGTCCAGCCACCAAGGTTAGGTTAGGCTCCTCCTCCAAACAGCTAAAGCTCTTCCAGAGTGATGAACTATTAAAGGTTGTGGCGAAAATGAGGATGCAGATGTCAGAGCCTCTGTAGAATGGCGTCCTGAGACTCTTGAACTTTTCCTGACCAGTAGTATCCTATATTAAAAAAAAAATCCAATGTCAATTAAACGAATACAATTCTTTTTAATATTAAAAAATTTCATTTTTAAACTTTAGCTTTTTATAGAATCATATTGATTAATTGTGTATAGATTATCTTACTTTTAATTGTCAGTAGAGTGAGGCTCTTGAACCTTTCTTGACCAGATTTATCTTGTATCTTAAAAAAATTTCAATAGTAATAAGATTTTTTTTAATATTAAAAAAATATCATTTTTAAACTTTAGCTTCTTATGGAATCATATTGATTAATGGCATATTAATTATCTTGTTTTTAAATGTTCGTTCCCAAGTGTATCCACAAGCTGACAAGCAACCTTTTCTCAAAAACCAAAACAAATTCAATGCTATTACAGTACTTAATGTTTCCGGCATGTAGAGACAGGTTGATCGATGTGTCCCACTTAATTGAAGGTGCCATTCTTTGGCTCCATATAGAGAGCGTGTAGGAATGCCACTCATGGCAACGAGTATCTGGGTTCCCTGTTCAGATTTTTAGAGGAAACGGTTGTTTTATCATATATAGTACTGATATGTATTGTTTTGTGTTCACTAGTGTATGTTGAGAGTGAATGTATTTATTGACATGAATGTGACATGTGAGAGTGCCAATGGTGGAATATTGAGTATAAAATGTCTACCCTGTACCGCTATATAGTGTGTATGTACTCCATCACCCGAACTGAGTGAGGTCTGACCCTAGATTGCCAACACTCGGGGTGGGTGATTCTCGAGGCCTGTCGGTAATTTATTGTAAATAACACAAAAGCTGTGATTGCCTGCTGTCTGTGAAAAGTATTAGACTCAGTTCTGTACACTTGTATATGTATGTACATTTGTGTCTAGAATTGAGCTATAAGTTATAAATCAGCAATCAGTATTATTCTTGGGAATGCAGAATTTCAAAAAAGAAATACTAATTCCAGGATATTTTATTTCGATATTAAAGTTAAAGTACTTTGTTGATCGTCAATATTGTGGGGTCACTGGTTCCCCACTATGACCAAAAAGATTGATCAACCCTTCTGTATTAGCAAACCCCAGAAAGGCACTATTTTTAAGAATGTTGAGCACTTTCTTTTTCACTTGTTTCCTTAGGTGTTTTGCCTTTCTGAAGAGGAAATGTTCCGATGTTTCTGCTTTTAAATGTCTGAGTTGGCAGGTTTCTAGCTCAGTGTTCCCATTGTTTTGATGTGGTAATTGATTTGGCATTGGCCAATATAAAGGCTTATAATTTCCCTTAATTATCGCCTACTGAGAGAGAGGGTAATTGTATTTACAATTATGTGTAATTTCTTTCACGTTGAAACATTTTCTTTAATAATAATCTATGTATTTTCTTTCTGTAATTTTTCAGGTTGATGTAGGCAAGTGGAAAAGAGAAGTGAGTGAAGAAGAGGTCAGAAAGTGGTGCCAGGACAACGGAAATTTACCGTACGTCGAAACGAGTGCCAAAGATGCCACAAATGTCGAAGAGGCTTTCATAATGGCCTTGGAAACGTGGACAAAGTTCGAGGCTGAACTTGATAAACACAACGGCCACTACAATATGATCAAGATTGAGAGGGACCGTGCTTCTCATTCACATCTGTGTTGTAACACCAGTTGAAATGGTGAACACTTTGGTTACCAACGTAATAATTATTGTGATACAAAGAGATCAATCTCTCTCTCTTTTTTTATTTAATTTTTTATATTTTTGTTTTTTGTTCATTTCATATGTGAAAATTGCAAAACATTATAACTTGAGAAAAACAAGTTTAAGAAAGTAATTTTCATTAAACAATAATTTAAACGAAAGTTTGAAAAATAATACATGTTTGTAAATTTACTTTATTTATAAAAAAAATTATATGCATTTATTGAATAACTTTATTACAAAATTTGTAATGTTAAGTAAATTCAACGTATTGAACTAAAATATGAACATTTTTATCTTATTATTTGGCTGAATTTCCTAGTTTCAATTTTATTTAAAGAAACACTTGCATTCAATGTTATGACAAAATCAGGTACCCATTTGCAAAAGTAGTGCATCCATTTTTAAAACTTTTTTAAAGATTGTATTCTCATTGCAAAAAACAAATTCTTTTGTATCACTCTTAAAAATCCTGCTTTATTTTGTGTATATTCATTTATCTTTAATCCCTGCACATTTAATTTTTAGATTGATCCCACTTGATATTGACATTTCTTATCATTAACTCATCTCAACGTTATATTTTGTGTAGTTTACATTCTAAAATGTAATTTATGTGATAGCACTGTTGTCTGAGAATTGTGATAGATTTTAGACTGCTCTCGTAGTGATCAATGTGCTCAAAGAAGTTTATAGATAGTTACGGGGAAAAAACAGATCAAAAGATTGAAATCTTTCTTCAACTATTAGAAAAAATCCCGATAAATCTTTAATGCTGAAAGGTATATTCAAATGATTAATGTGTTCATGAAATAGAAATTGATAACTTTATATTTATATTAAGCTAAAGTATAAATTGATACCTTATGTCTGGTTAAAAAAGACGTTAACTATGGTTGAAAATTAATTACACTAAAATAAAATTAGACAAACTTTTACTTTAAACTAGAAAAGTTTAAAAAATCTTGCAGTTCGTCAATTAATATAATTAAGAAGGCTTTTGGTGAATAAAATTTTGTTTCATTGACGATTAGTATTATGTTGGAATGTCTTTCTTGTAACATCTTTGCTGTTTAAATCTTGTGATAATAAATAATTTTTGAAAAATGTAATCCAAGTAAATTAAATTTGCATGCTTATTAATTGTTCCAATAGGACGATGTACTTAAAAAAAATATTGTGCCTGCTAGCTAGGCCAGTCTGTGAGGATATACTCTTTTTATTAATTGGTATTGAAATTTTTTTTTTATATAATCAAAAGTTGTTTCAAGAGATTTTTGGGCGTTCTTGATTTATCTTTTCTATTTATGATATCAGTAAGACAAAAGGTAAAACTATAAAACATTTACATTTTAAGCGATAATAACGGGAAAATATAGAAAAAATGGTATATGCTTTAAGACATAATAGAATACAAAAGGTTTCTTGAAATTTCTCCCTTGTTTTAATATGCATACCTTCGGTAATCAAATGTTTATTATAAATATATTTACTCAATGTATTGTTTTATATAAAATTGTAATCATAGTGATGCAAAGATATATTTTTGTATAGATTCAATGTTTTTAATAATTTTAATGATTTATAATTGCTTAATAATAGCTACTATATTGTTACTATTTTGTTCTGTTAAACAAATTTTTATCATGTTTTTGTTAAAACAATTTTTTCACTAGGTTCCTCTAAAGGTGAAATTAACAATTTCTGTTAGAAGTCTGTCTTAACATAAAGAAAAATCAATTTATATTTACCAGCATTTGAATATTTTTGAAAATGAAAGAAAAAGAAACAAATATGTTGAAAAAATGTTGAAATGCATTATTAGAAAATTTTGTATCATGTTAATCACAGTTTGAATTTCATATTTTATAATGCATGCCACAAAAGACAACTTTTACCATCTCTAAATAGTTATTAAAATTATATAAGTACTTAATATAAAAAATTTATTCTTTGTAAATTTACAAATTAAAGACTGCTTTCTCCTGATTGATCGATGATAATGCCTTATGTAATTTGCCTTACAAAGAGAATAATTTTATATACACTTTACGTTATTTGTTAAGACAATTATAAATCCTCAGAACTATTATTTACATTTGTAGCTTTTAAGAGAAATAAATGCACATTTTCTCCTTTTAACAATTATGCCTTTATTTCACATATTCCACCTGATTAATAAATTCTCCATGTTAACAATATTAACTGAAAAATAGGCTGACTTGAAAATAAGTGTCTATGCAAATTACAATTATCCAAATCAAACAATCATAAAAATATGCACCATTCAACCAACGTTTTTGTCAACTTTAACTATTGTAATAAACCAAATGGGTGACCATTGTAATAAATTTAACAATTGATGAAATTACCAAATTGGTAACTCCTCCATTCTCATCTCCCTAATAATTTTTTATTAAAACAATATCTTTCATTTTTTAATTTTTAATTTTATTGGGTAACATGGATTTTTTAAAAGACTATATTGTCTTTTTTATACAGGGTGAATTGCTACTCGTGCTACAAACTTCTCCAGTAGATTCTTCACCCTAAAATGAACAAAAAAGTTCATATTGTCCATGGTCCGATTCTNAATGGTTGAGAATCGGACCATGGACAATATGAACTTTTTTGTTCATTTTAGGGTGAAGAATCTACTGGAGAAGTTTGTAGCACGAGTAGCAATTCACCCTGTATAATGCGGCTTGTCGATGGAAAATGATCATATATCTTTTACAAGAATTTATATATAATGAAAATTTTAAATTTTTTATTGAAAAAATAAGATGCTTATAATGGATATAAAATTACTGAAATTTCAAAAAAATTAATGTAAAAATAAAGTGAAAAATTAAACAAAAACCACACATGAAAGGTTTTTTATATATATATAAAAAAACTACAAACTTTTATCTTTTGTTATTTCATTGATTTTGATGACATTTAAACCCATTAAAAATTAATAAAACAGTGAATTCCAAAAAAATTATACATTGAAATATTCCAGGGATTATATCTAGGATGACATAAAAATTATAAAAAAATTAATAGTCAATATAAGATGAACGTTTTTTTTTGTTTGGCTTTGTTTCGTAGAATTCATTAGAAGTTTTTATTTAATCAGAATACAGAAATGATAATACACTCAAAGACAAACAAAACAGGTCACTCGTAGTTTACAGTTTATTTCAAACTATATGTCTGTATTTTTTATTGTTACATTAATTACAACATGTTTTAACAAAAATTATTTAAAAATTTTAAAGATGAAAGTTTTTTTTGTTTGGCTTTATTTCGTAGAATTCATTAGAAGTTTTTATTTAATTAGAATACAGAAATGATAATACTCTCAAAGACAAACAAAACAGGTCACTCGTAGTTTACAGTTTATTTCAAACTATATGTCTGTATTAAAAATTATTTAATTATGATGGCTTGAAAGAAAATTCACCAAAAACAGGAAAATCATTTGGTGACAGAATAAAACTTAACTAACAATTTATTCTATCGTTAAATGTTCCAGTGTTATGGTGAATTTTCTTTCAACGATCATAATTAAATAGTTTTTTGTATATTGTTTTATAACTATGAAAAACTCACGAATTAATGATTTTGTTTAATTTTGTTTACATATTATTATTAGATATTATTTGTAATTATGTAAGGATAAAAATACACATAGTTTGAAATAAATAACAAAATGTGTGTCCATTTTTTTTAATCTTTGGGTGTATAAAACCGGTTTTGTTTTTTAATGACTTATTGCTTCATCTGTTATGGCAGCGAATATTTAGGTCCCCTGTTCCAATTTTTAGAGGAAATGGTTGTTTTTTGTATATAGTACAGAGATTCTGATTATACCCTTTTTTCATCCTTGAGGGAAGATGTGAAATGTAAAACATAATTATGTTCATTTCATTGAACATAACTCATGATGTCCATCTCTTTTAGCCTTTTGTCAATCAAAAATGTAAAGGTAAAGTCATCCCATTCTTGTTTTTAATGGATGACAGAATTCTTCAGAATCCGGCAAAATTTTGAAGTTTTGCTTTTCTTTAAATAGAATTGATTTTTGTACAGTATTTTTACTCTAGTTACTCTGATTTTTCATCATATCAGAGATGATTTCTCTCTCGATCTTGTATCAAGCTCGCATGGCCTATTATTAATTGGGTGAGGATGACCCCTCTTCAACGTGTCAGATCCTCCGGGGGGCCAAGATATACAAGAACTTCTCAGCCGACCCTGTCAGTAGAAATATGCAACTATTCATCAGATCTTTCTGATCTCTTAGACACTGTTAATCTTTCACTAATTCAAATAGATGTTGATGTCTATTGATAAGTCCAGTGTATAATTAGAGAACAATTTGTTTGTTTATGATCCTAACCTGAGGGTTGAAATTGACCTCTTGGAGAGGGTGCAGAGGAAGGCTACCCGTTGTCTTACTTTTAAATTTGATCACCCTACATTCCTTACGAGGACCGGCTGAATCTTTTTAATCTTGACATGCTCTCTTTTCTTAGATTCTTGTCATCTTGGGCTCTGGACCTCTTACAAGTGCCATCTCTTCATCTGGAATTTTAAGTAACTTGTCTCTGGTAGTTTCTCAGCGGTGGTAACGACCTTGTAAAATCTTCCTGTGGAGCGGCACAGGACCAGTTAATCAACTCAAAACACACAGCTAACGTTGTCCCCGGGTTCGTCGATCTCTTCTCTAACCCATTTAATGCTTGTAATAAAATCCTGTAAAACTTGTTATGTAAGAAATAAAAGGTCAACGTTCCATTTTAGTTTTTTTTTGTGAGTTCTATTTTATTGATTGTATGTTAATATTTGATCATTTATATTTAGTAAGTAATGAGTAATAGTTCTAAATTATATTTTAATGTTTACCTTTATTTGTAATTTTAAGGACTATTTACTAATAATTTTCTCTCGGCTGTTTATTTTTTTATTTTTTGACCATGAGTCTGTTGAAACTATATTTGTAATAAGTATTATTTAGCTGTATTTCGTGGGTTATTTAGCGACCGGTTGTTCAATAATTTGTTGAAATAGTGAGGAGAGGACAGGAATGAAATATTTTAGAAAAAAACCTTTTTTAATTTTTAGCGGCGTTTCGTCCCTTATTTAGGTCATCTTCAGGGCTTGGGTGAATAAACATATGTTGATTTGAAAAAAACTGTGTTGTAATTCACCCACGCCCTGAAGATGACCCGAATAAAGGACGGAAAGCGGCTAAAAAATGAAAAAGGTGTCTAAAATACTTCATTCCTGACGCTCACCTCACTATTTCAACAAGTTAATTATTATTGTTAATGAATGTCGGGTTAATTTTTTAATAATGGACGTTTATACAAATTTGCGACACGCATTTTTAAAGGTGCTTCTCGTGTTGGAAGCTAGTTTCTATCCCAAGGACGCAAGAAATAGCAGTCATATTGCTGTCATTTCTCGGTTAGAACGCTCACCATTCGCACCGGCAGAAATGGAATCAAGTGTTGTAGTGGATTTTCAAAACGTATATTTAAAATACGGTTCAAATTGGATTATCAAAGGGCTCAACTTGAAGATTCACAAAGGGGCGATGTAAGCAGATTTTCTTTTTTATCTATGACAATTATAATTGTAACATTTAAGCTAAGAAACACGTAAAAAGACAATTAAAACGGGTGGAGAACCCTTAGGTCAAGACCCGTAAATTAGTTAATACGTAGGCCATAGGGTCACCAGTTTTAACCCAGTTAGTGCCCGTAAATATTTTTGGTAAAATATTTTACTGGAACTTTATTGTCTTACTTATGGGAGGTCTAAGGTAATTTAATTTTTTTTTAAAAATATATCTCTTGTTATATCGTGATAATTAGGCGATGCCATCTGGGCTGGGTAAATGGAGCATGGACCAATGAATACCAAGTTTTGATACATAAAAATATAGAAAAAAAAGATATATGTATTACAATTTTATTACAACGATTTTTAAGATTTTTCAATTACTTAATATGTACATATAATTATTAATTAAATAACGTAACATTAAATATTAAAAATAAATTATCTAAATAAACATAACACAATACAATTTTACAGTTTTTCTCTATTTCAGTCATAAGCACTCCTTGTCATTTGAGTACACATTATTTTATGCGAAGTGAAGGAGTGTTGACATAGTTACAAACATGTTTTTTTTTTCTCAAGGTGGTATTAAACAAGTTCGTAATTTCGTACAGGCAATTATTACCAATAATTACGGTACCCGGGGACAGCATTGTAGCCACTGAGAATCATCATGATTCCTACAAAAACATTTCATGTCTTCCATAGTAATATTTTGATTTTCTTTAACTTATGATTTTTCCTTCTCGAAGGTGGGATAATAGATCATCTCAAAAAAACAACAACAACCAGTTTTTCTTTCAATTCACAACGTTTCGGATTTATTTTAATCCTTCCTCAGTGGTCAATTAATATTTTGTATGAATTTATTAAACGTTTTTAATTTTATTGTTTAATTTCAATTTTAACGTTTTTAAATTTAAAAAATTATTTTTCAAAGTTCTCGCTACTAAAACGCTTATTTCACGGTTTTACAAGTTTAATATTGATCACATCTTACTGGAAATTTAACGTAGTTTTCAATGGTATCAACGGATTTGTCCAAAACCTTTTATTTTTAGAGTTATCGTTGTTTATTTGAAGCAAGATCGTGAAATCTTAAAAAATCAGAAAAAGTGAAATAACTCCGAGACTGCAGAGATTCAGACCATAGTTAATTGGGACTTTTTGATTCCATTTTTAATGTAGAATCTACTGGCAATGTTTGTAACACGAGTATCTGAACACCTTGTATAAATATCCAGTGTCTTTTATATATATAATAAACATTTAATAATTAAAATAAAAAACTAGTTGTTTCTTGTATTGTGAAACTACAAACACCTTATTTTCGTTTCGGAACCGGCTGGAAAACAAACTTCAATTGTCTGTTAGATTTTGTTAAAAATAACTCCTTTTTGAAAATGTGGGACTCCATTGACGCTGACTATTTGCATAATTTACGAGCATTTCTGTTTGTGTTAATTGTTCAAATATTTCTTTTAATTTAATTTAACCAGAAACAATTATTTATTCAAACGGTTGGAATTGTTTGCATTTTTTGAAAAAATATCGTTATCTGGTGGCACTATTTATTCGTGCGTGGCCGTTCAACTAGGCTGGACGCAGTGGTTAGGGCAATTAATTTTCGCTACACAATTGTTCATAGTGGGTTTTGGATTTCATTAAACACTCAAAGACAAAAAACCGGACATTCGTATTTTGTTATTTATTTCAAATTATATGTCTGTATTTTTATCCTCATATTAATTACAACATACTTATTTTAATTAAACAAAAATTAAACGTTATCAGAAATTCATGAGTTTTAATAAAAAATATTTATTTATGATGATTGAAAAGAAAATTCACCAATACAAGGGAAAAAATCATTTAATGATAGATTAAAACAACTAAAAATTTATTCCAATCAATTTTGAACCTATTTTTACTATTCTAACGTTTGATTTTTTGGAAAATTCTTTTGGGCGTTGAAAAAAATTTGACAATTTATATGTGAAGCCCCCTTTCAATTTGACTGATGAGGATTCTGGAAGTTAAGAATTAAGATTTTACGTTTTAATATTAAAAAAAAATAATAAAAATAAATTAATAAATTAAAAAAAAGGAAAATATTAAAACGTTTGTTCGGAATCTGAAAGACTTAAATATGTACCACACTGGCTCTTTTTTTAAAATAAACTGTTACAAAATATTAATGACTGACGACCACTGTTTAACCACTGGTTAACTCACCTGAGGAAGGATTAAAATAAATCCGAAACGTTGTGGATTGAAAGAAAAACTGGTTGTCGTTTTTTTGAGACGACCTATTATCCCACCTTTGAGAAAGAAAAATCATAAGTTAAACTGTTAAGGTCGAAATATAAGAAAATTTTGATTTTCCTTATTTAAAAACCGCCGAAGCAACCAAAGAGTTATAATTTGGAAAAACGTTCCTTGCATTGGTGAATTTTCTTTTCAATCATCATAAATAAATATTTTTTATTAAAACTCATGAATTTCTGATAACGTTTAATTTTTGTTTAATTAAAATATATATGTTGTAATTAATATAAGGATAAAAATACAGACATATAATTTGAAATAAATAACAAAATACGAATGTCCGGTTTTTTGTCTTTGATTGTTTAATGAAATCCAAAACCCACTATGAACAATTGTGTAGGGAAAATTAATTGCCCTAACCACTACGTCCAGCCTAGCTGAACGGCCACGCACGAATAAATAGTGCCACCAGATAACGATATTTTTTCAAAAAATGCAAACAATTCCAACCGTTTGAATAAATAACTGTTTCAGGTTAAATTAAATTAAAAAAATATTTTAAAAATTAACATAAACAGAAATGCTCGTAAATTATGCAAGTAGTCAGCGTCAATGGAGTCTCACATTTTCAAAAAGGAGTTATTTTTAACAAAAGTTAATAGACAATTGAAGTTTTCCAGCCTTGACCGACGAAGGGTTCCGAAACGAAAATAAGGCGTTTGTAGTTTCACAATACAAGAAACAACTAGTTTTTTATTTTAATTATTAAATGTTTATTATATATATATAAAAGACACTTTGGTTATTTATACAGGGTGTTCAGATACTCGTGTTACAAACTTTGCCAGTGGATTTTACATTAAAAATGGAATCAAAAAGTCCCAATTAACTATGGTCTGAATCTCAGCAGTCTCGGAGTTATTTCACTTTTTCTGATTTTTTAAGATTTCACGATCTTGCTTCAAATAAATAACGATAACTCTAAAACTAAAAGGTTTTGGACAAATCCGTTGATACCATTGAAAAATACGTTAAATTTCCAGTATGATGTGATCAATATTAAACTTGTAAAACTTCGTGAAACAAGCGTTTTAGTAGCGAGAACTTTGAAAAATAATTTTTTACATTTAAAAACGTTAAAATTGAAATTAAACAGTAAAATTAAAAACGTTTAATAAATTCATTCAAAATTTCTTTAAGTTTTTTTATTTTTAATTATTATTAATTGTTTCATTTTACCAATCCTTCAACCACGGTTTTTCCTTTCCTTCATCCATTTCTTCGTGTTTGAAAAAGTAATTAAAACAGCAATTGCACCATTAAAAATAATATTAAATGGAGTACGTTTGCTGAAATTTGCTGGTTTCTAGGTTTGGAAATAGTATATTAAAATCGCCATAGTAAGTTTGCCAAATTTGAAAAAACAATTTTTTTTCACGAACGTTTACAAGTTTAGTATTGATAACATCTTATTGGAAATTTAACATAATTTTCAATTGTGTAATCGGATTTGTCCAAAAACTTTTAGTTTATTTGAAGCAAGGTCGTGATATCTTAAAAAATCAGAAAAAGTGGAATAACTCCGATACTGCGATTCGGATAATAGTTAATTCGGAATTTTTGGTTCCATTTTGAATGTAGAATCTACTGGCAAAGTTTGTAACACGAGTAGCCGAACACCCTGTATGTGTATAAGTGTATGCACATATACATAGATACGTTGTTGTTTTATTTTACTTATATAGTGTTTTCTCTCTCTCTTTTGTTTATTCCTCGAGAACAAATTTTTAGTCCTGTTTTGTTTATTTATTAAAAATTCATAGTCCAACTCCGGCAGACGGTTGATAACCATTGACGTTATGTGCTTCTTAGTTAGGTGCAATTTATATTTTTTCTCTCTTTTGTTTACCTAATAAATTACCTTTTTATTATGGTAGATGTAATAAATAGTGCATTAATAGATAAAGTGCGTAGTTGCACTCTCTTCCCTCTCAAGAAGAATCTTTGTTACCTTTTCCTCACTCCTTTTCCATTCATAAATAATTTTACAAACTCCTATAGTGTTAGTTTACTTATAACTAGCATTTATTATTATTTTTAATTATTTAATTGTTTGGGAAGAATAAGAGATTCTAATGTTAAAATGTGTAGTATCTAGTTTTCAACAAGGATGGAATTGCCACTACGACCTTCTTACACAATCGTCCTCGAATAACTTTCAAAGATTTATATTAATTATTTGTATATATAAATAACGAGGCAAGCCTTGAATTTGAAATAGAGATAACTTGACTGAAAAAATTCTAATAAATTAAAAGAAATTATTTAGAGAAATCTTTTTTTGCTTTTAGATACAGCTTGCTCGGCCCAAGCGGAGCTGGGAAGACGACAGTCGTCGGCATGATTTTGCGAGAGATAAAGCCAGATTTTGGCGAAATTAAATGGAATGGGTTGGACACAAGGCGAGACTTTGGCTACATGCCTCAAGTCAGTTTCTATAATATTTTTAATAAAATCGTAAAATTTATATTTAATTTTTTTTGTAGTCGGCTTCTCTTTTCGATGATTTAAGTATCAATGAGTTATGCGTATATTATTCTTTTCTTTTTGGAATGGAAGGTCGGATACCCGAGGAAACGAAACGGCTTCTCGGTATACTAAATCTCGAGAACATAAGCGACAGGAGAGTCGGTAAAATGAGGTATGAATTTGAGAAAAATTATAACTATGGGGAAATATATATTTTTTTTAAATTGCGCTAAAGCGGAGGTGAGCAGAGACGCATCAGCTTTCTCATCGCTCTGATACACGAGCCGCATTTTCTTCTTCTAGACGAACCGACTGCCAGCCTTGACTGTTTGCATTCCAGAGCGTAAATTATTCACTATTTTACATATATTTAGCCTTAAACTATTAGATTCGTTTTTACAGCATCTGGGATTACTTGGTAACACTGGCCGAACAAGGGACTACCATCCTTCTGACGACACACTATGTTCAAGAAGCTGTTAATTCGAGGAAAGTCGGTACCATCGGAGATATTTATATTATTTTTTAATGAGGAAATGTGGTAATTATTGCGCATTGAATAGCAAAAACACAATTAAATAAAAATACAGCCCTTGCGAAAACACGAAACGAGTGAGAAGAATCCCACCAATTATAAAATAAAAAAAACTTGTCTTCCCATTTGTTTACGACTTTTGGCAACGTAGCTAATCTTAGTTCTCTAATAAACAATACAAACCTTTACGTTTCGCAATCACAAAAAATCTTGATTTTGTTAACGTTGTTAAACTGACACATCAATTTATAAATTTTGTTTTACAAATTACAAAAATCAAGCAAGTTTTTCCATCGCAGGTCGGATTTTTGAGGAACGGCGTCCTTATAGCAGATGACACGACTAACAACTTCATAGAAAAGTACGGAACTTCAGATGTCGAGGAGATATTTATATCGTTGTGTAACAGCAATCAGCAATGTGAAGAGCAGGTAATCTTTTTATTTTTAAATCCAAATTTAACCGCGATTGCTTTGGCAATTGATTTTTTTTATGTTGTAATAAAACATTTTCAGTCAATAGAATAAACAAGTTATAATTTTGACTACTTAGGCAATTTAGAGTGCACAGCTGTTATGCGGGTTTATCACTTTCAGGCGTTCAATTTTTCGTGGTGAGAGGGGACATATACTTTATTGTGGAACTCCTATGATTAGACGTGGAAAGCATTTTCTTCTCCAAACTAAGCAATTTCCTCGGTGCCACTTTACGCACTTCTCTTAGTGTGAGAATTGCCTTACTCAAGTGGTTATATTTTATACAGAATAGAGCCTCACATTCTTTCACGTCGTGTGCTGAAGTCTCTGATTTCTCTTGTCACAATCGGCGTGTTTCTGTTTCTGTTTTGCTCATCTTGTTTAGGTGGTAATTGAGAGGGCGGAGGCCCGTACAGAGGCTTATTTATTTTCCTGGAATCTTGCCGGCTGAGAGAAATAAGTTCCTTCGCCTTCCTTTTTCAGAGATTTATGTGTTTATTTGTTTTTGTCCATGCTTGAGTTTTTTCTTAATCAAACAGTTTGTCCAGTTTCAACTTTATTACATACTCCGGTGCGTTTAATTGAGGTTTCGGTCCCATGGGTGAGTGAGTTTTGGATTCCTATTATATCTTTATATCCCGGAACTAGCTTCAAGGTAACCTTGTTGTGTTTTAGGGCCATTAAGCAATTTCGACATTCCAGTTTGTACCTAAAAGCATACGCATTTAATAGTTTTACAGCTGCCTGACTCTACGAAAGTATGTAGATACGTCTAACCTCAATCAGCAATGTGAAGACAATCTTTTATTAGTTAAACCAAATTCAACCGTATAAGAGCAATTGGCAATTGATGATTTATTTAACATCGGGCTTGTTTTGGAAACTGAGATCATCCTATCTCATACTGAGGTCATATCTGTCGGACCAATTTTGCGAATCCGTCCGAATTTTCACCATATGTACGCATTAGAGCGGGTGTTCCTCAGAGAGGGATTCTTGGCCCATTTCTATTTTTAATATACACTGCAGATATTCCTGCACATGTTAACATTTCCGCAAGTAATTCGCTGATGATACAGCGATTCTTACACGTAATTTGGATCCCCTCCATAAACACTCAACACTTACAACATCTGACTAAATTAACAGTACGGTTCACAAAATGGAGAGTGTCAAAGTTGAGCTTTTCTCTAATTTTATCAGGCTCTGTTGTAGCCGTCTCATTTATTTTAATTATTTTTAGAATTAATTAAGGTTTTTCATCTCAACTAAAAACCTTAATTAATTGTAAAGTATTAATTGGTCAAGCGGACCACGAAATTAGTGAATTTAATGAATTAAAATGAAGTACACTTCACTAAAGCTCTCCGTGGCTATTTCATTTGTCGTCGAGAATCCAATCCGATTACACGACATTTGAAAAATGGCAAAAAGGAGGGAAAACTCATAAGGTGGGATTGACATGAGAAGTTAGTGCCCGAGGGGATCGAAGTCACGATAGCTCAAGTGGTAGAGCAGCGGCGTATCTAGCCGAAATCGTGGGTTCGTATCCCGCTCGTGCCATTAACTTTTTTTCATCTCAACTAAAAACCTTAATTAATTGGTCAAGCAGACCACGAAATTAGTGAATTATTTTTAGAATTTTGTGGTGGCACCTCCTTAGATCTGTTTTTTTTAAATTTTCTTACATTTTAGGAGCCTTGACACTATCAAAAGCCACTAAAATAGACAAATATACAGATTAGATAGTAAATAGACATATAAGGGTGGGAGGTCGAGGGCTGTTTCCATTGCTATAGTGGGGCAGGTATGCATTGCCCCTAAAATATTGAGACACTCTAGTCTTTGTAGACTTTGTAGTTTGGCCTGTCTTCTTATTGAGTGTCTTTGTCCACCATGCTAGAGCTTCATATGTGACCAAGGGTCTAACTGTTGTGGTGTGTAACCAGTACGCCATTTTTGGATTTATTCCTTAATTTTTACTTAGGATTTTAACTTTGTCTCTTTGGAGAAAGCTAAAGCTTCACCTTTTATAGTGGGAGCCTTTATTTTGAGCTTCCTTCTTTTTGTGTAGGGTATGAGATATGTTCTTTTACGCTTTATATTTAAATCCTTTTTTTCATGCTCTCCTATAAGCATTGCATTCGACAAAGTGTCTTCGGATTTCCCTTTTATGATTTTTACGAGGTCATCTGCGTAACCTATGGTATGGTATCCTAACTCGTCGAGTTCTTTAATTACATCATCGACTACTAGCCGATAGTAACCCTGCTTGGGGCATTCTTTTGAAGGTGCTATTTGTACGGTCTGACGAGCGAGTTAAGTGTTTATTTTCTGACTGCTTAGCATTCCTAATATCCAATTTGTAGTCGGGAGGTCTATGGCTTTCCTTTATACAGTCCTTAGTACGAGGTATTGTCAAAAGCTCTTTCTACATCCATGAAGTAACAGAGTGCTATTTCCCTATCTTCCAATGATTTGTCAACATGTGCTACCAATTTGTTTAGGGCTGTCTCTATGGATTTACCCTTTTGGTATGCATGCTGTTGGTCATGAAGAGGATTTTTTCCAAGATGATTTTCCTTAATTTTTTAGACTATAATATTCCTCATTGTCTTCTGGACAAAAGAAGTTAGGCTTATGCCGAGACGGACGGCCTTTGCCGAATCTGACGTGCGACTTCCTACTTTCGGTAAGAACACAACCTTTGTGATATGTGCTAGTTCATACCTGGTCCTAAAAATGTCAACCATCATTTGTTACAAGGTTTCCAAGCCCTGTTGCAATAACATGGGGAAAATATTGTTTCCTCATGGTGATTTGTAGGGGTTAATGGTGCTTATTCCCATTTAACTTTGTTGGGAGTAAATATTTTAGGTGAGAGGCTCCTTGCTTTTTGAGCAGTTTGCAATTTCTGCTCGGTTCCTTCTATGACTCTTCTTTGTCATCCACAGGTTTACCCGTTGGGAAGTGACCGCAATCATTTCTACCGGGGTGCTTCTCTCGTCGTGGGTTCTACTCCCATCTGTCTTTAGAAGAAAGCCAGGGTTGGCTGAGAGTCCTTTCGTTAGAATTTCCTGTGTCCTTATCGCAATGGGAAGATCATCCATCCCTTCACAGAAACTTCTCCACGATTTCCTTCTTACTTTTCTCAGAGCTTTATTGCATTCAGGTATGGAGTTTTTGTATTCAACCCATTGTGACATTTGCTCTATGAAAAGTTTTCTAGTTTTAGTCCGTACACCATTTAGTTTTCCACCATGGAACATCTTTGTCTTTGTCCCTTTGGTTTTTAATGAGCTATATCATTCATAGGTTGTACTGAATGCCTTAGTCAACCATGCAGCTAGTTTATCTAGTTCCTGTATGTTTTTAACTACAAAGTTTAGTCCTTCTGTGTTTCTAGCTTAAGATATGCTAGATAGAGCTGCCAGTTAGTTCTCTTAGGATCTCTTTAAACTGCGGCGTTTGACTTATTTGCCTCCATCACAAAGCTCAGGATTCTGTGATCGGACATATATGTTTCCGAGGAAACCTGCCTCTTTTTTATTTTGTTACTAAAATAAGTGAGAAATCATATACCTCAGTCCAAGAGCTAGTCACGAAAGTTGGTTTGTTCCCTCTGTTACTCATCACTACATTATTTAAGTAATTAAAGAGAGACTCACCCCTCTTGTTGATACCAGTGTTGCTCCAGCTGGTATGATGTTCGTTTGCATCACACCCCCATATGAAGTGGATGTTGTTTTTGCAGTGCTGGACATGATTTATACCTGCTCTGTAGATGTTTCTACGTCATCTCCAGGGAACTAGGCTGTCGTCTATATAGTTTTGCCCATTCCCGAGCAGGATTGCTGTTCTACTTGCACTGCAACAAGGTCTCTGGTGGAACAATTGAAATAAGTACAGAAATTTTCATGTATTTAAAATGTAAATGTAAATAATGTAAAATGTAAATAAATTTTCATGTATTTCAAATATTTAAAATTAATTAGATATCAAAAGTCAGAAGTAACAAATTTATTCCTTTTTTTGCTGTTTTCAATTTTTTAAACTACTTTTTTGACATTTTTATGATATTTGAATTATACGTAGCATAAATAAACTGTTGATAACAAAAGAAACCATTAAAAAATGAAATAAGTAGAGAAATTTTCAGAGAAAATCTGAAGTGATAAATTTACTCCTTTTGGCTGTTTTCAACTTTTCTTTTGTTACTTTTTTCTATTTCTATGATATTTTGTTATGCGTCAATAAACAGTTTATAACAAAGAAAAGATTAACAAATGAAATAAGCTGTAGTGTTTCTGATGTTGAATATCCGAAATGGCAAATTTACTCCTTTTTTCTGGCTGTGTATTATTATTGATATTTTCTCCCTTGAAAAAATCTCTCAATATAACGAGTGAAGTTTTTTTACAGGCGATCACTCCAACATCAACGAAGTGTAAAGAAACGAAAAGGGATTTCGAAGGCGATGGCCATTTCAAATGGTGTGGCTTTCGTGCACAACTCACAAAAAATCTAATCTGGGCGAAACACAATAAATTGTACGTACAACAAACCCTTTATTCCCTCAATCCTTCTAACAAAAGTTTACACCAGGATTTTGTACTCGAACCTATTATTTTCAACCGTCCTTTCTGTCATATTCGCTGTGGCGTTCGGCGGCGATCCGATCGGACTGAAAGTTGCCGTTGTAAGCTCCGTGAAGACTTACGAATGCCCAAGGAATGACAGTTACTACAGCCCCCTCCTCCGTTGTAATGTGCCAGATCGGTTCGAATGCTTCATCTACACGAGACTCAAGGAAAAATTTGTACTTGTAAGATTTCGACTCGTGTCTTTTTTCTTTTGAAATCAAAGCGAATACAATTTTAGCTAGACTACGACAACATAGACACTGCGATGGCGGACCTGAGCTCGAGTAATATCCAAGGGATTCTCAATTTTCAAGAAAATTTCACTTCAACTCTAGACTCGTTTTACGGAGATATTAGCGGTTTCACGACTGATGAGATTGACAGTGTTATCATCGAATCATCGATAGATCAGGCGGGTGAGAAATAAAGTGAAATGTTAACAATTAATCAGTACAAGTGGTCAATTATATTTTTTTTTCTCTTTATTAGCTTACGTTTCTAATATTCATTTCAGATTATATCTTCAGAAATTTTTTAAAGAAATTCATATCCAAGAGCGTGCTGGGGTTGTTCGAAGATATAGAACTTTATTGCAACACTTCAAAAACGTTCAGTTTTATACCGATTAAGGTTTGTGATGTTTGATAGTTATGAATGTCGTAAAGTTAATTTATCAAACAATAATTCACATATTTCAAATTTCTTGGTCTATGTGTCACACAAAATAAGCTCTGGATGATTTTTTATTTTTAGTTCGCTGATCCGATTTATGGTTTAGCCGATACCACAGTGGCTATTACTGGTCTAGCGTCATATTTAACGGCGTAAAAAAAATAGAAAAAATATTTGCATAATAATGTTTTATTTAATCGCACGATCGATTTCAGGGTTTCATTCGCCTTCCCGATTATCTTCACGGCGCCGGCGATGCTGATTGAAAAAAAAGGAGGTTTTTTCAAAAGAAATTTAATTTCCGGTAAGAATAAATGTAATATTATTTAAGAGTATATGTAGGGTTCTAGTCTTCGTAGAGGTCATTAGACGGGTGAAAAAAAAAGACTAAATATATAGTTTCATCATCAGGGCCTATTTTATTACAAACTGAAATAAATACAAAATAACATACAATTAATAATAATGTAATAAAATGGTATAAGTACTTTTCCAAGGATGAAGAAACGATTAATATGAAAAACTATTGTACAAGTGTTTTGGGTTTAAGGCTATGGAGCACATGTATAATATATTTTGACGTGAAACAGATATCTCATAAAATTATAAGTAATTACTAACACATAATATTTATATTTGACTTATTGAAACAATAATTTATAGTAAAGTCAAGCAATACCTTGCTGAAAATCCATCAATAAAAAAATGAAGGTCCAACTATTTTTTTGTTCTTACTAGTCTTCACTAATCATAGCAGTCCAACCGAGGCGTCGGGGTTCGTCTCTCTCTCTCACTCTCTCTCTCTCTCTCTCTCTCTCTCTCTCTCTCTCTCTCTCTTTAATTTTTAATCCTTTGTACATAGATTCTGTAAATAGCTTTAATTTAATTTTAAATATATAAAAAAAACAATTTTTGTAAATTTTCTCTATGATCACAAAAGTACCTGAAAGAAATTGTTGTCAGAACAAAAAAATAGTTGGATTTTAGTCATACGGATTTTTTGCCAGGCATTGTTTGACTTTTCTATAAATCATTGGTTTCAATGTCAAATGTAAATATTATGTGATAGCAATTACTTATAATTTTTATATAGATGTCTGTTTCACCGTCGAAATGTATTATGCTCCCCATGTGCTCCATAGCCCATGGAACCATAACCCAAAACACTTCTACAATAATTTTTCATATTAATCGTTTCTTCATCCTTGGAAAAGTACGTACACCATTTTATTACATTAATTGTTAATTGTGTGTTGCTTTGTATTTATTTGAATTTGTAATCAAATAGGCCTTGATGATGGCACTATAAAGTGTCGAAAGTTCAGTGAACCTAGCATTTAGTCTTTTTTTCACACCTCTACGAAGATTGTAACCCTACATAGATTATCTGCAGGTCGATCTACGAATCTTTTATTTAAGAGCTTAAGTGTAAATACTTATTTATTATTTTATCGGTGCATTAATTTATTTACTTATTTATATATATTTATCAGTTTATATACACTGACAGGCAACAAATTCCACCCTATAGATTTTTTTCATTTTCTCGATAAAAGAAAATTCTGCCTTAATTTGTCTCATTGTTTTTACCAATAAATATTTGTTTATGGTATGTTTTAAATTGGGAATATCAATTAGAAGTAAACACACTTAATCCTTAATCCAAAACAAGGATAAAGAATTTTCCCATGCTTACTTTTTATGGCATTTAAAATGTTTATTCAGTCTCATTTGAATCCGGAAGCAATAAACGTAACTATGTAAAGTTTTCATCTTTGTTTTCTTAATTTCAATTTTTAAACTTAAAAATGCTACTTAGTGCTGATGATGTTGCTCGTGGTGTGGCACTTATTGATGATAGACGTTCCATCAGGTATGTGGCTATTGCCATCGGAATTCCCTACTCTGGGAGACGCCGTTAGACGTTTTCGAAAAACTGGGTCCTACCCTAGAAGGCCCGGTTCTGGACGCCCTAGGGTAACGGAACCACATGATGACCGTTTTTTGACTTTGAGAATTTTGCGAAACCGGCACCTTACTGTTGTTTAAGCGATTCAACAGCTCCTGGAAGTTCGAAGTGTCTTTTAGCTCCCCATAAGAGGACTAGAATTGACCGGAACACACAGGGTTGCACAGTTCGCATTTGCTCGAGAACACAGCCATTGGTCTTTGGACGATTGGTCTGCTGTACGTTTTACAGATGAATGTAGATTTGCTCTACGATCTCCAGATGGGCCTGAAAGAGTGTGGAGAAGGCGAAATGAAGCCTGGAATTTTGCCCAGAGCCAACCTTTTCAACGCTTCAGTGATGGTGTGGGCGGCAATCTCAATGGAGAGTCGTACAGAGTTGGTTGTTGTTCGTGGAGGGTCTTTGAAGGCCACTCCCTGTGTGGATGAAATTTTGGAACATCATGCGTTGCCTATCCTCGATGAAATCAGGGACAATCCTATTGTAATCCACGACAATGCCCGTTCACATGTACCTTCAACAGCATAACAACAGGGTCTTAGCCTAGCCTGCTTGTTCTCATCCCATCGAACATTTATGGGATAACCTCAAAAGACGAATAAGAGCACGTCTTCCTGATACACACCACGATCTTGAAAGATCTCTTTGTGAAGAATGGGCTAATCTCCAGCAAAGACAGGTAGAAAGTATGCCGAGGCGTCTTAGCCTGGCCAGCCCGTTCTCCAGACTTGAACCCCATCGAACATTTATGGGATAACCTCAAAAGAACGTCCATCACTTCCTGATACACTCCACCATCTTGAAGGACTCTTCGTGAAGAATGGGCTAACCTCCAGCAAAGAGACACTTCCAGACTGGTAGAAAGTATGCCGAAGCGTCTTCAATTTGTAATTAATGCAAGAGGAGGAAACACGCGATATTGAAATGTTAATTAAAAATCTAAAACAAAATTACAATTTTATCTGTCCGTCTTTTTTTCATCTGTCATTTTCCCTAGCAATTTACTTTTTTTTCATTTGTAAACAAAGTCTCTATTGTTAAACGGTAAAAGAGGTGAAACTTTGATTAATATATAAAAATATATACAAATCAACTTAAATTACAAGTGGGTGGAATTGTTTGCCTGTCAGAATATTTATTTTTAAGTTGGTTTTAGGTATTTATTGCTGTATAAATTGTTTCATCCTTCTGTTGAAATGGTTTTTGTAAAAAATTTTTTAATTTTTTCTAAAATTGTTAAATATTAAATATTATTACTTTCTATCATTTAAAAGATAAAATATATAAACACTTTCCTTACCAGTAGAATTTTGTTACAATATGTAATTTTACTGTTTAAAATAAAATCTTTCATCCATCCATATTTAAGAGCTCTTCATAATCATCCAAAATGTTTTGTTTAAGGCTTGACTTATCTGGAAATGGTGGCTGCACATTTGGTGATCCAAATACCCTTGATGCTCCTGCAAGACTTGATATTGTTTGGAATATTCGCTTGGATTTTTGTTTTCCCCATACTGGGAAACAAACTGCTAATTTTTTCTTTAATGATCTCCTGCAATATAGTCGGCTTTGTAATAGGTTGTAATTAAACTATTTAGACATTAGACGAAATTTAATCTTAATATTCTTTTTTAGTGCTTGTCGTTGTCGAGCTGCTTCGCAATGAATTCGCAGTCATGATCTTGTCTATGGCTCTTTTGAACGTTTCCTGGATGCTTGGAGGTAAAGTTCACATATTAATTGATCATTGCAGTTTGTATAATTTTATATTTTCAAATAGGCGTTTTGTGGCCGCAGATCGCCTTCCCCTATTGGCTCGAGTTGCTCTGCTATGTGATCCCGAACGTGAGAACTTCAGGCTCCATGAATGCTGTAGTAATGAAAGGCTTCCCAGTGACCAACTTAGAAGTATTTTACGCTTTTATCGAAACCGCTTTTTGGATTTTGTTTTCTGTTAAATGTAGCAATTTTTTGTTTAAATTGAATAAAAAGTATTTTTCTTATTTGAAGTTTTATTTCAACCGACAAAATCTACTTGTAAATAATCACTGCTTCTTATGAATCAATAACAAAACTAAAAATTATACTACCTTCTAATAAGTTAGAAGTTTGAAGATGTTTGACACAGATCTTAAAAAGAATGAATCACACGAAAATAAGCGTTCTCATTAGCATACTGTTGTTTTTTCGTCAGAACCTATTGAGTTAGGTGTTGAACTGTTCATAGTCGGGCTAATATTTTCAGTATAAATTGTTTCCTTAATTAATTTAATGCTCTACCTCGTTCACAATTGAAAGTGTCGTTAAATTTTTCGAAATTATAGGCTCTCCAAATGGACAGGACTAATCATTTAGGTCATCGTGAGTTCACAATTACATCTGGGTTTTGTTTTTATAACAGTTACAATTTGATTGTTAAGCCAAATGCACATGTCGATTTTTATCCAAAGCCTATTAACGTTTTATCGGAATTACAAATTGTTATATTCACTAATTTTAAAAAAATATTTGCATTTAGACGAGGAGCTTGTTTTTAAGTAAGTGCATTGGCAATAGTTGTAAAGATAAGTAAACAATGAGAGAAAAGGAAAAAAGAGATAAGGGGAGATTCAGAAAGAAAATGCAAATATAGAAAAATAAAAAGATAGAAAGGGGGTAAAATTAGTGGGTGATTATGAAGGCTGAGAGAGTAAGAGAGAGAGGGAGAGAGAGAGAGAGAGAGAGAGAGAGAGAGAGAGAGAGAGAGAGAGAGAGGAGAGTTTTTTTTTAAACGAGGGTTCGCAACAGCAAAGGTCATATAAACCCTCAGGTATCGGTGTTTTTGAAAAAAAACCATTTGTAAGTATGTCGGGTTCGAATGCAGGGCCGCTGGATTCGAACCCGGGACCTTTACCTTACAGTGATGAGCGCCGTGTCAAAGACTAAATGTGTTTATAAAGGGTGTAGGATATACACGGATCCCCACTCTTTGTGAAATAAAATATTGTGATGGATAATGTGAGGAAGATAGTGAGGGGATGCTTTATGGGCTTTTACCTACACCAAGTTAGTTCTCACAAACGTGTGTGGATAGGATCATCCGGATATCTGCTTATTAGTTATGGATTGTAAGAGTGTCCTAAAGAGAAAGAAAGAAAGGAAGAAATAAAGAGAAAGAGAGAGGGAGGAAGGGAGGGAGGGAAGGGAGGGAGGGAAGAGAGAGAGAGAGAGAGAGAGAGAGAGAGAGAGAGAGAGTGAGTGAGAGAGTGGGAGAGAGTGAGAGTGATAAAGAGAGATCCTTGAGACCTAACTTTGCGTAGGTAAATAAAGCATATTCTCACTCACTCCCTCACATTATCTACCATAATATATTTATTATATAAAGTGTAGGGATTAGTTACATGTATAATGCAAATAGCAGGTCATCATCAACGAATTATTTTTTCGTTTTTGATATTAATTTTCTCAAGCATTTTTTGTCTTCTTCTCCATCTTTTTTTCCCTTTTCCACTACCTCTATGTTGAACCGGCACTAGGTAACTTACTGGGCCTGTCTACATTCACGTGTTTTGATGTTTGATGTCAACGCGTTTCTGAACTGGAATAATTTGTATTTGTGTTCACCGACTCAAAGACCAACATCCACAATCTCCATCTCTATATGTCCATCTTCATTTCTAAATTTCTATATATTTATCTCTTTTACCTCTTTTTTTGTTTTGTTTATTTCTATCCTATTTTTCCTGTTCTTTTATCGTACTCTATCTCGCTTTTCTTTTATGTTACTCTTTCTCCGTCTTTTCTTGTTTTTGTTTTTCTCTATTATCTGTCTCCCCATCATTCTCTCTCTTTCTATCCACCTATGTATTGTTTATCTATCTTCTTTACTTCTTTTTTCCTTTTAGCTCTTTCCTCTTTTCTTGTTCTTTTATCTTACTCATTTCCTTTTATGTTGCTGTGTCCTTCTCTTACGTTCTCTTTCTTTTGTTATTATTTTTCTCTAGTTTTTAATGCCTGCTTCCCCATTTCTCTCGCTCTCTCCCTTTCATATGTTGTTTATCCGTTTGTTTATTACTAGGAGAGTTAAGAATTAAATCTTTTCGGCTTTTTTAGATAGGAAAATATTATAATGTAAAAAATAAATACAAAAATATATTTATTTTTTAGTGCAATATGCAATTAGTATTAACGAACCATCATTAATTTTCTTTTTCGTTATGAGACGGCGTCAAATATGATTTGTGATGTTCCGATGACGTGTTAAAACATGTATATGGTGCTTTAACAATAGTTTTTTTTTATCCAGTTTAGTTTTGCAGGAAAAAAATGCTAGTTTCAAACAATAATGATCTAAGCATCAGTGAAATTGCTTACTACGGTTCATCAATCATTCGGTTTATTTTTTTCAGTCGTTCTCATCTACCACATCACTGTACCTCTGATGTTTTTTGTTGCAAAATTATATATATATANTATATATATAAAATCAGAATTTAGTATCTGCCATTGCATTGTCATTAAATTTCAATTAAACATAGATTTGAGCTGAACAAAACGACTGATTCATTAAAATAACTAAGTCATAAATAAAATAATAAATTGGCTGCCAAATAAGAAGGACCTGTGTACAAATTCAGTAAGAGATGGAGAAGTTTTAATCGTTCATTGTTATACTTCCGCCTTGTCCCAAAAACAGAAACAACGGCTTCTTGGCTTATAAGTATAAAGGCCAGTTTAGGTTAAGAGATCGGCAATCAAGTATTAAGTTTTACTAAGGAAGGGACCGCAGTACCCTACTGATTAAAGAGTCCCTCGACTAGTCGACCCGCGGTCGTGAGTTCGATTCCCACCGTGGCGACTGGACTTTTTTTATGACGCCCAAGGTGCCCGCAATGAAAATTCACGGCACTCATTAATGGAAGGTCTGTGGCGGGATCGGATCTCAGCATTCCTGAATTTGGTGACCACCTTCGAAAATGAATTTGTTCCATGGAACTACACTTACTGGAAATAGAGCCAGGAAGGAGTACAATAAGCTGTATAGAGCTGTAGTGCTCAATGGGGACTCCTCCAGTTCCTCTCCTACTGGTACTGACCAAAACCGACAAGGGCACGGGAGCTGAAGTCTTCGGGATGAACCCAAAGACCGAATGACAGTAAACCTAGGTAAATATTCTAGTTTTCCAGTCTGAAATCATAGCGATTGAACACTGCGCCTGGGAAATAAAAAGGCTAGGAATACATTTCCGGAAGATAGTCATCTTCTCTGACAGTCAGGCAGCACTAAAGGCCCTTAGGGTGAAGGTAAAGAGTGTTCTGAACTACATGGAGGCCCTGACGGAAGTCAGTGACCCCTTGGTCAATCAGTATAGAAGTAACGAAAAAGTTGACATGTTGGCCAAAGAAGGGGCTTAGCATCCTGCCACAAAAGAGGATACATCTTTAAATGGATCCTTAATGAGAACAAAGCCTGGTGGAACAATACCGATAGACAATACAATATGAGGACCATCCGCAAAACTTACAAAAGAATTACTGGAAGACAACGACAACCCAAACAGGATTCTGGTTGGACTCCTGACAGGGCACTGCCGCTTAAGAAGGTACACCGGATAGGAGTACAGATAGAAGAAACACTGTGCAGATATTGCCAGGACGAGGAAGGGACCGCAGAACACATTTTATGTTTCTGGGAAGGTCTATTAAGTGAAGGTTCTTGCAACTAGTAAAAGAAAAAACACAAGCAAGATCCTACACTTAGGAGACACTGGCTATGGAGGCTGATTGACCTGGAGCTGGCCAGTGAGTTATAAAAAACATGGGAGCACAATAGATCTATTCAGGTCGAGGTGCAGAAGGCCTTGTGGCCGCCTCTTTATCCCTATCCCTCCAGTTCCTGGTATGCACTGCGGTAAAATAATAATAAATAAATTGTACTAAGTATGTCTTTAAGAAAATCAAGTCTGACGATTAGAATAGTCAACAGGGAAATAATATGCATATGTGAACTTTTTTGTTTTTAATTTTTTTTCTCTCAAATTTTGGGACAAGTTTCAAGATGTTTTTTGATAATTGTCCTGAGGGTTTAAAAAAATGTTTAGGCTGGGGTATTTAAATCGTAAATAAAGTATTTTCAATTTCTTAAGTCATCGTTAATGTTTTATAAATAAACAACTGCATAAAACTAACTTCCTTATGGCAAACACAAGAAGAATCGCTAATATTTTTCTCAAATGCTGTCTCAGATATTGTACTTGTTTTGATTCGGCAAACACAATTCTTGGAGTTTGAAATTTTAGAAAAACACTTGTCGACTTCAACTTTACGATGGGGCAATTAGTTGTGTTCCTGTTTTGGTTGTCAGGTTCAATTATGCCACAGGACAAGGACATAGTATTTTTAATTGACGGTTCATAAGTGGATATTCCAGTTTATAATCAAACGTACCATTTTCCCAGTTGTGAAAATTAACAATCTCTTTATCTATGTCTTTGTTTCTATAAAAGAGAACTTTAAAAAGGGGACAAAGAAATCAGCCCTCGATAGATCGATGTCCTCTTCGTAGTCACTGCACAAAATAGGGCAAAACTTGTAGTCTAGAAATAATTTCATAAGTTTTACGAATTACTAGTTGATGACTACTATTTTTCTGTCATCTTTTTCCTGAATATCCATTGCTCTCTGTTTTTCTCTATATTTCCTCTTTTTTCCCCGCCATCCACGCTCAGCAGAGTAGAAGAGGACAGTCTTATAACAATACAAGTTTATGCAGTTGTTTATTTATAACTTTTTTCGCAGTCACCTCGTAGAGGACCTGGATAAAAACTATTGACATCGAGATAATTATGGAAACGTCCACGTCCTCTTGGTAATTGGGGCTGTCGCACCCTGACTACATCCGGTCCTCGGGTCTTGTGCACCACAGGGAACCTGGAACAATACAATGACCCCTGCGGAACCATTATGAAATTCCTGCCATTCAGACATCCAATTCGCATTGAGATCAGTCTACAATTACTTTTTGTGTATAATATTTTGGGGTGTATTATATTTTTGTGTATGTATTCACAAAATTCCCCATTAACTATAGCCTTTTTTACATTTAAATGTACCAGCACATTCTCACGACTTCCTGGATATACTATAATTCAGCATAAGGTTATATTTTTCCAATGTTGACCATTTGTAGGTACTTTAGCAGAATATTTGCCGTTAGATGATTAAGTTTCGAATTTATTTTATCTATGGGTGAGTCAACACTTTTTGAGTCTGCCAAGATAGGAATTTTCTAAATGGATGTTTTTTTTTTTTAACATACCCTAGTACCTTTAAATTAGCCATGGATTCGGCCGTGAATACGTCGCTATTTGAGAGACAATCTTTTATTTGTGAACTAAGTCGTAAAATGCAAACCCAGCTTTACCTATCTTACCATGGGGTCAGACTGAAATATTTTGTTAGAAATCCATGGTGAAAATTCCGATTATCCCGCAGGTGTATACGCCGAGGTGTTATAACCAAAGCTGTCGGTAACCCAAAGGTGTTGACTAGTCTGAAACGCTGGATAGGTGAGATGAACGCACATTAAGACGGCATCGACAATCGGTGGCGACATTTTACGGCTCCAGAACTTGCTTACGCGATCCTGCTAAGGCAACTATTTTGGCCACTATCACTTTGGGGCTATTACTCTGGTACAGATTGATAATTATATTGATAGCTAGCTTTTTAATCCTGGAATTAATTATACGGTGGCACAGCTGCCTTCGCACAGATTGCTATTATGGGAGTGCTTTGTAGGTACCCTAATTGTAAGAAAATTATTTATGAATATTTGGATGAACATTGAATATACAAGATACCTTCCAGAGGAACAGCCAGGAAAGCCTTAAAGGGCCTCTGAGGTCACCATTAATCCGTCCTGTCAGATATTACATTCATTAAATAAAATTCATCGGATAACATCTAAAGGAGCCCTAAATTAGCGAGTTTCGATCCTAGGATATATAGTTCAAGATTGTCATAACTTCACTAATTTCGTGGTCCGCTTGACCAATTAATTTCATTACAAACACTTTTCATCTCAACCAAAAACCTTAATTAATTGTAATTGTCATAACCTCCACCTATTTCTAGAAAAAGACCCAATACCATTTCGTTGGTTGAAAAACCAAGGTAAACGTCACCAGTGAGCGATAACTGAGCATCAACCACCGAATTGAACGTTCAAAAGATTTCAGCACACATTACATTATTTAGGATCGTTAGGTTGCTTACCCTCTTCTTTAACAGTGATAACTGTCTTTCCAGATGTTTTCCTCTTTTCTTGTTTTGGTTGTTAATTATCTCTAGTTTTTCCGTCTGTTTCCCCCTTTTATGGGGAAGCAAAGGGCTCCCTCTTTCTCTCCTCTCTTTTCATCGTTATATCTTTGTCTATTTCTATCTCTCTTTCTTTCTTTGTCCTCCACTTATATCTTCCTATCTCTACATCAATCTGTCTTTCTCTCTCTGACCTCTCAATCTTTCAATCTATCTCCATCACTATCACTCTTTCTCTCTCAAGGACCTGAAGGCGAGGAAGAGGGCGAGGGAAAGAAAAAGAGAGACAAAATGAGAAAGAGAGGAAGAGAGAGAAATAGAAAGATACCAAAGAGAAAGATATAAATAGAGAGATAACAGAGAGAAAGAGATAAATGGAGAGATAGCAGAGTGAGAGAGAGAGAGAGAGAGAGAGAGAGAGAGAGAGAGAGAGAGAGAGAATAAGAAAGAGAGGGACAGAGAGAAATAGAGAGATACCAGAGAGAAAGATATAAATGGAGAGATAACCGAGAGAAAGAGAGGAACGGAGAGATAGCAGAGAGAGAAAGAAAGAAAGAGAGAGAGAAAGAGAGAGAGAGTGAGAGAGAGAGAGATGAAACAGAGGTTAAGAGAAAGTGATGGACAAGCTGGCAAAAAAAATAGGAAAAAATAATAACATAAAAGCGGGAGACCAAGTACAAGAAAAAATAGATAGAGAAAATAAAAGTACAGGTACAAGAGGAGAGAAATGAAAGACAAAGGTGAGACAGTAAAATAGAAAATTGAAAAAAGAAAGAAAGGGGAGAACGTGTAGCATATTAAACAACATTAAAGAATATTAAAGAAATATAGTATGATAAATGTACAGCGCAAAGAAGATACAATTAAGGAAAAAAGGGCAGAGGCAAGCAGAAAAACAAGCAAAATAAAAAGAGAACAGGAATGAATGAGATAGAGGAGTACATGTAGATCGATAAGGAGAGTGTAAAAGGTGAGAGAGAGCGTGAAAGAGTCCGACGGTGAGAAATTGTGAGAGAGGAAGGAGGGAAAGAAAAGAAGGAATAACAATTTAACATGAAAAAAAGTAATAAAATTATGCAAATTATGGAAACAAATCACCATAAACAACACAGTAAGATCAAAACAAATATGATTTTGTGCCTAAAATAAATGTTGGTACATAAATCGATGTAGTAGGACCTCACCCAATTAAATTTAATATTATTCGTTATCTTAATAATATTAATAAACAAATCATATTAATATTAATAAAGGTTTTAGTACACATTAATTTTTATGGAAAGAAGGTTGGGATGTAAAATTAATGCCACGAGCAGGACTCGAACCCACGTCATCCGGATTGAGCAAGGATAAATAGGGGTTTAATTTGCAATAAATCTCTTGTTAAGCATTAACAACACTATTATTGGTTGGGGAAAAAAGATTATGCACATTATTCTTCTAAGTATTTCCACTTATGAAAATTAAAATTACTAGAAATAACAATTTCTCGACAGACATTGTAAATTTATGGAGTTACTTATTCGAGGGACATAGTATTTTGTAAAAATAGATGCTGGTTTTAAAAATAATCATATCTCTGGATAGTAGGGTTACGAAATAGAAAAATTATGCATGGTATTCTCCAAATCGCACACTTTAGGGCGTTTGAATGTTTAAAATGTTTGCGAAGTATAGATAATGATTTATTGATCAATGAGATGGATCGTAAAGAGTCGCCAAGGTTGCTGTCTGCTGAATACATCATTCACTCGGAAGTTGAGCAGCGTGTTGAGTTTTTATTTTGGAGGGGATGTGTAGCGTGCTATGGAAGTGAAATAAACGAATAGAAGAATTCAGACCGCTATTTGGGTCCCGGCACCGATGAAGAACACGCATCGGTTTATTTACAGTTTTGTTTAGTTTTGCGTAGAAAACGATTTCTTAACACAATCTAACCCATTGAAAATAAATATGAATTTCGTTTAGCTTGTTAATTTCAAGATAATTTTAAATTTCTCTATTGCTCAAAAACCTTTAGTGGTTTTAATTTAATGATTAAAAGCCGAAAATAGTTTTTTTAAAAATATTTTTGTGAAATTTTTGCAATGGATCCGAATGTACTAGTGAATTTCAAGAACGTCTACAAGAAATACGAGAAAAACTGGATTCTTAGAGGCCTCAACTTATCCATTCATAAAAGTACAATGTAAGTTGTTGTATGTAAGTTTAACATGAAACATGTGCGCTGTTTATTGTGAGATTTCCTTGATGAACCTGTAATTTGGTCGATGCCGATCATCCAGGCCTTCCTATCTTCGCCGTGTTGGTCTGTGAGACTCGTTTCGCCATCTTTAGTGCTGGGTCTGTCTGTTAAACAAGAAAATCAGTTCAAAAAATAATTTACAGATGTCTTAAACTTAATTGGTAACTGAAACATACATAATTTCCCTTTTTCCTTCATCTAACTGCACACGTGCTGGTTCTTACTAATAGTAGTATCAGGCCAAATCATTACCATCACATTACCAGAACATTTCAATTTGAATTGGCAACAAATACTAAACTCAAACTTATCATACGCGCACACGATTAAAAAAAATGTCACTTTTTGTAGATTAATTGGCGTTTTGAAAAAATGGCAAAAAGGTGGGGTTGAGATGGGAAGTTAGTGCCCGAGGGGATCGAAGTCACGATAGCTCAAGTGGTAGAGTAGCGGCGTATCAAGCCGAAGGTCGTGGGTTCGTATCCCGCTCGTGACACTGACTCTTTATCTCAACTTAAAAACCTTAATTAATTGAAAGTTTTGAAAAAAGTTGATATGCAAACAGTCAATCTTAAAACCTGACAACATTGAAAAAAATACTACACATGTTCGTATATGTTTGGTCTTTAATTTATATGTGCTGATCCCGTTTAAAGTAAACACGTTTCACTGTCGTATATGTGTACACAAACCAATGTTTTTCTAATATTCACGAACGAAACTATTAAATTCTGTTACCATTCATCTCCTCGATTTGTTAATCGAAAAATTAGAAAAATGGCAATCTTAATTCAATTAATTAATCTTTATGTAAGGTATTAGTGGAGATAAAAAAGTCAGTGTCCCGAGCGGGATTCGAACCCATGACCTTCGCCGCTGCTCTTCCACTTGAAGTCACGATAGCTCAAGTGGTAGAGCTGCGGCGTATTTAGCCGAAGGTCATGGGTTTGAATCCCGCTCGGAACACTGACTTTTTTATCTCAGCAAATACCTTACATAAAGATTAATTAATTGAAAGATGTTGTTTGGTCAATCTGACGACGAAATCTATTGAAGGTAATCTTATGTTAGGGGTCGGGAAAAAACTTTTTTTTTGAGCTCTGGCAAGGTCCAATTGGAGGAAACTGTTTTATTTATTTTTTATTTTTGTATTATTATTTTTTTTTAAATTCCGCTAAATTACGACTCCTGGCGAATGAATAATTAGGGTTTTTTTATACAAATTAAAAACAAGGTGAACAAGTCGAACATGTAACAAAGAGTCTCGTGGTTCGGTGGGGTTCATTCACCAAGCTGAATTAAAAAAAAGAATTATTTTTATTTTATTGTAGTTTTGTTTGTCTCTGCTTTTCCAAAGTGGTTTATCCATAAACTTGTGTGGCATCCGATTTAACGTGATGGTTTCCCGTTCACCACTGAGGGTGCATAATTGTTTGCCAGAATAGTAACAATTCAAAAATTATTATAGAGAAGCGAACAACTGAGATTTTAATATATTCCATAATAATTGCTTACATTTACGACATTTTGACTACTGCAGCCATCGTAACATTGTTTGCATAATGTAATGTATAATATACTGCAATATGCATTAATGTAAACAAGATGAGAGTCCCTGTAATTTATCCAATACTGTGTACAACTTAATGTGTATCAAATTTTGTAAACAATAGCTGTTTTTAAGCTAAGAATTCCTTTTTTACGAGGTTATATCAACTCTCGGGGTGTCTGTTTTTGAAAAAAAAAGCTCATTTGTAAGTATGTCGGGTTCAAAGGTAGGGCCGCTAGATTCGAACTCAGGACCTTTACCTTACAGTGATGAGCGCCGAGTCAACGCCTAAAACCGTTCCGGCCACCGATACCCCAGAATACCTTTTCAAATGTATATATTAAAATAATAAATTTATGTTTCTATAATGTAAAATGTAAATATTGTTTTTTCACTTACGGAATGGAAACAGTTTAGTTAAAAAAAGCAACTAAAATCTAAAATATCGTATCCGCCTGGATGTTCACTTGTGAGCTAAGGTTTGTAAGAGTGTGCTATAGAGAAAGAAAAAGGAAAGAGAAGAAAAGAGAGAGAGAGAGAGAGAGAGAGAGAGAGAGAGAGAGAGAGAGAGAAAATGAGCGTTAAAAAGTAAGCAATTGTTTCAACAACGGAAACTCAAATATATTACAGTTTAACTAACTTCAAACTTCAAATCTTTAAACTTTATGTAAATTTGAGATTAAAACCGTTAATAAGCAGGTAGGTGCATGAGTTAGAAAATATTGAACGCCATTTTCTAAATGTCGCACGCAGAAATTTTATAGCAGTAACGGTCTAATAACTGGTTTGTTTGGTTTGTCTTGGTATGTTGTTGATTGTCAGTCTGTCCTTCACACTCGATTATTTTTGGGTGGAGCTTTCTTGTACTTTTTGCAAAAAAATAAATTGTTTTCAACCCTTTTATAAATCAACATCGTTATTGACTGGTTGCATCTCATATTCAAACTGTTATAAATTGTGGTTGGTAGCTTCCGTTCATTTTGGTATGCCAATGGTAGTCAGAACAAAACGTTCGGAAACTATCAAACTGCAAAGTTTCATTTGCAAAAATTAAAATAAATAATGATAAATAATAATGATTTCTTAAATAAGGAGTTTTTTTAGCTACAGCCTGTTGGGACCCAGTGGCTCTGGAAAAACGACAATAATCGGTTTAATCCTTGGAGAACTGCAACCGGATTTCGGCGATATAAACTGGGGTGAAGTTCATTCTCGAAAAGAATTCGGCTACATGCCACAAGTGAGCCTTAAAAATCAAATTTGTTTTTGTCAAAACACAATCGTCATCTTGTTCTAGGCAACATCTCTTTATGAAGATTTAACAATAAAGGAATCTTGCGTCTATTATTCTTACCTTTTCGGTCTTGGTGGACGCATTCCAAAAAAAGCAATCCAGCTGCTGAACAAGCTGGAGATTTTCGATTTGAACAGACTAGTCTGTACTTTAAGGTACGGTGTGATATTTCGTTTTGATTTTTAAAGTTAAGGGTTTAATTTGTTTTTAGCGGAGGAGAACAAAGGAGAGTGAGCTTTGTCATAGCTTTAATTCATGAACCGAGCATCCTCCTTTTAGACGAACCAACTGCCAGCCTGGACTGTCTACACTCTAAAATGTAACTATTTAAAAAAATATTCGAGCCGAATATTCAAAAATCATATTTCTTCTTTGCACAGAATCTGGGAACATTTAGCAGCTCTTTCAGGTAAAGGAACGACCATACTTCTCACGACCCATTACGTTCAAGAAGCCGTCAATTCAACAAAAGTGAGTTGCTAATTCAAATTTTTATCAGCACCTTCTATCAACCGGAGGAATCTTCAACTTTGTCAAGTTACAGTTGTTTCATTTAACACCAATCGAAAGTGAGTTTTTTAGGTTGGTTTCTTGAGGAAAGGAAATCTGATAGCAGAAGACAAAGTGACCGAGTTTATCGATAAGCATGGCACTTCCAATTTAGACAATATATTCGTGCAGTTGTGCGCCAAGGATATTCAAAAAAGCGAATGTGTAATTGAATTCGATCGGTATTACTTGATCAGAACTAAAATTAAGTTTTGTTTTTACAGATCGTGGTAGACAAGTCCCATTTGAAGTGTGCCAGTATGAAAATAGGTTTCCAAGGTGATAGATGTTTTAAATGGCCTTGTTTTTATGCCCAACTCGCCAAGAATCTGATCACTGTGAAAAGGAACCTTCTGTAAGTTCTGTGGTGTAACTTAATAACTTAATTCTGACTAATGTTCTTTGCGAAGGGTCTTCTTTTGCAATTTGTGCCTGCCGATCGTTTTCGCGTTGTTCTTCGGCATGGCGATCGGGAGAGACTTGAACGAACTGTCGCTGGGATCCGTTTCCGGCACCGTCAAGATCTCAGATTGCAAAGACATGGGCACGAGGTACGACGAACTACTTCGCTGCGAGCTGCCTGAGCGGATAGAGTGTTTCATTTTCCAAAGGCTGGAAGAACGTTTTAAAATGGTAAGCTTCGCTAGTAACAGGATCCTTCCTTGCAGGATCCTTCTTCTTACTTGCCATCTTGTTCTTCTACTTTGATCTGGACCGTTAGGAAATATACATTTACATCTAAATTTTTTTTATAGGACGCATGTAGAATTGAAAAACTAAACAAAAACAAGTTAGTTTACAATAACTATCACTAATTGACATGTGCGTGTTCCAACCTCTAAAAAAAATTTCTCTCTCTCTCTTTTTATCTATCTATTTATTCATCTCTATCTCAAGTACACACGGAAACGAATAGGTAACCTGTTTTAGGTCGATTACGATGACTTTACCAATGCGTTTAAGGATCTGCAGAGAGCGAGGATACACGGAATACTGAAATTCGAGAGGAATTTCAGCTCCTCGTTGTCATCTTTTTACGGCGATGTTACCCAGTTTAAAAGTGACAAAATAAACGATGCGATTATCGTTTCTCACCTAGATTCCTCAGGTAAACAATGGCAGGAAATCATTAAAAAGGCATTCTAATAAGTCAATTTTTGTGTAATATCTCCAAATCAAACACTATTGTTATACAAGTGTAAGTTTGCGTATTTTGGCCAATAACCAATTTTTATACAATGACTTGATTAATAATAATTACTCATTGTTAGTTAATTAATTGACAAACAAAGAAAACAGGAATAATGCATGTGAGCTGCCTTATATTAAAATTATTATCAAGGCCAAAATGTTCTTAAAAAACCTTCTAAAAATACTACAAGTGAAAAATGATGAAGGTGAGGTGAGTATGTCTATATGTAAAATATAGTTCTTACAGTTCTTTTGTGGGTAACAACTATAAGAACTATCTTTTAAAAAGGCACTATAAGTGTTGCCAATATTTTATGTAACATGACATTAATAAGGACGTAAAAATAATATAAAATAACAAACAATTCGTACTAAGTATTGTTGATTGTCCGGGATTATACGAGGATCCTCCTTTGAGAAATGTGGGAAATTGTAGTATTTTAAAGCCCAATTATTATGTATTAAAAAAACCTCAAATTAAAATAAAAATTGTTGTTTTACTTGTAATTAATGTTCACATGGTCTTCTAAAAGCTCAATTTTTTGTTTAATTCAGAAATTTTACATTACGTGCTTACATTACGTATGAAACCTTTGTTTGGATTTTTTTCGTTTGAAAGGAAAAGTTATTTAAAATTAAAAAGAATTAACATGAAGGTTAATTTGAACGTAACGGTTAATTGGAAATAAAAAGTGTTAATTTGCCGGTAAAGAAAAAGGTTAATTTAAAATTTAAAAGGAATAATCTGGAGTTAAAGAAAGAGTGGATTTGAAATTAAAACGGCCTAATTTGAGGATAAAAAGGTTAGTTTGAATTTGAAAACGCCTAATTTGAAATTAAAAAAGGTTAATTTGAAGTTAAAAAACACTTGGTTTAATGATAAAAACGTTTAATTTATAATTGAAAAGAGTTAATTTGCAATAAAAAACGGTTTAATTGACATTAAATGGGGTTAATTTGAAAATAAAAAAAAGTTAATTTGAAATTTAAAAAAGTTAATCTGAAGGTAAAAAAAATTTCAAGTTAAGAATGGTTAAATTTAAGGTGGGTTCATTTGCAATTATAAAGGGTTAATTTGAAGGTAAAAAAGGTTAATTTGACATTAAAAAGGGTTAATTTGAAATTAACAAGGGGTTATTTTATTGGTAAAAGGGTTGAATTACAATTATAAATGGTTAATTTGAAATTATAAAGGGTTAATGTGAAAGTAAAAAGGTTAATTTGACATTAAAAAGGATTAATTTGAAATTATAAAGGGTTAATTCAAAGGGTAAAAAGGTTAATTTGACATTAAAAAGGTTAATTTGACATTAAAAAGGGTTAATTTGAAATTAAAAAGGGGTTATTTTGTAGGTAAAAGGGTTGAATGGCAATTATGAAGGGTTAATTTGAAATATAAAGGGTTAATTTGAAGGTAAAAAAAAGGTTAATTTGTAGGTAAAAAGGGTTGGATTGCAATTATAAAGGACTAATTTGAAATTAAGACGGGTTAATTTGAAGATAAAAACGGTTAATGTTAACTTAAAAATGGTTCATTTGATAAGAAGGGCGGTTAATTTGAGAAAAAAGTAAAAAGTTTTGATCTACATCTTCCATTATTTGAATCAAATAGCTGTATTTGTATTTATTCATTACAGATTACGTTAAAGCCCACTTTTTAAAGAAGTTTATAAGTAAAAGCGTCATGGGAATATTCAAGGATATAGACGGTTTTTGCAATTCGTCAAAAACTGCCAGCCCTATCCCGCTCAAGGTAAAAGGGAAAATGTGTAATCATCATCGGATAAATGTAATCCCTTGATTTTCATTTTCTTTACAGTTCGAACAACCCATTTACGGTTCGGCGGAAGCACCGTATTCCCACTCATTATACCCGGCATACGTATGCGTGTGAGTATTCAAACTTCTGCTTTAATAGAAATTCTTCGATTGTTTTATGGCATTTTACAGTTGCTCATTCATCTTCACCATTGTGTTCTCGACCCCTGCACTGCTGGTGGACAAGAAACATGGATGCGTGAGGCGTAATATGATATCAGGTGAGATAGAGAAAAATGATTACATACTGCAAAAAGATATTAAGATTATAATCTAAATATTGTGAGCTTCGAAAGGTAGATTGATCCGTAGTTCGATTCGCTAATCATTCTGACTGGCGCATTCTCGCTGGTTCTGCTGCGTTTCATGGTCAGTCGTTGGCCTCTGTCTTTTGTTTGTACACGTTCTTGGTCGAAAATTAAAACGTATCTGGAAGATAATTTTAGCGAGAATAGGCTTATCAGAGCAACCGGAAGATCCGAGACGTTATTATACATTTGTTATTATACACGAATATGTTGCATTTATTTAAGTTTACACCCATTTATGTTATTTTTTTTTTATAACGTCGTGCTTTTGAAAGAGCTAATTGAACTGTAAATTAGTAGAAACATACCAAGCAACACCAAATTGGAAGTTCTAGTTCAAAATATCAGGATAAGAATTTATTTCATCAAACGCCATATCCCTTTAGTATTAGGATTTAATAATGTCAACACTAACAAGGAATCACTTTTCTTCAAATTTCGAATTTGTTTTCCCTTCTGTTCTATTTTCTATTCTTCCTCTTTTTCTAACATTCTTTCTTTCTCTCTCTCTCTCTCTCTCTCTCTCTCTCTCTCTCTCTCTCTTTTTTCTTTCACTCTTTTCTTTTCCCCCGTGAAGACACAAATTCTCATTTCTTTTCAAATTTAGTTTCTTTCCATTATCTTTTCTGTTAATGTTTTTTTTCGCTCTTCCTTCTTCTAATTTTGAATTTGTTTTCTGTTCTGTTCTAATGTCTATTCTTTCTCTTTTTTCTTATATTCTTTCTTTCTTTATCTCTCTCTCTCTCTCTCACTCTCTCTCTTTCTCTTTTTCTCTCTCACTCTCACTCCTACCTCTCTCCCTCTCATTCATTCTTTTCTTTTCCCCCGTGAAAACTCAAAGTCTCATCTCTATCTTTTGAAATTTAGTTACTTTCCATCCTCTTTTCTGTTAAAGTGTTTTTTTCGCTCTCCCTTCTTCAAATTTTGAATTTGTTTTCTGTACTGTTATATTTTCTATTCTTTCCCTCTTTTCTTGTACCCTTTTCTGTTAACGTTTTTTTCGCTCTCACTTCTTCTAATTTTGAATTTGTTTTCCGTACTGTTCTATTTGCTATTTTTTCTCTTTTTTCTTATATACTTTCTCTCTCACTCTCACTCCCCCTCTCTCTTTCACCCTTTTCTCTTCCCCCCGTGAAGACTCAAAGTCTCATTTCTATCTTTTGAAATTTAGTTTCTGTCCATTCTCTTTTCTGTTAACGTGTTTTTCCGCTCTCCTTTCTTCTAATTATGAATTTATTTTGTGTGCTGTTATATTTTTTATTATGTTTCATTTTTTTTTCCACTCATTTCATCTCTCCCTCTCCTTTCCTCCGTATCCATCTCTCTCTTCCCCCCCCGTGAAGGCTCACAGACTCTCTATTCTTTTGTTAACTTTTATTTCGCTCTCCCTTCTTCTAATTTTGAATTTGTTTTCTGTACTGTGCTATTTTTTAATCGTTCTCTTTTTATTTGTATTCTTTTCATCTCTCAAACTCCCTTCGTCCCCCCTCACTCTCTCCCTACCACCCACCCTCTCTCACTTGCTCATTCTTTCATAATCCTTTTACTGTATTAGATGTATAATTTTCCATCCATTTTTAGTGCCTTGATTTTTATCACATTTGGGCGTTTCTCTGTACGTCAAACGGATTTTAATACAGTAGGTCTGTCTTCGGTTGGCCAACCATTGGAGCCTATAAAAACGTCACAATCAGGGGGAAACGCACAGACCAACACTATTGACGATGGCGAATGTGAATTTCTAGCAGACCGAAATTATTAAGACATTACTTCGCGTTATCTGAGGGGTGATGAACCAGAATTTTGGTCGTTACCGATCATTTTGGTCAAGCCAGTCTTCGCTTTGTTGTTCTGTCAGATGACGAAATGCCGAAACGTGAGGATAGGCTGACTAAAGTGATTGATAATACTCAAATTACAAAATCACTACGATAGACAGACCAAACTACAATACAAACAATTTCACCAGACTTCACCAAAAACACCACAACTTGTGCATTGCCTAACTGTATTGGCATAAATATAATCATTTATACATTTTTACAATTTTGATTTTCAGGCTTAACTTATATGGAAATGGTGGCCGCCCATTTGGTCATCCAAGTCGTATTGATGCTCTTGCAGGACATTTTGATTTTGGGCACGTTCATCTGGATTTTAGGGTACCCCCAGATAGGTAGACTGTCGACGGCTCTTTCAGTCACACTGTCTTGTAACATTAACGGCATAGCCATAGGTAATTTTTATCTATTTGGAATTTTTCTAACGGTTTATAGTTCTAATAACGCAAATATTATTTTAGCATTTTTCGTTGTCGAACTGTTCAAGAACGATTTGGTCATCATGCTGACATCAATAGGTGCAATGAATTTATCTTTACTCCTCGGAGGTTAGTCTGATGATTATAATTTTTTTCTTGAAAACTTATTTAAATTGTTTTTAGGAATTTTATGGCCCCCGGTCGGTTATCCAAAGTGGCTTCAGTGGCTCTGCTATATCATACCGAATACAAGCACTTCAAACAGCTTGCAAGCCGTCGCTTTGAAAGGCTCGACACCTTCAGACCCATCGGTTTACAGGGCGTACATCGAATGCTCCTCTTGGATTGTGATATGCATTTTAGTTTGTAATTGTCAATTTAGAAAGAATAAATGATATTTTGGTTAATGCCTTTTTAAACGGTTTTGATTTGGACAGCGATTTATTAATAAACCACTTCTGGTAAAGTGATCAGTGCCGATCAGTTCAACAAAAATAAATTTTCAAAATTATAAAATAATGTTCAAAAGGTTTGAAGTTTGTGTTAAGATAGAACGTTAATTTATTTAAAATAAATTTAAAAATTAAAAAAAAATTTAAATAATTTTAAAATAAATTAGAGCCCTAATTAAAAGACGGGAAGCGGCAAGAAGGCGCTTTCGTCGAACTAAACTTCCTGAAGACCACTCTTCCTTCCGAGCCGTTCGCAATAAAACCCAATCCTATATCCGTCGGGCCAAAGCCCTTCATTACCAAGATGCACTCTCCACCACTCCTGATCCTAGAGCAAAATGGAAGCTCGTAACATTGGCATATGTCGCCCACCCAACTCACCATCTTCCTTTCCTGTCTCCCCTGAAGAATTAAATACCCAATTTGTCTCGCCTAACTCTTCTCCATCAATGCCTGTCCACATACCCGCTCCCTCTGGACCCTCATTCAGATCGTCTAGCTTCTATTTCTCCTATCTAACCCCAGCCGAAGTCCTCGAGGCCATAACCAAATCTCACTCCAATGCCATTGGAGTTGATAGCATCCCTATCCATTTTCTTAAACTCTGCCTCCCAATATTACTACCTGTTCTACTTCACATCTATAACTACTGACTTCAAAACTCTGTTTTTCCGACAGCCTGGCAAAAAGCTCTTGTCCACCCTATCAATAAAACCCCCAACCCATCCTCTCCTACAGACTACCGTCCCATCTCCATCCTCTCAAACCTGTCCAAGCCCCTAGAAAGATTAGTCCAAGCACAAGTCTCNTATTCGTCACGCTGCCTCCTTTTCCTCCTTTAAATCCCACCTGTATAATCACCTCCTCTCCCTCCAAGCAGAGACCTCACGTTAACATTTTTTTTATTTTTTTTTTTAAATTTATTTACTTTTTTTTTATATTTTTTTTTATTTATTTATTTTTTTTTTTACTTTTAACGTCATAGAAGGAACTTCCTTAGTTCATGTAAATTATTCTTAGGGGACACCAGTCCCAGAAAATAAAGTTATTTTTCTTCTTCTTCTTAAAAAAATAATAATTGCAACTAATAATAAAGATCCTTGTTTAAAAGAAACAGGTAAATGATAAATATAAACAAATGTATAGAGCACACCGAAAATTTAAACAAATATTGCTTTTAAAAACCAGTAAAATTGTTGGAAGATTATCAAAAAGAAATACGGTCATGAACTCTACAATCTGTTCGTTCAATTTTTAACAATGACGTTGGAGACGTTTTATTTCCTTCATTCCAAAGTGTCAATCTTTGACATGTGGTAATTTAGGAAATAATGTGAGAAGAACGCGAAAGATAACGAGCCGAACAATAAAAGAGTAAAAAATTACTTAGATAACTAAAACGCGAATAAGATATTTCTCACTTCTTTTCTTCCTTCCTAAATTATATCCTCTCTACCTGAATGTCGTTCTGGGCACACACAAACTAATTGACTCAATTTTAAAAAAATCTAAGGAAGGATCTTTGTTAGAGGACATCTGCTGACAAAAGCAATTAACATCATTTTAAAGTTCGAATGAATATTATATATAAAAGCATGAAGTATTTGTAGATTTGATAATCCAAAAAATTATTATTTTTTAATTAATTAATTTGTTTTAATAGTGTTTCCTCATGGATTAATAGATTAGTGGTTTGATTCGATGGTGGGCTAATAATAAGTCCTCGGTTCAATGGTAATGTATTCCAGGACAGAGTCAGAGGAAAAGGGACCTTCGCAGAAACTAACCTAGAACGTGTCAGGACTGTAATGATTGGACACTACAGAAACATGATTGTGCAGATTGCCAGAAATTAGAAGAAACTGCCTAACTTGACCTTGTTGGTGCAAAGGTCTATGCATGATGAGATTCCTACTCCTGAGGGAGGAAAAGTCCAAGCCTGAAGGATTTACACAAAAGCCTTTAACGAAGCATAAAGGATCTGATAAAAATCCTTAAGCCTAATGAAAAGCACTAGACCATAATGAAAATTGCAAAATTTATCGATATTAGTCACGGATATTAAGGTCTTATGAAGGACGAAACCTAATGACCTAAAACAAAATGACATGAAGCTATTAAATCCAAGGTTCAATGGGAATGCTTTCCAGGACAGAAGCATGCAAAAAAGTTCAAAAAAGGGAAATCACTGAAACTAACGACAGAACTATTTATTAAATCTAGCACTAGGAACTTAGGAACTAGAAAAGTAGGACTGCTAACTGGACACTACAGACTCTGGAGGCACTTGTTTAGACTCAAAGCAGGGGAAACAAGCCTGTGCAGATATTGCCAGGAAGATGAAGAAAAGCGGAACATGTCTTCTGTTGGTGTGAAGACCTATGCAGGCTGAGATTCCTACTATTTGTAAAAGAAAAACCACGGCCTGAAAGAAACACATGGAACTGTAACAAATCTTTGGGATGTGATAAAAATTAAGGAAGAGCTCTAGATATGATCTTTTGTGAATACAATTAATTTGATCTTGAGAGATGTTAAAATATTTTAGCTAATTTAGAAAAGTTGTATAAAGGGTACCATATGCCTGTATTGTATTATGTATATTGTACATAACATGTACACAATCTATATGTGCTATATACTTGCTCTCTCTCCCATTTTGCCAGTTAGTGCTGATATACCCCAAGGTAATATTCTAAGCCCTAACCTCTACTCAATATACACCCATGGTATTTCAACATTCCTCCAACAGATACAGATACATTTGCTGATGATATCCTCTCCCCTCTATTCTGATTCTGTCATCTCCTTAAAACATTCAAACCCTCACTTCCTTGCTGATAAAGTCACACTGCCTCCTTTCTACAGAAACTGGAATGGAACCCAAACACTAGCCTAAAACGACGATACTTATTACTCACTCGGCTACTTGACTCTAAACTGATAAACAAAGGATACTGTAACAAAGCCAATATGAACTTCAGTAATATAATTTTAGGGTTCCGCTCCGGACAATCCAGACAAAAAATTCAAGATCCTCTGAGAAATAGTCGATGCTCTTTTGATTGCGTACCTCATTATCCACGCCGACCTCAACATTCAGTCTATGACCTAGCAAGAATCAGATATATACCTTAACCACCCTTCCCACATGTAATCCCTTGTAACCCAACTGTTAAAAAAAGTTATGTTTATGTGTATTATTTGTTGTATATACAATCTTTATGTGCCATACACTTCTAATTGTGCTTTTTCAGTTTTTTAGAATTAATTTCAATCTTTAATAGAATGAGAACATTTTTGATCGTTGACACTCGTGGTGAAACTCCTACTCAAGCCCATTAATGCACGTTGTGCTGGTTGCACAATAACTCTCCTCTATTTTTGGTGTAGGCTGTCATTTCTTTTTTTCCTTCTCCATATTTATTAACAGACAATGGGACTATGAGACATTAAAAAAGAAGACAAAAACTACTAAACTAAATCCTTTCACATTAACAAAAGTACATATTTATCTATGTGTTTTACGGTTAAAAAAACCCTAAAGTTTTCAAGTTCTAATATCAGGGTCGTTTAAACTACAAATGAATGTTCAAAGGATTAAGGATAGTTAGGGCAGCATTATATTTTTAACAAAAGCCATTGATGTTATGAAAATCACTTCAATTGCTATTCAACTTAAGTCACTGGAACTACCACAGAATATTAAATATTTACAACAAATCATTTGATTGTTTTAATTTTTAATGTAATGTTCTCATTGTTAAAAGTCTTAATCTTATTAAACAGGGATTAATTGCAATTGATAATCTTTAAGAGAATGTGTGATGTCTCTGCTTTCTCTGAGCACTTTGGTCAAGGATCATGTGGATGTATTGGTTGGGGTGAGTAATATACTGTGCCTTTTAAGAGCTGTTGTATCGTCCCATTCTGTGCCTATTGCACACCGGTGAGTCCTATTTCATCAAGGAATTTGATTAGTAGGCCGGTTTCAATGGTTGAATTGCTTCTATGTCACATTGTATGTCCCAAAGCACTTCCTCCTAAGGGCAAGTGTAGCACCACAGTTTGTTAATAGGTGTATTGGTGTTTCCTCTGCTCTTTGCAGAATCTGCTCGTGCAGTGTTGAGTTATACCAATCTTCTTTAAATGACCTTTTAGGATTCACCGTTTTTTCCTACTTCCTTTGATACATTCTATTATAGTGTCCAATTAGTTCCATTGTTCCCTCATTTTCTTTTTATCCTTCTGTCCAAGGTACTCATTGATAGAATGGGTTCCTATGCTGACTAGAAGAGTTTGAGTCATCAAGGGTCATACAAGCAATTGTGTGAGAGTTAGCAGGGGTCAGGGTGTCCTACTGAGTGTTAGTGTCAGTGAATGGGTCGTAGCCAGCAGGAACTGTCCTAGATGTAGGCCGGATTTTCAAATTTTGCTTACTTCAGTACTAGCTAACTAATAACATTCTTGGTTATCAGTTACTAAAAGACAAATTACAATAAACAATAGTCAAATCAAATAATTTGATTTACATAAATTAAATGGTTTTTCAATTGAAAAGTAAACGTGATGGTGGATATTGGTTTTTCACTAACTTTCAACATACCTCTCACCTGTTTCAATGTTACTCAAACGTGTTTTCATTTGTGCATCTGCAATGAGGAACAGGCTGAAAAAAGTATGAATTACTTCGAAACCCGTGAATGTAGAGTCCATGTTAGTTCAAAATTGTATGTGATTCGATGAAAGGTATTATAAACATGAATATGTAGGTATAATACAGATAAAATTATTTATTTACAATAAATTAAACTGTTGCAGTATGAAAGAAAATTATTTATAAATTAAAAATAAAAAAGTTCAAAAAATTGTCATCTTCTTTTTAGTTTCTCTTAGTATTTGTTCACGCTCAACTTTATTATCAAAGGTCTGTAGTGAGGCCAGCTTGTTATGCTCAGATTCAAGTTTCCCCCGGATATGATTGTGCGGAACGGAGCCGGGCTTGTGCCGTGTCAGCGACTCGCTCAGTATATAGATCTGCTTTTGTGATTCACGTATATCCTCGGCTATTTTGAACCTTTCCACGTTCAACTCTTGGTTCGTGGACAATTGAAGGTTGTTCACTTTCGGCTTTTTAGTCTTTTGCTTAGACGGTCCAGCACCTAAAACATTTCATCTGGCAAACTGAATAAATAATAACAATAACTAAGCATACCTAAGTTCAATTTATTGTTGATTATATTGAAAACGTTATGTTTTTCCAAATTTTTTTGTCTATGATATTCTCGTTTGGATCGGCGGAGAGCTTGGGCTGCAAGTTTCCTTTGGACCCTATCTGCTGAAAACAAATCTTTTGATCCTCCAGCCTGTTCTTTTAGGTTCATAACATGATCTGAAATATATAAATTATTATTAAAAAAGTCAAACTTAAAACTTAATAAATAATTAGTTTAATTTTAATTAACCTAATGATTTCCCAGCAGGTAGGACCTGAGCTTCTACGGGGTTGAGGATCCCCTCACCATTTTTTCCTAGACCACAACCCACAATGTATCCCATTTTTTGCATTAACTTGGAGCCTATACCCTAAAAATAAAGAAATAAAAAATATAGTTCCAACCTAAAAATCAATTCATTAAATTCACTATTTTTCGTGGTCCGCTTGACCAATTAATAACATTCAATTAATTAAGGTTTTAAGTTGAGATAAAAAAGCCTATTTTTCAAATGTCGTGTAATCAGATTGGATTCTCGGCGACAAATGAAATGGCCACGGAGAGGTTTAGTAAAGTGTACTTCATTTCAATTCATTAAATTAACTATTTTTCGTGGTCCTCTTGACCAATTAAAAATGGCAAATAGGATGGAAAATTCAAAAGGTGGGGTTGAGATGAGAAGTTAGTGCCCGAGGGGATCGAAGTAACAATAGCTCAAGTGGTAGAGTAGCGGCGTATCAAGCCGAAGGTCGTGGGTTCGAATCCCGCTCGTGACACTGGCTTTTTTATTTCAACGTAAAAACCTTAATTAATTGAATGTTATTAATTGGTCAAGCGGACCACAAAAAATAGTGAATTTAATGAATTGAAATGAAGTACACTTCACTAAAGCTCTCCATGGCCATTTCATTTGTTGTCGAAAATCCAATTCGATTACACGACATTTGAAAAATGGCAAATAGGAGGGAAAATTCAAAAGACGGGGTTGACATGAGAAGTTAGTGCCCGAGGGGATCGAAGTCACGATAGCTCAAGTGGTAGAGTAGCGGCGTATCAAGCCGAAGGTTGTGGGTTCGAATCCCACTTGTGACACTGACTTTTTTATCTTAACTTAAAACCTTAATTAATTGAATGCTAAAAATCAATTCTTTCCTAACCTTTGTGTGAGCCTCCCATGCACCGAGTTTTTTAGGATTGACAGTCCTACTTAAGCTCAATTCAACCATAGCCTCTTGGTTTAATCGAAACGCTTGATTTTCTTCAATTTCATCTGCTTGATTTTCTTCGATTTCATCCAATTCACTATCCGAAGTAAGATCGCTGTCACTATCTTGAAAAAAAAAAAAAAATGATCACACATCCATCGCTTTAACATTTTAAAAATATCTTACCCTCAGAATCATTTAAAGGCAGAATGTTCGACATGTGAACTTTAACTAATTCTTTCCCAAATTTAATGTAGCAATACTCGTCGTCACACATATTTTCAATAATTGTTTGGAACCAAAGGTCTGAGTTGCCTATCTTTGCTAAAACCCTGCATTTTCGTTTCAGCTTGGTGAAATCCGGCTCCCTATGGAGATTAGAAAGTAGAAATTTGAGACATTTTACATCACCAGTACTCACTTGTATTCTCGAAGCTGGGCAAAGGATACCAAATAACCGTGGGAATACTTGCACTTCTCTTCACCATAGTTGCATTTGTTGTCGAGGAAATACGGACAAGGCACCATGTTTTTCTCAGTTGGGTTTGTAAACATAACGCGAACCTAAAGAGAAAATTTTAGAGAAACAATCATTAATCAAATAAAACCAACATATACCATAATATTTTCCAAATCGGTAACAGATTCAGTCATCTCAACATTCAATACAAGACCGTTGCCATAAGAAACAACTCCGAACTTGTTTGTGTATGGTGCTTGGCATTTTGAACCCACAAGCTCTGACAGTTCATCCTACAAAACAATCTGGTTATAATAATAACTGTACATTCTACACAAATAACAGATCAATTATATTACTTTGATACAGGGTGCCTCTTCGACTTTTGGTTTCTCTTCGATGGCGTCACCATTACAATTTCCCTCAAGACTTTCAAGTTCTGCCTAATTACCCATTAATTAATTAATTATTATGGTCAGATATTGTGTTGAAGTCTGCGAGTAAATGAACCTGAAGTTTAATTGTCTCCGATTATCCTGGTCTGCCTATTCTCACTGATTTTGTCTGGCAGTTGTGTTTTGGCATTTCACCATCCTCATTGGTGGTTCTAACTGAGAACAGGCAGAACACGATAATCAGCAACAATCAACCTGCATAATTATTTTCTGTTCTCTAAAATGTTATGAAACAGATTTCCAAAAGGACAAAATAACTATTTAAAACTATTAAATTTTAGTTTTTACTTGTTTAATATTTTCATTGTCAAAGAAAATCATAAAAATAATTCTAAATGAATAAATTATCAAGATGAAAAATCATGAAATATTGTAAACTGTTTAGTTTATATTCTGATTGTGATTACATTACATCATTAAAATAATGAGTGAAATTACCTTGAAGAGGGCATATTCATCATTGAGTGGATCATCCTTCTTATTTTCAAGAGTGTCAAGGCTGTCTTGTGTTAATCGAAGAAGCTCTTCGATGTCATTCTTCAGGCTGGTGAGTTTGGAGATATCTTCTTCAGATTCAGTAGATGTGAGGGCTTGCTTTATCTGGTCCAACTGTTTTAACATAAAAAATAGATACATATTCACTGGATGAGCCTAAGTTGAAAATGGAAAGTCTGAAATATATTAATAAAATAATGTATTTAATGAACTTATAGAATGGTGACAATTTGTAAGGTGAAAAATGAAATGTATTTTTTCTTTTCAAATCTGACTTCCAAATTGGTAATTTTTTATTTTTTTACGAGGGTTCGCAACAGCAGAGGTCATATGCTACCTACCCTCAGGGTGCTGGTGTTTTTGAAAAAAATTCCATTTGTAAGTATGTCGTGTTCGATTGCAGGGCCGCTGGATTCGAACCTGGGACCTTTACCTTACAGTGATGAACACCCAATTCCTAAACCATTGGGACCACTGACCCCCCCCCCAATTGGTAATTCTAATCCAGTGTATGGATTTTTATTAGAAAATATCTTTTCACATACAGTGTCTCCCAAACGTTTTCATAAATTTTGTTTTTATAGCAAAATTGAGGTTTTTCTTAACTTATTATGGCTATTTTGCCTAATTTTTTAGGATAGTTAGTTACAAGAAAAATTAAGAAACAATGTTTTCACATAAAAATCATTAAAACATTTTATTGAATTTTTTTGAAAAAAATTGGTAAGAAAAAAGTTTTAGTAAATTATCAGTTTCAAAACAGTAACAACAAAATATATGCGTATATATCGTTAATACAGGCATTTTTAACATTTTATTGAACCTTCTCTGGAATAACACAACTGATGCTTTCGGAAATCAAACGATCTAATTTTGACCCTTGTCATCCTGTCTGAGCCATAATATTAAAGGTACTCTCATCTGAATATTGAACTTCATCCTAGAAGCAATTGTTCTTATATCTATGTGCTTTTGGAAAAGTATTGCTTACTTTTATGAGTTTTCCCTCTGTAGGGATTCAAGCAGAATTTGTGGATTTTTTCCAATCGTCGTCTTCCTCATGTTCTGCCTCCCATGTTTGTACTGGTCGCCCCTTTTCCTTTTTGAAAAGATCCACTCCCTTACTTTATCTAGCTATCTAGCTGGGTTTTATATGCCCATAGAATCTTAATTTTTTCCTAATGAACCTTTCTCCAACAGTTTCAACTATTTCCATTTCTTTCCTCACTTTTCGGGTTCATCCTTATCATTTTAATGCACCACCTCATGAAAATATTTTGCTAGATGGTTCCAGTTTCTGCTGAATAAGTGAGAATACCTTTTATAGTCGAGTGGAAGATTCTACTTTTGTTTTACTTTTATTAAGTCTATTATTAAAAAAAGAAAGAACGAAGCATCGTAGTTTTTCTATTCTGCTCACTTCTGCTTTGCACATAAGTATATAAAACTTGGAAGACTTGGCCATTTATAAACTATATTATCATTCTCACCTCCACCAATGGTGATATATTTGGTTTTATATATTAACTGATATATAATGTTCAAGCCTTTATGGAAAAGTCTAGGCAAACTGATTTATTAAGGAAGTGCTTTCAACAATCTTGGGGTTGTCTTCACAAGTCATCGTACAATCAAAGAAAGGCCTTAATAGTAAAGGCAAACATTTGTCTGTTTGTATGAGCATCAAGGCAGTACATAGTGAAGCGGTATCAAATTTATCCTATAACGCTTTCTCGTCTTACTTACAATAATTTTCTTCCATGTTGCAGTCTACCAGCATGTCAGATAACAGAACAACTTCAAGAACTTCATACATACAGTGGAATAGTCAACAAGTCCGGGATCGCTGCACCAACCATCTCTACAAAAGGTAGTCAAATTGGTCATCTAATCCGCCACATGTGCCTCATTTCAGCAGACTTTGGGGGCCAATATAAAACCGTTTAAAAATAATTTGACGAGTTTTATATGAACATCTACTTATATTTGAGTTAATGAGCACTGTAACATCCCGAATAGAAACCCTTGTCAACTCTGCGACCTGGCTCTTTTGAGCTCTTATAGAGTATAAATTCTGCCTAGCAGTGGTCCATCTCAGGCCCCCAGCGGAACTTCGTCATGCAAAATAATTAGCGTGTCCAGGATGGTTCACGGGGCGGCATCCGGGGCGAGATAAACAGGCTTGTAATACAACTGCTTGAAACATTGAATACACACTATGTAACAGTTGAGTTGTAACTACTTGTTCTTCAATTGGAACATATTGCCCTTGTTTCAAAAATTTTGTTCTTTAACTTCCCTTTTTTTTGCAATCCGCAGGTCCAGATAATTCAACATTTTTACACCAGGACATCTTCTAATGCACTCCCCTATGCTCCAAGCTGGAATGAGATGTTAAAGAGATTCCCCGTATGAGGCTGTCCTGGGAAATTTTAACAGCAATGTACGTAGCGCCTCTGGAAGAAAGAGAAGGGATTATCTGCATAATCTACAACAAAGTGAAAATGGACTATCGCCAAGACCAAGATAGAAGAAGGAATGCTGGTCCTCCTACGATGATCACGCACCACTGCTACATTGGCCGCAAATAAAAAAAATTATGAATTCTTTTGGAAGGCACTACTTACTCGAAAACCTAAGTCTATCAGCTATAGATATTTCCAGCAAAGTTATACAGTTTCATAGGGCATGCTGGTTTGGCACCATTCCCATTTGATTTACTTGCAATTTTTCCATGTATATACAATGTTAACCCACTGGCTGTAGTTTGCTGAACCCTGCTCTATATTAGAATGACATCCTAAATAATAGATAATGATCCGTGATAAACACTGAACTGCATACTAAAGATATTCAAATGTAGGTCTAATTAATCCTGTTAACTTTTAAGGATTGTCGTTGGACTGCAACCATACTTCATGTGCCATACTACAGTACTGTGTGCATCTTTATTAAAACTGACACATACAGCACAGGATATAAGCATAATATTAACTATAGTGTAATTGCTAAAAGTTTAATAAATAAAAAAAATTATTTTAAGTATCATGTCATTTTGTGCAAATACATTTTTCTAGCAACCTTGTACCTATTTCCTAGGACTTTTCATATTCAATTCAGATAAAACATGAACAAATATATATAATTGAACCGGCGAATGAGCTAGAGACCTACCTGGGCTTTGTAGAGCTCGATGGACTCCTTAAGGGATTCCGCGCTCTCCATTTCACCCCGTTCAGTTCATACTGCAATGGTAAAACAGTTCCGTTGAAGAAAAACGGATGAGTTATTGTATAAAATGTACATAACAGATTGTAACCTGACAACGACAAGTGACAACAGATCGTAACTTTAAACCTGCAGACTTTGTCAGTAACCTGAAATCTCACCAACAGAATTCGCCTGAAGCATGCCCCTACAGTGGAGCAGTATACATGACATCTATGTACCTGACAACAGACTGTTTTTATCTTTTTTGTTGAAATTTTTACTTATTTTACTATTGACCTTTTTTGCTTGAATATAACAGAATCATTCTGTATTTCAGCCAATAGGGGGGAGCCCAGAGGCAAAATAAACCATACGAACAACTTTGAACTGCAACAAGATATACATAAAATAAAATTAAGCATGATAATTTGTTATCAAAAGTAATAAAAAACATAACATGATTCACTTAATTAAATAACAACTCAATCATATAAATCAGACATGACAAAATCAGTCATGCATATATAGGGATTACAGTGTATAATATGAATTATAAAATTTATTTATTTAACATTTATTTAACTGCACATGTGTACAATGAACAATATAAAGATTATCATTATAATGTATTAATTATAATTTAGAAATAATTAAAAGAAAAAATGAAAGCTTTTGTAAATTTGCATTAAAATATGTAATTAATGATTATTATGATGCGGTCTGTATGTAATTAATATTAATAGTATGATACCTAAAATGATTTAAAACAAAAAGAAAAAAAACTTAAATATACTTATCCACCTCATCTGACTACAAAGGAGAATAAGAATTCAAGAAGATATCAGATACAATGATATGGTATACAGCAGATGGCTCCATGGCAAATGAAGGAACTGGATCAGATATTTATTGTACAAGCCCAAAACATGACTAATCAAACTCATTAGGGACGTTCACCTTGGTCTTTCAAGCCAAAATACATGCCATCGATGCTTGTGCTACAAAAAATCTTAAAAGAGGTTACACTGGCAAAACATTTCTCATAAGACTGGATATCCAAGCAGGTATTAAAGCAATAATGACATCATTTGTTATGCAAGGAAGAGGAAGATACAGCACTCATGTTATCTTCGAATGCGAAGCAATTGCTCAATGGAGTCATAACCTGGGATACAAAGAAAGAAAATGAACGGAGTAGGATTGAGTCAACTGAAGTCGTTCTGAAATAAGGAACTAGGAAAGTACAATATGCCAGAAGGCTGAAGCAGTGGGGAACAAAAACCTTCACTTCCTAGTATCCATCCATCATCATTATCATCATCAAATATATACATGTTTCAGAAGAATTTAATATATCCTTTCTTTCACTTTGTTTTTCTGGAAGATACTTAATAATAATATTTATTCTCCAAAAATATTATCTACCAATGTACTGCAGTGCTAATTCCAGTAAGTTGTTCCATGTTCTCCAACGAACTGTGGTGCAGAATCTTGTATCATATGGTACCGTAATCAATAAGACGAGAGCGTGGAAACTTCTTCTGATTCTTTGCCAGTTTTTAAAAAGAAGATTTTGTTAGGTTTAAAAAAATATTTTTTTATTTTTATTTTTTATTGTTTGCCTCAGACTTATTCAGGGTTCATAAAATTCACCTTGTTATCCTTGTTAAATTTTAAATGCTTTTAAGTTTTTTTACATATATATAAAATAATGCAATGTTGATTGGTCAGCGTTGGGACTTTTGAACAATCTGTTTGAACTGTGAATTTGTACAAATAAATACGAATGGGTCGAAAGGGAGCCCAAAGAGGTGAACTTCTAATATTGTCTTACAGTTGAAATAAATACAAATTGAAGTGAATGTACACAAATTTTATGGAATGGATCATGGAAATGTTTTGAGGGAGGGACAAATAATTCTACTATAAAGGTAACAAGATTGGCTAGATTTTTTCAAATTAAAACAGAATTTTTGCTTTATTTGTAAAATAACGTGTACTCTAGTCGTTTTCCAAGATTTTTCTTTCTGTATAAGAGAAGGACAAATGTTTTTCAGGTGCAAAGTTAATTACTTTAATTTTTTTTAAAGATAACAGAATTTTGGTTTTATTTCTAAAAGAAAGCGTTGTCTAAAATTCTCCAGGATTTTTTCTTTCTTTTTACGCGGAGGACAAATAATTCTCCTAAAAAAATTGCATTGATTTTTTTCTTGAAAGGTTAACAAAATTGTTGTTTTATTTGTAAAAGATAGTGACTTCTAAACGTCCTCCAGGGTTTTTAAATTTCTTTTTAAGAGAAGGACAAATATGTTTTTCAGGTGCAAAGTTAATTACTTTAATTTTTTTTAAAGATAACAGAATTTTGGTTTTATTTCTAAAAGAAAGCGTTGTCTAAAATTCTCCAGGATTTTTTCTTTCTTTTTACGCGGAGGACAAATAATTCTCCTAAAAAAATTGCATTGATTTTTTTCTTGAAAGGTTAACAAAATTTTNCAAGGGTTTTTCTTTCTTTTTAAGAGAGGGACAAAACAAATTGTATATAAATGTAAATTTAAAAAAAACCTTTAATGTTTTAATAAATGAAAACAGGTTTTTTGTACTGTTTGTAAAAGAAAATGACTGATAAATTTTCTTCGTTGTTTTTCTTTTTGCATATAAGGGTACAACAGAAGTCCCTAGAATGTAAAAACATTTCGAATTTTCCCCTCATCTTAAATGGTGATGTCCTTCGTTTTTGCAACATTTGGTAACGTTTAAATTCATCTGCTGAAAATTGCAATTTGATGTGAAATTGTCTTCAATTACAAGACGACAAATCTGCTCGAATTTACGTACAAGATTAGTAAAAATGGTCAAAATATTCCGAAATAATTTTAATAAAAAAAATTGATAAAACCTTTTATTATTATAAAATTATGCATGCAGGATATTAAGATAATACATTTTATTCCGCTTCCCCTACCCCGGTAAGGTTTATTCGTGGGAAGTGAATAACTGAAGGCCGATTTGCAGAAGTACCTGCCGTCGGGTGACATCTCTCATAGTTGTTTGGTTGTCGGTCGCTGGTACCCAGCCGGATACAGTTAATTAAGGTATGTTTTGAAGAAAAAAAAAACAACAAAACATTATTGCCCATTAAAAAATTAAATAAGGGGGGGAAAATGTAAAATTTTAACCTAACATTATTCATAAATTTAATTTAAGAGCAGAGTAACTGTAGAAACTGTAGCTTAATATGAAAGAAAAATGAAGTTAAAGGGATCCGCACTACATATAATATTTTTAAATTTGATAAAATTATTTGACATTTGATTCTTTCACTCTCATAAAATCCACACTGTTTGGTATTTTATTTGGTAAGAAAGATCCGTCGAAACGTTCACAGCTGGTCTGATCCTTGGCCAAGAAGTTTCTCGTTATTATTGAATGAACGGAAAAATTAATAACAAAATATGTTTTTTAATGCTGGACTGTTGTAGTGGCTGTAAAACAGACAGGTCAAGCAGTAATAATTAAAAAATTGAACGTTTTACGTATCCGGGGGGGGGCACAAATTTTTCAAAATCTAATGAGACATTTAAAATAGAACGATTTTATAGACTTATCAGCTGAGTCAATTGAAGCTAATAATCACGAATTCCGCGTTGATAAATCACGGGTTCTGCGTCAGGCATACAAGAAGTGCAAAAAAACTTTTTTCTAATCCTTTCTACATAAATGAGACCATGGAAACAGCTATAAACTCGAATTTAGACTGTTTCTGTTTAAAATGTATTTGAAATTTAAACATGGATACGGGGTTGAATGTTTAACAAATTAAATCAATAAATTAAATTAGTTTGTAGATAATTAGAAGATCCATGTTAATATTAAGTTGTAACAAAAGTCTTGGCCTGAGGTGATGGACCATTGACCTCGCTTGTTCTATGAGTTTCTCTGTGTATTTCCCGTTTTATAGTTTATATCAATTGGCGAATTGAACTATGCCAAAAACTGATAATTAGGCATACTGAATGACTACACCAAAAATAGTCAGATCTGAGACGATCTAATAATTTATCCAAGATTAAGGTTTATCCAATAATAATTATAATTTCCTTTTGACTCAAGACTGCAGTTATAATGGTATTATTTAAGTCCAATCACGGTGAATAATTATTCGGAGATCGTGAGATGCGGCCTGGTGTGACGTAGTTTTAGAAAAACATTTTCTTTATCGTGCCAACGTTTCGATCTTTATTGAGATCATCCTCAGGGCTCAAAGTGTTGAGAGCTCTCATCTACACTGAAAACAAACACTTTGAGCCCTGAAGATGATTTCAATAAAGATCGAAACGTTGGCACGATAAAGAAAATGTTTTTCTGAACCTATGTCACACCAGACCGCATATCTCGATCTCCGAATAATCATTGACTAACGGTCACTAAACACCACACATTTCTACAGTGAATAATATTTATGAAGTGCAAACATTGAGTTTTATCAATTTAAGCTCCGAGAGGGTAAAGTTTCAAATTTGGTACAAGTGTTGCTTATCTTGACCGATCTTTGAATCGAAAGTATCAATTACCCGTTTTTTTAGCCACGAAACCTGATTAAAATCATGATGATAATTGAAAAACTCTTCCAATGAGTGTTCTTCAGTTTACTGTGGTCAAAATATAAAATTACGTTTGCACTCTGCTTACAACTTTATTTGGATAACCTAAGATATTCTTATATATACAGCCATTTCAAATAACATTGATCATCTTCATCATATGCAACACAGTAAACCAATAAAAAATATGATCGTTTTATATATGCATTTATTAGAAAACAGCTCTTTTCAACCAGCCAGAGGAGAAAAAGGAGCCAAGGGCCAAAATAAATGCTGGATGAAAGATAATTCCAATAATTTTGTAACGTCTGACGCTTCATTCGACTATACTTGACAATGTTTACTTGAATGAAAGGATAATTAATACTTAATTTTACCTCCTTAAAATAAAAATACAATATAATAACATAATGGCACGAATCCTTGATAGTATTCAGTCTATTTGTAAGAGTAACTTGTGATCTTGAAAATGATATACGAATTTAGAATAGTGAAAAATTGACATTGATTATGACACAAAGAAGGAAGAAGGAGAAAAAACACACATACAGACATAAACACACAACACGGGACAAGGGACGACGGATTCTGTTAGTTAGCTGCAGAGAGAATGGTGTACGAAATATTGTGTTCCTTTTTTTAGAATATAAATGTGTACAGTTTTGAGTAATTTTTTACTTTACATAATTCACTTTTAGAAATGACGATTTCTTACATAATTCTAAAAGTAATTTCATACCAATTACCATTCGTCTTATCTCGCCTTGCAAAGTTGGGTCATAGTTTAAGTGCTTTTTTGTTGTCGGGCGTTTGAAATTGTATTAAACTATTTTTAAAACTTCACCAATGTTTGTTTTAACACTGCAAACTACTTTCAATATCTTAACGGCATTAAAATCGATGAATAGAACCAAGTGGTAAATCATTCATCCATTTTTAACACATAAACCATTTTCGTGTGAAAGCGGAATATTTAAGAGGTGAAATCATCGTGGTATTGATACTTTGTTGTTCATTTCCTGAGGGAAGAGAAACACAATCATGAACAGCCAGATCGGGAGTTTTATTTATTATCATTCTTAATCATTACTTTATTCATTTATTCTTTTACGTTCTTATTTGTGTATGACGTAATTTATATTTTAGCTGTAAGATTAAATGCAATCTAGAAGAGATAAATAGGAACGATAGATAGATGGTTTTATATATATATANGGAGAGAGAGAGAGAGAGAGAGAGAGAGAGAAACAGAGAGAGATGCGAGTCAAAACTCACGTGAACGAAAAATTCTGAATAGAAAGAACAGTAAACATTACACAAATTAAAAGAAGTAAAACCTCAAGATGGAGAAGGAATTAAATTAGATAGAACTATTTTTTCTCTCTAAAGTACAGGGAACAATTTAAAAGTATGCGTCTTTGCTCAAAAACCTGTATTCAAACTCAAACTTCAATATTTAGTAGAAGATATTTTTCATCTCTAATTTTTGTGTGACAACAAAATTCTTAAAACAATTGGCTAAACCAAGATTTACTTGATTATGAACCAACAACTTATCTATTTTTTCGGCTTTTTATAATTTAATTTAATTGTAATAGTTTTACTGTAAGTGAATATTATCGCATTTATTAATTTATTAGTATTATTTGCACATATTATATGCACATTCTGTAAAGTATTGTGTTTGTAATAATACGTTCGTTTTTATACCGCATGAGCTATTCGATTAAATTATATATATATATATGTGTGTGTGTGTGTGTGTGTGTGTGTGTGTGTGTGTGTGTGGGGGGGGTGTGTGTGTGGGTATGTGTGTGTGTATGTGTGTGTAATATTATTCGTGCACAATAGGTAATATTTCTTTGTTCTTTAGTATAATTTCTTATTCTTCAATTCATAACAGATGGAATCACTTACTTATGGTTCAAATGAATACATGACAAATGATAGTGCATTTTTGGTGGAACTCTTGATTGTAATTCATGATTTACATATTAAATGTTTTTTTTTCTTCACGTTTATATTTTTTATTTATCTGTCATATTCGATTGGTTTAATAATTCATTTCTGTCGTCAGGTTCGTTCCCGATTTGGAGCCATGGCCGGACCCATGATCAAAGTCGAGAACGCCAGGAAGTTTTTCGTCGGCCAAGGTTTCATCCTCAATGGTTTATGCATGTCGGTGGAGAAAAACACAATGTAAGACTAGGCCAATTAAATTAATACCATATAATTGGTGGCTAAGAGGTGAGGACAGAACGTCCCTGTTATGCAACAGTTAGCAGTAGACGAATGCAATTGGTTGTGAAATTATTTTGTACGCGCGTACTTTTATATGCACCAAGAGGAAAACCATACAGTCATACGTCGGTTTTCTTAAACTTTGTTCGTCTACCAGGCGTGCGAACTCGAAAAATTCGAATATGACTTGGCGAGATCCAATGCCAAGGGCGTGATGATGTGCAAGCTGGATTACAAATTACTTTTTGGACGTCACGTAGAAGTAGTTACCTATGAGGAACAATCGGACACGAATGTCAATCATCACCTACGAGACCTAAATGCTGAACTAGTCAGTACGTCAAATGAATGTTATTTAACCAAGGGTTTTATTTTATGCTGTTTTAAAAGCTAGATTATGCTTATAATTGTGTATTGGATTTGAAATGTTACAAAATAGCAAATAATAAGTACTAAAATATATTTTTATGATAATTACGATGATCAAAATGTGCTATAGGCAGGTTTCTTGTGGTCGATTGCCTTTTATATCTTAAATAATGTGATTATTCAAATAAAACCTTGTTAAATGGATTGAGAATTAGAATCAGAAAACAGGGTGGATCATTTTAAATATTTACTTCAGGTTTCTTGGTAGGACGTTGCAGGCACAATGGTCTGCTATGGCCAATAGTGAAATGGCATCCTGTAGTTTCTGTAGAAGCTGAAACCACCCAAGAAAGAAGTGGCTTTGAGTGTGCCAACGGACTTCTAAGATACAATGAAGTGAATTCGTAGTAAATTAGGAGAGATGAAAATAAATGAGATGACTATAACGGTATCCGGCAAAATGAGAGAAAAACTCAATTCTGAAAGACCCTTCCAAGAGGTCAGAGATCTTTGGAAGAAATGCACTCCTAAGTTGTTAATTTTTTTATTAAAGTTTTAAATTACGGAATTAAGTATTGAAGAAATATTCAAAAATGGGTAAAAGGGCCGAATTATCCCCTAGCAAAACCCCTTGGACTAAACCCAACAATCTGAGGTTCCTGGAATTCAAATTTTGCCCAGATTTACATACTTTCGGACAGTCGTGGCAGCTAAATACGTATGCTTTTAGCTCCAAAGTAGTCTGGGCATAACTAAGTTGCTTAATGGTTCTAGGAAAACACAAAAAGGTTACAATAAGGTGGGTTCCGTGACATGAAGGTACAAAAGGGACCGGAACCACAACCAAACGCACCAGAGCGTTGGATAAAGCTGGAAAAATGGCTGGGGAAATAAAATCTCAAGCACAATCAATCAATCTCTCAAAAAGGACTATAAAGCAATTCTTTCTCTCTCAGAAGGAAAGATTTGAAGAAAATTATAGGCTTCTATTCCAGCCACTGCCCTCTTAACTACCAATTAAAGTTGTATCACTAGATATTCTACTTTAAAAATGATTTTATTTTATTTTGCAGTTATGGTTTACTTGGGCCGTCCGGCTGCGGCAAGACGATTCTGTTGAGTTGTATACTCGGGCGGCGGTCATTTGACTCTGGAAAAATCACCCTCGGAGTCACAGACAGGAAAGAAGTCGGATACATGCCACAAGTATTCTTTTTACATCAAAAAACCCATTTGAACAATACAAAATCAAAATGTTTTCAGGAGGTCGCTCTATTCGCGGAATTCAGCATTGAAGAGATCTTCAACTTTTACGGAAGGCTTTTCGGATTATCGCGCGCCTCGGTGCGATGCAGAATCGGAGAACTGCAGGAGGTGCTGCACCTGCCTCCCTGGAACTGTCGCATAGGGAGCCTCAGGTGAGTTTTTACCCTAGAGGATTCGATAGATTTTTTAATTGTTTTTTTAACAGTGGTGGAGAACAAAGAAGAGTGTCTTTTGCAGTTGCCCTCATCCACAACCCAACACTTCTAATATTGGACGAGCCCACAGTTGGCGTAGATACCGAACTTAGTCACAAGTAAGAGTCATTTAATTATTAGAGTCTATAAAATTTAAAAAATATATTTTGAATTGCAGTATTTGGCAGTACTTGCTAAAACTAGCGAGCACGGGTAAAACTATAATTATAACTACACATTACGTAGAAGAGGCGAAACAAGCTCATAAGGTTAGTTACTTAATGAAAACAATTAATACATTGAAAATAGAACAACAAAAAGTCTAAATTTACAAAATTGGCAAATAGTTTATGAAAGCAGTTCGAATTATTTGTTCAAAAAATGGAAGAAATAATTTCAGATCGGTTTAATGAGAGGTGGTGAGCTTTTGTGCGAAGGGACTCCGCAGAACGTCATGGCCAGTCAGAACGCGTCGACTCTGGAGGAGGCTTTTTTCGAACTTAGCAAAAAACAGAAACTACTGCCTGCTGAGAGCATAAACTTTCAAAAAGAGGTCTGTCATTCTGTTCAATAGATCAGTAAAAAATTTACAAAATCCTTTCAATTTAAGCGAGAAGTTGGACAAATGCCACTCCAAAAAGGTGAATTGTTTAATTGGGACAGGTTCACGGCTCAGCTCATCAAGAACGTCTGTTGGATGAAAAGAAACACATTGTGAGCGTTTGTATCATTTTAAATTTCCATAAAATCATGAAATTTGTTCTTTTCAGAATAATGTTCTTCTTACTTTTACTTCCTGCGATGCAGTCTTTCTTTTATTGTATTTCTTTCGGGCAAAACCCGAAGACCTTGAACGTAATTCTAGTCTCAGACGAATTGAAAGGAGGTTGCGGGTCGACAGTTCTAACTTTCAATTGTTCGTCTTCCTTCACATGCCCGTTTGTCTGGGAGTTAGAACGGTTTATGAAAATTGTAAGTTGCGCTTTGTACCTAAATTGAGCAATGATTGATTGAACTTGGTCTCAAAGGAAATCTCTCCGGACCTGGACAGAGCGACGCACAGCGTCCAGCAGAACGAGGCTTGGGCAGTCATCGACGTCCCGACTAATTTTTCTACCTCCCTCTACGACAGAATCTTCGAAGGGCAGAATGTGGATAACATGACTCTCGATCAGAGCACCATTTATGTAACTATGGACATGTCAAGTAAGTTTACCAATTACCAAATCAGTGCTTTTAAGCTGAGCCATAAACTAAAAATTTATTTTCAGATTACATCATAGCAAATCTTTTGAGGAAGAAAATAGGCGACGCTTATGTCAACTTCAAGAAGAAATTGATGGATTCTTGCTCATTACCAAGAAAAGTCGCTTTAACCCCAGTCAAGGTAGAGCACATATTTCTCATTGATCTAGTTTGAAATAAATGTTCTAAACCACCACTTCCCACTTTATCTCAACCAATACCTTAAAGATTAATTAATTGAAAAGAATTTATTTGGACAATCGGACCACGGAAGCTAATCGATTTAGTAAGCAAAATGAAGTATACTTCACTAAACCTTTCCGTGGCCATTTCATTTGTCGCCGAGAATCAAATAGATTACACGACATTTGAAAAATGGCAAAAAAGAGGAAAAATTCAAAAGTGTGGTTGAGATGGGAAGTTGGCGTCCGAGTGAATCGAAGTCAAGATGACTGAAGTGGTAGAGCAGCGGGGTATTTAGCCGAATGTCGTGGGTTCAAATCCCGCTTGTGACACTGACTTTTTTATTTCAACCAATACCTTACTTAAAATTAATTAATTGAAAAAATATTTAAGAATTTGAAGGACAGGCATGATGGATTACCTCTCAAACTAAACTCTAGCCTCAAAACTAAATATTCAAATCTAACCATACAGCCACAAAAACTAACTAAACAGGTTAGGTGCGCAAAACGAAATCACACTTTACTGGTTCCTAGAACTCGAAGAAGTAGAGAAGAAAGAAGAAGCGAAACCTTTGAGGAAAGAGACTGCTATACCTTCTGAACCATTTTGTGGTATATGATCCAGCACTCCTACGAGCATCTTAGTAAAGAAGACATGGTGAAAGTGAAGAAACAATGGCAATCACTGAACACAAACATTCCAAAAACCCCCTGGCGGGATGTGAAAAGAAAGAAAGTACAGTGTATCAAAGGAAGCAGGAAGAGACTCCGAATCCTAATGTAATGCATAAATAAGCTCTTGAGAAAGATTGCCTTATATCAACACGATACCTATGTGCAGATACTGCGAAGAGGGAAGATAGTCCTCAACCCACCTATTTACCTAAGACCGGCCCTGATAATCAAGTTCCTTGACGAATTGGGACCAATGTGCTAAAAGTAAAGAACTGACGATACAGTAGCTTTCAAAGAACGCAATTTGTCAATTCCCCTTAAGTCCTTTGGGACATCCATCCCTAACCATACCCCTAACCATCCTTTGGGACATACAAAGTAACCGAAGAAGAAATACAACCTCTAAAGCCAGCCCAAATAACAAAGTTCCTTGATGAATTGGGACCACTGTGCGAAAGTAAAGAACTGGCAATACAGTAGCTTTCAAAGAACGCAATATGTCAATTCCCCCTAAGTTCTTTGGGACATACCATTCCTAACCATACACCTAACCATCCCTAACCATTCAAGTAACCGAAGAAATAGCTCTAAGACCGGCCCTGATAATCAAGTTCCTTGATGAATTTGGACCAGAGCGCTAAAAGTAAAGAACTGACGATACAGAAGCTTTCAAAGGGCGCAATATGCCTATTCCCCTAGAGTCCTTTGGGACATACAAGTAACCGAAGAAGAAATAGATCTAAGACCAGCCCTGATAATCAAGTTCCTTGACGAATTGGGACCAATGTGCTAAAAGTAAAGAACTGACGATACAGTAGCTTTCAAAGAACGCAATTTGTCAATTCCCCTTAAGTCCTTTGGGACATCCATCCCTAACCATACCCCTAACCATCCATTGGGACATACAAAGTAACCGAAGAAGAAATACATCCTCTAAAGCCAGCCCAAATAACAAAGTTCCTTGACGAATTGGGACCACTGTGCTAAAGTAAAGAACTGGCAATACAGTAGGTTTCAAAGGGCAAAATATGCCAATTCCCCTTAAGTTCTTTGGGACATCCATCCCTAACCATACCTCTAACCATCCCTAACCATACAAGTAACCGAAGAAATCGCTATAAACCCGACCCTGATAATCAAGTATCTTGACGGATTGGGACCAGTGTGCTAAAAGTAAAGAACTGGCGATATGCTTGCACCTTTCAAAGGGCGCAATATGCCAATTCATTAATCTGCATCTAAAGAATTTTAATTGAGAATACTATGAAAAAAATGGCTTGACATTCCACGACATCCAAATAGTAGTTAAACCCTCCTCTATGGTAGGAATTGCTTTACTTTTTAGTGATGTATGATTTTCAATGTTAATGTTTAGACACGAGACCTCGAAACAAACCTCAACCACCCCCAATCAGTAAAATACTAACAGCCATAAGAACAAAAAATTTAAATGTTTATAAACTAACTTTTAAGACAAACCTTAGTTATAATGAATGCCTGTATTGTCCCGCCTCTTTGCCTTCACAAACCAAAATGACATTCACATTATTCATCTTTACTTACACATTTAAAACCGAAAAGGAACAAATAAGAAAGGATTACATTTTTTCTAGTTTATGGAGCCGATTTTTGGAGATTCTGACCCTGTATTTGCTCACAGCGGTCTTCCTGGATTCTTTTGCTCGTATGTCATAAGCAAATTACATTTAAATTTTGCATAAACTTTAAATGTCGTTTTTTATTTTATAGGTTTTGTTTTTATTTTACAATGATCTTCACCTCGGGAGCGATAATGATGGAGAAACTTGTCGGCTTGTTGGACCGCAGCATGGTCGCCGGTGAGAATATTGTTTTTAATTGATGTAAGCAATTTGATTCAAGTTTTGTTTTAGGTATGACCTACCTGGAAGTGATATCTGCTCACCTTGCTGTCCAGTTCGTTCTAATGTGCGCGCAGAAGTTTGTCATGATAACCGTTTTCTACATTTGGTACGACAACCCTCTTGTAGGGAGTTTAACGCTCATTGTCTCTTTACTTTTCTGCATCGAAATGGTCGGCATTGCGTATGGTAAAAGAATATATTGATTTATGTGTTTGATGATTCGAACTCAGATGTTTTTAATTCAAGGTTTCTTGTTGACGGAGGTTTTCTCTTGTGACCGTCTCGTCTCCTACGCTGGCATCGGTGCCACCTTGGCCGTTTTCAGCCTCGGAGGTTGTAATATCGTCAATTTTCAAATTTATTGAGTTTATGATTTATACAAATCTTTTTCAGGAATCATTTGGCCGATAGAAGGCGCCCATCCAATAATAAGATCGTGGGTCTGGCTCTTCCCGGTCTCTCCTGCGGTTGTGAGCTACAAAGACATCTCGTCGAAAGGATACGACCTGTCGTATCACACTGTCTACCAGGGTTTCATATCCTGCATTGCTTGGACTGCCATTTTTGCCAGCACGACGTTGATTATAGCTAAATACAAAAAGGCGAGAAAAATAATTTAAAAAATGGATTTATTTGTTAATAAACAGTGTGATTTTTATTGATTTTCCTTCTCTGAACATTTCTTCGACAACATAATCTGATACAAATAATGTTTCATGTTCAATTACAATTGCGACGTAAGTTTACAATATTGAATTGAATATTTGATTGAATTAAATTGAATATTTACATCACACCTTAGCGTTTACCTCCTTTAGTACTGCACTTAAAAGCAGGATATGATGCTATTGACAAATTTTATGTTGACGGTTTATGTAACAAATCCCGTTTGATTGTAAGAAAAAATGAAAGGACGATACTACACTACAAAATATTAACTAGAAATAAAAAGGGAGATATTGTGCACATCCCTCGAATAAACAGGATGTATCAACTTTTACAGTCCACCCATTTAATTCGGAAACGATTAACTTTAGCAAAAAATGGTCTTATACAAACCCCAAGTTATTGTTGACTAGGTTAATACCTGGGACTATATCTCGACAGCAGACTGGAATCACCACACAAGACTTTAAAAACAACAACATAATCCAAGACTTGGTCGAAGACTTCAAAGACCGAAATCGACTTTGAAAATTAAGACAAAGCTAACACTGTGTAAGACTTTACTAAGACCAATATGGACAATATGTGGGGTACTGCGAAGCCTTTCCTATCCAGCGCATCCACTCCATCCAATCGAAAGTCTTTAGACAAATTGTCAAAGCACCTTATTATGTCACGAACCTCAATATCCACGAAGGCTTCCACATTACTTTTGTCAACGAGCTGATCCGGTCCAGATTCCAAACCTTCCATACCAAGCTTTCGAACCATCCTAATCATCCTGATCGAACCCTCTCCACTCATTCCCATCCTGATAACCCGCCACGTCGCCTCAACCGTTGGTGGTTTCGGGACCTTGTCACCTAATCATACACATTGAGTGCTCCTCAAAGCATGTGTTCTACCGGTGCAATGCTGGCATTAGGGCTAGTGTTGTGTTGTGTGATACATTAATCATGTGTACATATTTGTATAGTATACGATCATGTACAGGTAACAAATAAATTTGAAAAAAATTGACTAGGAATCGCGTGGTGAAACAGATTTAACATAGCTTTCACATCCAGCTGGGAAATGACACTGACTTTGTTACTTCAAATAAGAATCTCACATTTTTATTGTACAATTCGTTTCTAGAGCTTATTTTATGCCACTTTTACTGGCAGGAAAATTTTGATAGAATCGATCATTTCTGAGTTATGCTCGAGTAGTGTACAAGTTATTTTTTCTAGCGGGCCTGTCATAAATCGAGGAGCGCGAAGGTTTTTGAGCTTATATGATAATATAAAACTAGCGGGGGCTCCTCTCGCTGCCCCACGGCTTGCTAGTTTTTTCTCGAGTCAATGAAAAAAAAAAGGAGCGGCGAAGCTCCCAGAACCACATAAAAATGAGACTTTAACACATGACCTATATTTGTTAGGTCTAGAGGACACATAACAACAGAGCATATTCTGTGCAATTACCTTGCAATAGCTAATGGTACCTAGGAAAGGTATTCCTGTGTAATATAGACCTAGGTGCCAAGAAGAATTCTGCACTTCTTTAAAGAATCGAAAATTTTCCAAGAAAACCATTAGGAGAGATCAAACAAAGTGGACGAAAGTTTAAGTGTAAAAGGCAGAAATGATTACTATCACTACGATCACAAATAGGAACTTCTATCATACTACCATTTTCTAAAGATTGTGATTTAAGAGGAACATATTTAATAAATTTTAAAAAAATATATTCCTATATATTATAGACCATGATTCTTACTGCTAAGTCATGCAACTATAATTTTTTTCTATATAAGGTTTTTCTCCGATTTTCTGCGACATATTTCATAGTGAACTAGTGTGTATACGATAATTGTCAGCTACAATGTATTGGATAGGAAATCGGGCGGGTTTTTGGAAAAATCTGTAGGGAGGGTAATTGGATCTGTCGCGATCTGTCAATTACGCCGGGATTGAAAGATCACCGGGTAAATGGCATTAGGAGAACAGCAGTGGCAGATCGGCATCTGGGCGAAAATGGGTTTGCCACCGGCTCGTTACAAAAATTCAGAATTGCCTCAATTACGACCCACGGGGGTGGCAGAAGCATTTCAATAGCCGATTGATGCCCTCCCGTTGCCCGCAAAGAATCAATTTCTGAAAGGCATTTCCAACTGAGTATTACGAGTATTTTTTTAAATCTATAATATAGTTTTTTAAAAATATATATATCAATAAACTATAAGCAATAATGAAACACCGTTAGAAACAACAGAAGATGGATTAAAATAATGACGAAAAATGTAAGCTAAATTAACGAAGCATTAAAAAAGAAATCGCCACAAAAAATTGGATGTTTCAAAAGATAACAAAACGGATGAACAAAAAAAAAAATAATAACGGAGGGGAGGGAGGATGGAAATTGGTATTGAAATAAGCAGTGCGGTCGAGGGGCGGTAAGGACTCTCGTGTTCGGTCAATCCAAACTTCCCCTCAACTCGTTAAAAAGTATAAACGAGCCATTTCCAGAGATTTGTTTCAAAGTGGAACTTTCGGCTAAAACATTCTAGAGAACGGTTATAAAAAAAAGAATGTATTTAAAGAATATAAAGTGGTGTATAAAAATGCTCGCGAACCGAGGTTTTTTTATTGAATCTCTTGATGAAAATGGGCAATCAATAATTTGTTTGTATAGTCCTGAAAATAATCAAAACATCATGCTGAAGAATACCTTAATTTATTTAATAAACTATACAATAGTAATCTATATATGTATTTAGTATTCATAAATGACTGTATTAATTATTTTAATTAATTGTACTTTTAATCTACGGTCTTGGTTTAAATGAAAAATCAAGTGTCACGAGTGAGATCCCGCTTTCACTCGTTTTCATTCATACAAGATGTTGAAAGTTGCCTGAATGGAGGAGTGTGGTCTACGACGAGCAAAATTTTTATTTTTGCAACCCCTACATCCTATAGGATCCTATACCAACTTCAATAGTAGCAGTAAGTTCACTTGTTTTCGTGGTCCGCTTGACCAATTAATATCATTCAATAAATGAAGGTTTTTAGTTGAGATAAAAAAGCCAGAAGTCACGATAGCTCCAGTGGTAGAGTAGCGGAGTATTCTCGGGGGTTCGAATCCCGCTCGTGACACTGGCTTTTTTATCTCAACTAAAAACCTTAATTTATTGAATGAGTAGCAGTAAGGTCATCTATGAATATGGAAAATAGGATTCAGCTAAATAAGCACCCTTGTCATGCAAATCACACCACGTACCTACGAAGAAGAACAATCATAAGCAGTCTTTAGAATGGTCGTGAAATAGGATGAGTCGCCTTGGTTGTATAACTTTGGAAAAACAAGAATAGAGACCCCACGAGTCAAACGCCGCTGTTCTAGCTTTCTTTCATCTAATTAAGCCTTTCTTTAAAGCAATAAAAAACCTAAAAACCACATGAAATTTAATTACAAGAAAAATTAAACGTTACAAACACTTAAATTTAAAAAAAATTGATTTGAGTTTTTTTCATATAAATATTGTGTTCTTATATAAAATACCACATGAACAATAATTACAATTAAAATTAAATATTACAATAAAGAATTATCATTTTATGTAATTTATTGTTCAAAACTTTTTTTTAGCAAAACTGAAATGTAACTTCTAATTTTTTTCCAGTTTCTCATCCGCCAGAAATTTCTGATCAAACTCTCCCAGATAGCGGGACGCAAATAAGGGCTTAACTATTTCCAACGGCAAGAATGTCACCAATGTAAATTCTTTGTAGGGTTTATTGACGTTTTTCATCAGTGCAAACGGTTTTTTAGTTTATTAGTAGTTATTCGGAAAAAAATACTAGTTCAGAACAAACGAAATCTCCAACTTCTTCAACCAAGAATCAATTTATTTATTTATAATTTAATGGGTTGTAAATTAATTCCTCTTGGTTAATAACATGGATTTTATGGTTAATAGATGGGGACTAAAATAGAGGGAGAGACAGAATTAAACTAACTATGTATATTCCACTTTGTGATAGCATATGAGGTGAATTTTTCATTTTAATATTTTATTTTTTAATTAATTTTTATATAGTTTTTAAGTTTTGAAGAATGGACTAATTTGAAATTAAAAACTTAATTGAATGTAAAAAAGGGTTAGTTTGAAATAAAAAAAAAGTTAAATTGAAGTTAAAAAATATTAATTCGCTGGTTGTTTAATTTAATTGGTTAATGTAAAGTTAAAAATTTACAAGATTATGCTGAATATCCCCCGCATATTGCAAATTTACTATTTATAGAGCAAGTGAATCAACGACTTCCCAACAACCGCTTGATTTTTACGGATGGTTCGATAATAAGTGGCAATGTCGGATGTGCTATTTACGATCCTACTAAGCAATTCTGTAGTAAAATTACGCTTCCTTCAATGATGTCTATATTCTCCGCAGAAATGTATGCTTTGTTAAAAGCCTTGGATTATATTGCCACAATAGAAGGAACTGAGTTTTGTATATTGACAGATAGCAAAAGCTCGGTTTCTCAAATCCATAATTTTTCTCCTAAGGCTAAATGTGACTACCTGTTGACGGAAATAGTTGGCAAAACATATGATCTAGACCTAAAAAACAAAAAAGTAACATTTGGTTGGTGTCGCGGTCACTGTGGAGTGGTGCATAACGAAATTGTTGATAGATTGGCAAAGGAAGCTACATCGGGTCCAGAAGTCCAGAACGTCAGAATACCCAAATCTGATATAAAGAGAGTACTAACTAAAAAATTGTCACAGGAATGGAAAAAGTGGTATAATAGGGATAAGGCAGGTTCTTTTTTTAAGGCTTTCATTCCTGAACCCCGTCCCATTTCATGGATTTTCGCAATGAGGGGAAGCAAGGCGTTTTTTTCTTCGATTATCAGAATCAGGGCGAATCACTGCATATGTGGTGCTTCTCTGAACAGAATTCGTATAAGACCCTCTCCAAATTGTGAAACATGCGATGAACCCGAGTCA